AGAAAAACTAGTCTTTAAAGGGGTGTTTTTCTAGCTGCTTTTAGTTTACTAATAGGTCCGGGAGGTCTCTTTTATATACCTTCCTTACTAATATTAGCTTAAAAAGCCGGCCTACTATAAATGCTCTATAAGAACCGTCTTTTATTAGCGTTAGATAAAGGTTAGAAAAACGATCGAAATAAGGGAGAGGTTAGTTTTCTTTTATATCGGGCCCTATACCTTCCTTTACTTCTCGAAGTAGGGATAAAAAGGCAGCCGGGTAATCCTTTAAGAGATATGCCTTTCCTACCCCCTTAAGGGTCGATATAAGAAGACTAATAAAGAAAGCTACTTTTAGATCTTCTTCTTATTCTATAAGAGGAGGCGTAGGAAGGTAGGCGTATTCTAGCTCTACCGCTTTCTTATAGTCTCCTTCTTCGTCTAGATTATATAATCTAGTAGCTTCCTCTTCTTTTTTAAAGTCGGCGTTATCCTCGACTACTTCGATATTAGTTTCTTTTTCCGTTTCCTTATCTAGGGCTAATTACCTAGTTATAGTCTACGGTCTATAACCTCTAACTTATTACTAACGTAATATACTTATTATTACTTAGACTACGCCCTATTATATCTATTAATATAAACCCCTTAATAGGTTTATCCCTTAAGAGTAATACTAGTTATTATACCCTAAGAATAATATTAAACGGTATAAGCAATAAGCGTAGAATTAGGTAATTAATAACGTAAGCAGAAAGATCGGTCGAAGGAGTATAGGGTAGGATTTCGTCCGGAATTTATAACGAGCATATAAGGGGCTAAATAATATATTAAAAGAATAGCGTTGTAAAGGATGCTTATAAACTTGCTTATTCTATCTACTACTCCTAGGGAAATCCTTCGTCTTTTATAGACTATTGCTCGCCTACTAGTAAACCAATTAGTTAGCTTTTTAGTACATTCTATAGTACTTAAAAAGCTCTATCTATAGCATGTCTTCCTAACTTAGTAGGTGGTCTAATTGTAACGTGATAGTTAACGTAAGACTATAGGTTCTAGTATAAGTAGTAGATTTAACTAGAATGTTCTATGCCCTACCTATTCTCGTATCGCGGATATCTTTGGAACCGCTAGGCTAAAATAGGCAATAGGGTATCCGCTCTGCTCGTAATTGACTTATGCAATTTATGTATATTTTATTTTATTAGGATAGGCTTATCTTAACCCGCTTTTCCTAAAGGAAGGTATAGATGTCTAGTAGAGGTCTTTATCTTTAAGGGTTATTCCCTTAGACTATATTATAGAGCCGCTTTTTACTAGCTTATTCTATAGAGCCTCCCTATGCCTATTATTTCTTTATAATAGTAAAATAGGAATATAAGGGTATATTCTTATAAATAATAAGCGCGAATACCTAGGAGCGTATATAGAGGGTAGTAGATAATTATTTAAAAAAAAGAAGTATATAATTAAAGATAGAAAAGAGCTAAATAAGTAGCTTATAAGTAAAGGAAAGAATAAATAATATAAAAGGAAGGAATTATAGTAAAGGAGAAAAGTTCTATTAATAGTTTATTTACTTACTTACTTATTTAAGATAAGAACCCTTACTTATTATTATTACGCCCTTTCTATTAGTATCTTAAGCTATAAAGCCGCTAAGGAGGAGTTTAATAGGTAAGATTATACCCTTATAGATATTAGCCCGTTAAAGGGATAAGACCCTTAGCGCTTCCTATCTACCCCCCCCCTCCCCCCCCTAAGTATACTTAAAGGCTTTATAAAAGCCTAGATTATTTAATTAAATATTATCCTTAAGAATAGTTAATTTAAACGTTTATTTTTCCCTTTTAAAGTAAAGGCCGCTAGTTATACGACTTTAGTAAATATAAAGAGGTATAGAGTAAAGAAATCTCTAAGACTTATATTAATAACCTAAGACCCTTAGAGCTATATATAAGACCGATAATTAGATAATTACGCGGTTAATTGCTCTACTAATCCTTAGCTATATACTACGCGTGCTTTAGGTATATACCCTCGTCCCTATTAAACTAGCTAGCTAATAAGTATAGAGCTAGGTACTAGCCGCTTAGATTAATAAGCGTAGGGATAATAAGGCTAGTAAGATTAATATAATTAATAAAGAAGGTAGTAGGTAGCTAGCGGTATAAAGAGCTTAGGGTATAATTATATAAAAGCTATTAATAAAGTAGTACTATACTATACTAAAAGAAGGGTATTATATAAGAGTCTTTAACTATTATAAGCTATATAGTTATATATAGAAGGCCGGATCCTATATATATATATATATATATATAGGCTAGCTATATATAAAAGAGCTTTATATAGCTTATTAATATTATCTTATAAATAGTACCTATATATATACCTTTACTTACTCTATAATACTTAACGTCCCTTATAGTCCTTAGGCTAGGTAAGAAGCTAGGTATAGCTTTTAAGGTAGCTAGGGCGGTCTTTTTCGTCTTTCTAGGGCGCTAGGCGCTCCTAGGTATAATAGGGTCGCGTATATAGGTCGGGGTCTATAGGGCCGGGCTAGGGTCGGTCTAACTAAGTAGGGAGGAATTTTCGCTAGTATCTATAAGTCGGGTAAACTGCCCGCTAGTTAAGGATATTATTTAAACGGTCGCACTTATGCATAGATATAATGTATAGGCTGTTCGGAGGAAGGTAGGGTCGGCTCGAGCGGGCGTACCGGGCTAGGGGCATTTTAGCCGTTTTAATAGCGTTACGCGGTAGTTAGCATCTAGCTACTATAGATATAGGAGTCTAAGGATAACCTCCTTAAATAAATAGTAAAGCTACTAAATTTAATATCGGAATAGCCTTATATTTATTAAACTAAAGACTCCTTTACCTATTACCCTACTATTTAAAAAACTAAGGTAATAAAAGGGTATATTAAGGAGTAAGTATAATAAGCTAAAGTTATACTTAATAGACTTAATAGTTATATATAAGGAAGCTTACCTAATTAATATAACTCCTTTAGCTTAAGGATATTATATAAGCCTAACTTAAGTATAGGGATATCTTAATACCTTCTTTTAACTAGCTATATATAGTTACTATACCTATATAAGCCCCTCCCTTATCTTTAATAGATAGACTAAGATATATATTACTAAATTTACCTTTCTATGCCCCTATTTCTTCTACTATGCTCTCATGCCTCTGCTTACGAGTTACGAAGTAGAGAATAGAGAACGAGGAAAGTGCCCCTGCAAGCGCGGGGTTAGGGCTTAGTCAGGGAGTAGACTAATCCTCTAGCGAACGCGAGAAAGGGTGTAGAGGAGATATGGCAAAGGATCGAGGAAGACAGCCGAGAGCAAGAAGCCTTGCATTCGGTAGCTGATAACGTGAGGCTCTCCTCTGGTACCTTAAACGTCAAGAAACGATGGGTTTCAGAACCTCAGCCAATTCCAAAGCCTTGCCCATTTGATCTGACCTTGAGAGACCATGGCGGCACAAAGAAGACACGGCAAAGCGTTCCAGTAACAAGAACTCCCGACATAGAAAGCACGAGAAACAGAATGGCCAGACCAACAATTGCAAGGCTGATGCCCAAGGCATGCCGCTTGTCCCCATGAAAGCCGGAGGTGATAGGACTCACTGAAAAAGTGGTGGAAAAGGGTGACCTTGAGACGGTAGGGGTCCCAAACGAAATGCTGGAAGCACAAGGCTCATCGATACTAGATGGTGTAAAGGCTATAGTAGACATCGACCCCGACTCTCGTGATTGGGCCCAGCTATGAGCAGCCGCAACGACCAATACTGCTATATATGTCATGATTGGGATGGTGCAAACGAGTTCGATGCCAGATAAGGTTATCTGCTATAGGCTTATACCAGCCAGTAGCAGTTGAACTGGTGCCACGCACCAAAGTATATGTCGACTCTAAGATAGCCTCGAGTTTGCTAAGAGCGGTGACACTTAAGCAACCTAATTTAATTAGCAACGTACTGAATATATTGGTAATAAAGAACCTACCTCATAAAAGCTGATTCCTAGGATGCAAATAGCTCTCTAGATGTCCCCTACTATTTCCTTAATAGAAGCTAAGAAATGCTCTAATTGGCTAAAGCTTATCAGGACAAAGGATGCTCTTCCGCAAGCCTGCTCTCAATGAGTGTGGCCCCGAGCACGATGGAGCTGATGAACTGCGCGAAGCGTTCAGGGGGGGGCATCCCTGACTGGAAGCTGTGGGAGCAGAGTGAGGCGACACAGGCGTTCCTGGAGTAGTTCAGGTTCGGCCTGTTCATGAAACTTGAAGGCTTGGCAGACGACGAGAGGAGGACCTTTGGCGGGAAAAAATCCGGGTTGTCGATTTTAAGCAAGTATTCGTAGCCTTGACGATGAATGGCATCCGTGTGAGACTCTATCGCCGATTTTGACTCCCTAGGATCTCCTTTCCACCTATGAATTTGCATCCCGAGCCCTTCGCGGCAGAGATCTGGTGTGAGCAGAATTACCTGTACGCACCTATGATTCTTCTGCCCATTGTCCTGTGCGAATAGCCACGGAGAGAGAAAGCAATAGACGCGGCTGTATGATTTTCCCATCCATTGTCCTGCGAAGAGAGACTGAGAGAAAGAGGGAAACAGACCGTACAGTTCTTTCTTCCAACCATTGTCCGCCATCTCATCCATCCCGTCAAAGGGGAAATGGCCGGCAACTCCAAAAATTCAGGGTATCTATCCCCAAGCAGCATTTCCCAACGCATGTGTCTCATTGCTCTCCAACACCTGGTGGAGGAAGCCTCGCGCGCTCAAGATGCCCGACCGACGCCGACTCCCCGTCCTCCCGAGCAACCAGTCATGCCGCCCACTTGTATTCCTGTTCGCCGTAAGCAAATCGAGTAACCTTGTCAGTAACATTTCTTTTGTCCAGTCCGACGAAGCTGTCCAAAAAGACCCACTGCCTAGGTACGCAACCATCTTCGTCTCCTCTGCGCAGTCTGTCTCTGCCGCCCGTACACGTAGACGGGGCTGTTTCATCCCCATCTCGATTCCACATCCCTAAAGGGCACAAAAGCGTCTCGGTCGACGAACCTGTCCAGGTCGTTGACGGGGTTTCCTTGCTCGCCAGTCGCCCCGCTTCGGCCGTCGCCCATCGGGTCCAGCATGTCGTCGACTCCACGCTTGGTCCTCGTGCCAAGGCCCATGCCCGAGGCTACAGATGGCGTCGAAGTCTCCCATTCCATGTCAATTTCTCCCGGGTGATTCCGCTGCTGCTGCTGCTGCTGTTGGGTTTCTGGCCCCCCTGACCCCCAGGCGACGACGCGGCGGGCCAGCAAGATATCCTCCCAGGCTAGCAGGGAGCGCTTGACATCCGCCTCGAAGCTGCAGCAGAAGCGCTGCATGTTTGTAAACTGAATGGTGGGGACGAGGCTCTTGCCAAACATGGCCATGATGTAGGCAGCCACGATGGCGGCGGAGCGCTCGTTGCCCGACTCGCACACCACCAGGACCTTGCCGTGACGGTTGGTGAGTAGGCCGTTGCTCCCGAGAGCCTGGGTGTTGTGGACAGCTAGCATGTGGTCGTTGATGAGACGGACAGCCTGGGGGTAGGCGCGGATCATGCCGTGTGTGCCGTCAATGTCGATGTACTGACCGACGATGCCCAGGGCAGACGCGGCCGTTTCGACACTGACGAGCTTGGCAGCCCCCATGCGAGCGTCACGGGCGGCGAGCACCATGGTGATGGCCTCACGCGCCAGGAAGTCGTGATCACGGACGACGCTCGTGGGGCCGAGGTAGAGAAAATCAAGGATGGGCTGAGCTTGTCGGCGCAGCGCGTAGTGCCAGGAGCCAACGCAGTCGCTAGCCGTTTGGATTTTGCCGCGGGTGATGATTTCAAGGTCGCGGCCCGAGAGCTGCGTCGGGTCGACGTGCTCGAACGACGGCACCAGCTCGGCGGCGGACTCGTGCCTATCGTCACGCAAAGTCTGCTGCTGCTGTTGGGGGATGGGGACGAGGATGTTGGGCGGGCTGGGCGCACGGTACTCGTAGGGAGCCATGCGGACGGCGCCCTGCGACACGGGTGTGGAGCGCTCCGGCTTGCTTCGCGATGACATTCTGGTGATGGTGGTGGTTGATCGAGACCGAGGGAGTGACTCGAGTGAGTGAGTTTAAAGCTGTGGGCGAGTTGCCACGTCCCGAGAGGAAGTGTGAGAGAGAGCGGAATGAGAATATCGAGGCTCGCCGAGCTGCTGTTCAACTCGCGGCGAAGGCGAGACGGTCAGAAGGAAATGGCATGTCGTCTTGAATGGTTTGGCGCGAGAGACCAACGCTTGATGAGACGAGACAAAGGGCCGCAGAGGTGGAGCGGATGGAAGATGGCGACGGCGGCTGGCGAGCAGCAACAGGAGCACAAAGAGCCGGTACGTCGGGAGCAATCGCCTTGTTCATCAGACGGCCTCTGCTGCTATCGAGAGAGGAAGGTGGTTCAAGAGGCCATCCAGAAAGGAACGGTACCTTTTGACCGCGCAACCGCTCGTACCTCCCTGGGGTGAGTCTTTACAGTGCCGACTGTACGGTAGTGCAGTATGTGTACTGTACTTGCGACCCCCGCCGCCAATCAACGCCGTCGACTTCGCACCCGTTTGGTAGTGGAGCAGTGGAGGAACACTCTCCCCAAGTCCCTGGCCCCACAGTGTGCACCTATCTAATTACCCTATCTTACAGAATGAACCTTCAGGCACGCCTAGCAAGCACTAGCAAAGCCTTGGGTGGCCATTTTTAAATATATAATGAATTCCAAAACTCGTATGGATTCGCAACAAGATCTAATGGCGTCCCAAGAGGCTATTCCAGCTATCAATTCCTGTAACGGGTCTCTTTTAGGGCGAATCAACCACCGTCAGCGCGAGCAGGCAGCTAGCAAAGACTCGAAAAGAACGCTTCTATCTAGTGCATTTTGTTGGCAAAATAATATACCTTTAACCTAGCTGCGTTTTGAATCCCGTCTTGTGATCCCTCCTCTAATGCCAAAGGGATGCGTGCTGCTCGTCTCCAAAAGGCCCGTCGAACAAATAACGATCCATCAATGACAAAGATCAACCTTTGTTCCAGCTGGTTCGTGTTTCCCCTTTATAGCAGCAGCCCCAGGTACTGTACAAGTATGCTTCATGCTTGTGATGCAAAAAGAGTAGCGTTCCGAGACGGGCACAGAGCCCGTTCATGCACAGTCAGTCGACGGCGACGATGGCGACAATGTCCCAAGCCCAACGCCATCCATCCAAAATGAAACGCCATGTCTTGCGCCCCATTTCCGAGCGACTTGCTTTTGTCCAGTCATCCAGCTCCTGGCATAGTGCCTCCCAGTTTCCCCAGCGTACATGTCCGCCTCCATCTAGCCGTCGCCAGCTCGACCCAACGTCTAGCCTCCAGCCACACTCCGCGGCCGCACTCGCACACCTTCTTCCTTCGGCGTCCCTTGCCAAGGGCGAGTGCCTTGGCTCTCCACCGGCTCCCACTCCTCTTCTGGTTCCTTGGCGTCCATCTCGTCCAGTCTCGAATCATATGGGATTGCAGCCATCCTCTTGCTGCGCCGTCTGCTCTCGAGCTCGCCCTTGGCAAAATTCATGCGCTCCAGAGCATCCACCAGCCGCTTTTCCACCAGGGACCGCACATGAAGCGCCATCGTCTGGCTCCGGAACACGCCCGCGTAGCGGAAAGAGAGCCACAGGTACTGGTTGATGGTGACATGCAGCGCTTCCAACTTGGCCAGGTACGCCAGTGGGCTGTTCTCGTACACTGCCCCCTGAAAGTCCTCGAGTTTCAGGTCCAGGTACTCGAGTGGTATTTCCTTGATGTTGAGTAGGTCTCCCGCCGAGTTCTCCGCCACAACCTGGGCCAGCGCTATGAGACAGCCCCTGCTCTCGGGTACACGAAGCGCCACGGGCAAGAAGCAGAACGTCAACCTGTCGTAAATGCTGAGTGGGAGGTGCTGCAGAACGTCTGCAATTTCGAGAATCGTCTTGGAAATGTCGAGTTGATATCGCGGTCCGACTCTCGCCATTGCCTTGATGCGAAGCAAGATATAGGAAAGGGGCGTGCCAGGCGGGAAAAAGGACGCGAACCGCTCTATTATCCCTGCGGCAGGGTAGATGGAGGCCTTTCTGATGTTTTCGACGCGCATATTGAAGGCCTGGTGGACGACTCGCAGGTCCGATGACTCCAACGTCGTCACCAGCCCCAGCTTTTCCGGCTCTGCCGCACCCCAGGCTGCCACCGTGTCACTAGCTGCCGTCCGGTACCGCCCAGCCCTGCCGCCGATTTGCTTGATCTCGGGAAAATAGAGCCTCCGACGCTGGCGGCCGTCAAACTTGACAATCGTCTCAAAGATGACGCGCCGAATCTCCAGGTTGAGGCCCATGCCGATGGCGTCGCTCGCGACGACGTAATCGTAGTCGTTGTTGGGATCGTTAAACAAGGCCGCCTGCTGAACGCGCACCTCGGGCGGCAGATTGCCATAGATGATGGCGCACCTCCGGCCCGTCCATTCCTCAATCTTCTTCTTGAGGGCGTGGATTGCCACCCGGCTAAAGGACACAACGGCGTCGCCCTTTTTCAGCTTGCTAAAGTCGTTGTCGATGGAGCTTTGCATGGTTTCGAGGGGGCTGAGGCGTTGGTAGTGATAGATGATGCACTTGTCGCCGATGCCAGCGCACAGCGCCTGGATCAGGGGAACGGTACGCTCCTCGCCGCAGAGATGCACCTCCTTTGCCTGCACGCCCAGGAAGGCAGTGGACCAGGCGTTTCCGCGCTCGTCGTCGGCAATCATCTGGATCTCGTCAATGACGGCGACGTCGTATCGCGTGTTGAGCGGAGTCATTTCCACCGTGCAGCTGGCAAAGTACGTGTCGGTGTCGTCGGGAATGCGCACCTCCTCTCCCGTGACGAGCGAGCAGGCGTGGCCCTTTGCACTGAGGCGCTGGTAGACCTCGGTGGCCAGCAGGCGAAGCGGGCCGGCGTAGACGCCGCTCTTTGCGTTTTCCAGGGCCTTGAGGGCATTGTACGTCTTGCCCGAGTTGGTGGGCCCGACATGGACGTGTATGGTTCGCTGCATGGCCCTCGTGGCCGGGAACCATTCGTGGGGGAATCGCATGTCGAGCAGCCGCTTCATCGTCTCCTGAATCTCAGGGGTGAAGCGAGTTGCGGCAATGTGCGTCGTGAAGGCGAAGTGGACCTGCTTCTTGAGGGCGCCAGGTTCGGCGTTGTAAAAAGCATCCCTAAGCCTGGAGTACAAGGGGTTGAGGTCGAACTTTGTGATGTTTTGCTCTGCCAGCCGAAACGACTTGTCCAACTCCTTGGTAAAGGATCTGGCATGCTTGCTAAGCTCATCTTGACCAACGCCCTCGTCCGACGACTGCAAAGACTTGAGGTGACTGAGGACAGACTGGAAGTGGGAGCGCACTGTGGACTGGAAGATGTCATGGAATTGCCTGCGCTGCCTGCTGAAGAGCTGCTCTTGCGCGGTTTTGGGTGCCTTTCTGACCTGCTGGAGCGTGTCAGTTCCAGTCCCATGAGTGTTTGTTTACTTTGACGAGGGCTGATGTCAAGACATATTGGTGACGGCTCACAGGGGCGGCTCGGGAGGCATCTTGCGAGGCAACTTGGGAGGCGGCTTGAGAGGCAGCGTCACTGCCCAGCCCGGGTTCTAATGCTGACCCGAACCGGGCCTTTATGCGGTGAAGAGCCCTCAAGGGGTCCCGGCCCTTTTTCTTGGACGGATTGCGAGAAAGCTGGGGAGTCGTGGACAGCGAGCGACGGCAGGTCTGCGGAGGCGCGACTCTCCAAGACACAGCTCGGGCCGGACGATTCATGGCCGCGGCCTTGTGCAGGATATGAGCATGCTTTTTTGCTCGCCAAAGGCCAAGGGAGGGAGTGAGGAATAAGTGCAAAGTCTAGACGGTTTGAAGTTTAGAGGGTAGAAAACCCGTCTTGTTGCCAGTTCCCGATTTGGGCCTTAGTGAGGTCTCTTATTCCGATGCTTTTTTATTCAGTTGATGAAGCTGGCGACGGGTGAAAAAACACGCTGTCACGTGATGACCCGTCCTACTGACATTGAGAGATGTACTCTGTACGGATACTTCTGTCTTGTACCATTCACGCACAGCCTGCGCGCCACACATCTCCAGAACGGCATGGTGACGTTTTGTGGCGTCAGGTACTTCCTTCTTCTCTTCCTCTTCCAAACAACTTCATCCAGCCAACCATTGTGACGGCATCGATACCCCCTGCGAAACCCAAAGCTCCCTCTTGCGCGCGCACTTCTCTCCGAGTCTCCCTTGAGCTTCCAAGCATCGCCTCTCCCTCGCCGTCTCGCCTGCTGTCCACCACCGAATCCAGCCCGCGAGAGCCCTTTTCCAAGTGACCGCCGACGACGAGTCACGCAAACTGCCCACAATGGCGTCGTCATCCACGCCGGCCACGCCCCTCCTATAGTAAGTTCGCCGTCTTCCAGCTTTCCTCGCCGTGGGCACCCTGCTGCTTCGCTCGAGCCGCTCGACTCACCGCATGTCCCAGCTCCTGCATCGCGCACAAGACGACGATACTCTCAGAATGCACCACGTCGGCCTCGTCGCAAGCCTCATCGCTCGCCTCGCTCATCCTGCCCAAGATCGAGCATGCCTCGCCGCAAAAGTTGACGTACACACACGGCCAGCACCAGATCCACTACGTCGCCGAGTCCCCCTCGGAGCACCCGGGCCACCCAGCCGCCGGCGGCCTCACCTTCCTCGTCATCGCCGACGCCTCGCTCGGCCGCCGCGTACCGTTTGGCTACCTCGTCGAGATCCGCCGGCGTTTCTTCGAGCACTTCCCCGAGAGCGGCGACTTTGCCGACATGCCCAACTACGGCGCCGGGTCCTTCAACGCCGAGCTCAAGAGCCTCATGGTCGAGTACGGGTCCACGACGGGCGGCCGCGACGACGCCATTGGCAACGCCAAGCGCGAGATTGATGACGTCCGCGGAATCATGACGCGCAACATTGAGAGCCTGCTCGAGCGCGGCGAGCGCGTCGACCTGCTCGTCGACAAGACGGACCGCCTGGGCGGCAGCGCCCGCGAGTTCCGCGTCCGGAGCCGCGGCCTCAAGCGCCAGATGTGGTGGAAGAACGTCAAGCTCATGGCCCTGCTCGCCCTCGTCATCATTCTCATTGTCGTGGTCATTGTCCTTGCCGCCAAGGGTGGATCTTGATGGTTCAGTGCGTGGCGTTGGAAAAGAAAGGACAAACAGGGGGCCGCGAGCGGGCGGCTGGCCGTCCAGAGTGCACACACTCGAACAATACCGCTTCTTCTTTTTAGTACAATTGGCTATTCACAGGAGAAGGAAATGATGGACGGGCTATACAAGAGACTGCGATTACAGCTAATTCGGTTTTTGGGCATGGTGTGACGGCAGGCGTTGAATTGTCTTCTATTTCCGTCTGACTCTCCTCTTGGTCTCTTGCTCGTCCGGTGCGTGCTGTGCCGCATGCAATGATTGGTGAATCGCGGCACTCTCATGGCCAATTAGCCAACGCGCTCCAGCCCGTCCATTGTCCCGCAACAAGGCCTCGGCAAAGCCCCCCCGAGCCATGACGAAATGCACAGCTCAATCACAGCCCTCCCTCACCCTCAGGTCGTCACCCTGCGCCCTCTCCTCACAGCCTGGACCCGCCGGCCGTCCTCCACTGATAGACGTAACCCCTCGCCACAGGACTCGTCGTCGTCGTCGCCGCCTCTGCGCGCATCACCGCACCCGGCGGCGACGGCGGCACCAGCTGCAGCCTCTCGGTGAAGAAGACGGGATGTGTAGTCGACGCACTGTACGGCGGCGGTGGGCTCCTGTTGTCCGGGACGGTGGACGGTGCTTGCCGGGCAAGGGGGGCCGCTGTTGCGCCGGTGGGGGGTCCCATTTCCGTCTCTTCCTTTTTTTTTTTAACTCAAGTTGACGGGACCAGGAGGCCGGTTCGAGTGAGACAAAAGGGAGCCTTAGGAGGAGGCCAAGGCGGCATGTGTGAAGTTGTAAATGGTATGGTGAGCTCACGTCATATGCGGGTTGCAGAGTCTCTCAGCCCATGACTAATAAACCCATCACTCACATGCCGAGCGACTACATTTCAACGCGCTTCATCCCTTGTTAAAGCCTCCTGTTCTTCCCCGTCGCTTATGGTGGGAGAACATCGCTCGTCAAGATGCAAAAGTCCCCGTCTATATCTTGTCCATACACACACGTAGCTCGTCGCCAAAAAGAAGAGGTATCCTTGAAACAACGAACAGCTCATGACAGACTCACTGCCCCGGGATATCGCCCAGAAAACCAATCGCCCAGACGCCCTCACCCCCTCGACGCCCTTGAGTGCTCCTCGTAAAACTCGAGCGTCAGCGCCGCCAGGAACCCCGGGATGCAGCCCTTCTCGCGCACCCAGAAGCCAATCTGGTCGCCGATGCGCTGCGCAAACGCGCTCTTGGGCCCGCCGCCCACCTTCATCGTGCCCCTTTCCCCGTCAAACACAATCGAGTTTTCGTGTTCGTCCGTCTGCGAGGGGGAAAAGGTGCTCTCCACGCGCATCTTGCCGTTGGGGATAAACGTCACTGTCCACCCCAGCGTCGAGAAGATGGCCTCCTTGAACTCCTGCGACTTGGACCCCCACACCTCCTTGAGCCGCCGCGCAGACTTTTGCGCAGACGCCGTCTCCGCCTTGGCCGCCGCAATCTCCCGTTCCATAGCGCCCAGCACCGACGTCGGAATCACCGGCACCGACGCGTCCGCGTGCTTGGACCGCAGCGTCGCCAGCAGGTCCTTGTTCTCCCGCTGCAGCGCCTCGAGCGTGCTGCGCTTGATGGCCTCGTAGTCTGACGTCGGGTTCGACCGCAGCGACAGCACCCGCGTTTGGTTCTGCTGCTTGGCCGCCGACAGCTGCTCCCGGCTCGCCGACAGGTCCTTTTCCAGCACTGCCACCCTTGTCTGCCAGCCCGCCAGCTCCTCTTGCATCTTTCGATTCTTACGCGTCAGCTGTCCGAGCTGCTCCTGGTAGCCGCCGCCGCCGTCGCCTTCGTCGTCTGCGGAATGTGGGCGCTTCGTCCCGGCCACCGGTGGGACTTGTGCGCCTGCGGACGGCTCCGCGGCCGATAATTCGGCGTGGAGGCTCTGCACCTCGGCCTTGTAACCATCAATGAGCATCTCGAGCTCCTGGATCCTGGTGGCTCGTGTCTCGTCGTAGTCGTTCGGCTGCATCGTGTGGTCCTCCTCATCGACTGCTTTGAGCTGTGCACGCAGATACTCGACCTCCTTGAGGGCCAGGGCGCGCTGACGGTCCAGCCGCGCCCGCGCCTTGTCTGTCGATGCGGCGCCGGCAGAGGCCTTGGCACCCTCGAGCTGTTTCTGGAGCTGTGACTTGTCGCCCTTCAAGGTCTGGATCGCGCTTTCCTGCGCAGACATGTCTGCTTGCAGAGCGCCGAGTTGCTCCACGTACGAGGCCGTCGTCAGCCGCTCCTGGACCAGCGCCCGGGCCATGGCCTCGGGAGAGTCAAACTCGTCGCTTCCTGTCTCCGACGCGTGGCTGAGGTATGAGGTCCAGGCCAGGCGCTCGTCCTGCAATCGTTGCCGCTGCAGACGCGCCTCGGCGAGCTCTGCCTCGAGGGCCTCGGCCGCCTCCAACCGTCGCTGGAGCGACCTCTTTTCCTCCTCGACGACCTGGACGGCCTTGTTGATGGCTCTGAGCTGTTTGAGTTCTGATAGTTGATCGCGATTGGTAGCCTCGAGGGCGCGAATGTGCTGAACCTGTTCGGACAGCTCGCGCCTGATTATGTCCATGGTTTCGGCGTCGCCGCTTTGGGCCTTGAGACGAAGCACATCAGCCTCCAACTGGGCCATTTGGTTATCCCTTTCAGCGACCTGGGCCAGGGTCTGCTGGAGCGCCTTGTCCGCCTCTTGACTCTCCTGTCCCAGTTCGTGGATTGAGTTTTGGCAGGCGGCGAGCTGCATCTGCATGTCCTTCATCTTCTTTTCCGCCATGCGGGCAGCTTCGTCCTTGGCGGCGGACAAGTCGTCGAGCTGCTCCTGCAAGAGGGTCGCCTCGTCGCGGGCTTCGCGGGCCCTGTGCTCGAGCGCTCTCTGATCCGTCTCGGCGGTCTCTTTCAGCGCGTCCATTTCCTTCTTGACGGACTCGATGAGGTCCGCCGCCTTGGCCCTTTCAGCCTCGGCAGCCTGTCTCTGCTGTGCCTCGTCTTGCTCGCGGCGCCGGGCCTGCTCCAGCTTGTTGCTCTGCTGGGAGAGGGCGATTTCCTTTTCCTGCTCGGCCGTCTGCATGCGGTACTGCAGGGTGCCAATCTCGGCCTTGAGCGTCTCAATCTCCTTTCTGTACTTTTCGTACTCGTCAGCGTCGAGGGGCGCCATGTTCTCCTTTGAGCTCTCGCGCGAGCCCGGGCGCAGGGAGTCTGCGACGTAGCTCTGGCGCGACGAGGGCCGCGTGTCGGCGGCATCTGCGCCGGTGATGAGGTTGTACGTCGGCTGCGTGGCGCGAAAGGATGAGATCTGCGTCAGAGCCTGCTGGTTAGGACGGTGCGCGGTGCGGACAAGTGTTTGTTAACTTACTCGAGACTCGCGCAGACTGCTCTGGGGTCGCGGCAGGGCCGAGGAGCTGGCGCGCATTCTAGAGGAGATGGAGCTGCTTCGGCCCCGGGGAGGCGCGTTGCGATCCCCCTCGTGCGGCGTGCTGCTCCGCATGCTGAGGGGAGGATTGGGCTTGGCGACGCGTCTCGAGAGATGCTCTGGTTTGCCTTGGTTGAGGCTCGCGATAACGAGTGGGTAGGACAGTCACGTGATGCCGTCCTCCCGCATACCAGACGACGACGAGGCATTGGGCCAATTGAAAAGTAACAGCTACAAAAGAAATGGTTTATATGCAAACGTCATATTTTCTTTTCAGTTGTCTGTTTTGCACGCTATAGGGTAGAATATGCCGATATTCACATGACGATGGATTGGCCTCGGCCCGTGACAGCTCACTTGCTCGGCCGCAGCGCCTCGAGATGATTGCAAGCTGCCCCAGGCGGCCATGGTTGACCCCAAAGCTTTGCAGGCCCGTTAATTGATCAAATCTCATTTATTATTCCGAACCGCTAGACGTTCAATATGTCGAGTCGAAACGGCTGAAAGCCCCGTAAAATAGCGCGACCGTATGTATGACCCCACTCGCAGCATCCCTCTCGAGCTGTCCCAAAGCTCCTCATCCATCAACCCCCCCCCCCCGACATTGACTATCCTTGCACCCCCGCGGAGGAGCGACAAGACATAACCTGTATCCCCGAAGCGAGCGACACCGACTAAGCAGCTCCGAAGCGTCTACCCCCATACCCTGCGGTGCAAACAGCTCATCGCTCTCCTCCCGCCGCCGCCGCCGCCGCCGTCCCGGACCCCCCACACGTCGCTGCATGGAAGCCTCGCCGCTCATATAGCCGGCCCTCGACGCGTCCTGCGAGCCTCAGACAGACGCCCTCTCCCATAAAGCCTCCAGACTCTCCCGCGCTGTGCTCCCGGGAAAATCCGGCCTCGAAGACGCGATACCTCCCGAGATATAGCTCCCAGGCGCAATGGCCGTCCTCGAGCTCCGCCTCACGGTAGGGCTCTTGAAACACTGTATCTCTTGGAGAGACGTGTCCCGGCTGACCGCGTCGTGTGGTGGCAATTGCAGGCGGCAGCTCCCGCGATAGCCTCGGCCGTGGCGCCTCGGGCCGCCCGACTCGGCCCCCCGCGTCTCCGATGCCTCCGCACAGCCCTCGACCGTCCCCGGCGGCCAAGGCTGTTAATAACTCCCTGGCATGGGATGAGATGTCAGTCCACGTCGTCGCGCGATTCCCGCGACAAGTCTGATGGCTCGTCTCCTCCCTCGGACGCGGCATCTTCCTCCTCGCCGTCTCCCCCTTCAACCACTTCCAGCGACTCCGGCGCCACGGGCAGCGACAACAAAAACGCCAACCCCTTTGGCCACGACTGGGAGGACTCGGTCGACTTTGCAATCAAGTCGTTCGAGGACCTCCCCCACCGCCTCTTCGGCATCAACCAACACATGATCATCAACTACGAGCTCAAGGAGGCCCTGCGCATCATGCTGCGCCAGTTCAACGCGCCCATCGTCTACTGCTTCGCCTACGGCTCCGGCGTCTTCCCCCAGGACAGCGGCAGCCGTAGCATCACAGAGGCCGATTTCCGCGCCGTCCACCCGCGCCCGCCCGACGCCCTCGTCCGCTCCCAGCGCGGCTCCCCCAAGATGATCGACTTCATCTTCGGCGTCAGCCACACCCAGCACTGGCACTCGATCAACATGAAGCAGCACCGCGCCCACTACTCGGCCGTTGCCTCGCTCGGCTCCGGCTTCGTCTCGCGCGTCCAGCGCTGGGGTGCCGGCGTCTACTTCAACCCCTACGTCGAAATGGACGGCATGCTCATCAAGTACGGCGTCACCAGCATCGATAACCTCGTCAACGACCTGTCCACCTGGGACAACCTCTACCTCGCCGGCCGCCTGCACAAGCCCGTCAAGATCTTGCGCGACCACCCCCAGGTCCGCCTCGCCAACCAGCACAACCTCATCGCCGCCCTCCGCACCGCCCTCCTCCTGCTGCCCCCGCGCTTCTCCGAGACGGACCTCTACAGCACCATTGCCGGCCTCAGCTATCTCGGCGACCCGCGCATGGCACTCCCCACCGAGGACAAGTCTAAGATCAACAACATTGTCAGCCACAACGTCGTCCACTTCCGCCGCCTCTACGCGCCCCTCGTCAAGACGCTGCCCAACGTCGCCTACGCCCACCCCGTCCGCCTCGACGACGACGACTGGATCCTCGATCCCGCCGCCGACAGCGCCCTCGCCCAGGACATGGACCCCCGCAAGCGCGGCAACATGGTCCGCCGCCTGCCCAAGCACTTTCGCTCGCGCCTCTACTTTCAGTACCAGAAGAAGCTCGCCATGCCCAACGACGACTTTCGCCGCATGATAGACGAGGCAGACTCCGAGGACTGCGACGCCGCCGGTCCCGGCGACAGGGCCATCATCCGCCGTCGTCAGGGCGGCCAGTTCGAGCGCCGCATCGCCGCCGACGACCCCCAGCAGCTCAAGCGCATCGTCCGCCAGGTCATCAAGCAGACGGTCAACTGGCCCAGCACCGCCCAGAGCGCAAAGGGCCTGCTCATGGGCGGCTGGCGGCGCAGCATGCGCTACCTCGGCGATAAGTTTGCAAAGTGGCGCAAGGGTCGCAGCAGACAGGCGGCCAAGGGCAAAGCCGGGCACGACAGCAGCAGCAACAAGTCGGACTAACGGCCATGGCGTCATGTACCATTACTTTTTGTATCCTCTTTATGTGTCCGATCCGGGCTGAGCTCATTCTTATACAAGTAGCGTTGGGAGGGTTGAGGCAAGAGACGACTTGCCATGGGCCAAGGTCTCCTCCACGTCAGGGGGGGGAGACTCGAGCGCGCAGGCATACAGCGTCGCACCATGTTCTATCCGAAGAAGTAAAAAGACGAATCAAAAAAAGTACAAAAGGGTTACTCACAACCACGGTCAAAGCCCGGTTGTGCAGCACTGTACGTAATGTCGCGAGTCTATCCATGCACGCCTCGACAACTCGCATCACCTCCACCATCGGTGCGGCAATGGGGATCAAGAGGAAGGCAGCCGCGTGAAAGGCGCCCACTGCTGCTTTGGTATAGGGCTAGAATCATGTAGTCATACAAAAAGGATTACCGACAATGCTTTCCCTTCCGTCCTGCTCCCCTTTTTTGCCTCTCCGCCAAGAGTGTTTGTTCCGTTGCCACCTCATCGGCCACACGCGGCTGCTGCTGCTGCCCCCCGTCCACGCCTCGGTATACCATCAAAATGCTGGACGAAGAGGGAAAAAAAAGGTGAAAAATCTTGCGTCGTGTCAAGATGATCAAACAATAGTCTTTGAAACTCAAAAACCTCGATGCGCACGTGGCTGGAGATGGGACGAGAATTGACAAATTCCTCCTCGCTAGGTATGGGCAAGAAGCAGGCAAGACAAGAGGCGAATTCGATACATAGAAAAAAGAAGATTGCGATGCCAGAGTTCATCCTCTGCATAACGCGACGAGAGTGAATAACGTGGGGGAGCGTGCCCAAGTCGTGCTGCCGAAGAGGCCGCGCATCTTCTCGAGCGTGCGCCGACCTACTTGCCCTCGTATTTGCCGCTCACGAGCTTTCTTTGCAGCGGCACGCTGACCCAGTTCTGGCCCCCGGCAGCAGGCTGGCTCTGGTCGGCAAACGGATCGTCCTCGGCAGCCTCTGCCGCCTTGTCCGTCTCCTCCAGCCTCGAGATGGAGATGCCGCTGCCCACAGCGTCGTGGCCCGTAGCCGCATATTCCCAACGGGCCTCAATGAGGCCGGCGGTTGGGGTCACGCCGTCCGCCCCGACGATGCGGCACACAATCTTTTGCATGTCACCCGTCAGGGTGATGTCGCCGAGGCGCCAGTAGACCAGGTGCTTGTCCTTGAGATGTGTTCCGCTCGGCTTCGTCTGTGCGCCACTGGCCTTGCCCTCGTACCTGGCCACGAGCACGACATCGTGCAGCGTCGTCGGGGCTGTAAACTGGGCTGACGGGTTGAGCTGATACTGCAGCAGGAGGCCCAGCTTGTCGCCCTGCGGCTTCCACGCCGGCTTCAAGAGCAGCGGCGCGTGCTGGCCGTGAACGGGGGGCTCGGCCTCCTCGGCGAAGACGCGATAGGAGAATGCCGTCGCCGTCTTGGCCAGGTGAGAGGCGTCAAGCGTGAACTGATCAGGTTGGTCTGGCGAAGAGTTCTGAACAAATATGCGGTTGGGCCCAATGCGTTCCAGGTTTGGGAAGTTGTTGATCCGGATGATCTCATGTGCTTGTCATAAACGTCAGCGACCAGACGCCGACATGGTCAGAGGAGTCAAAAAACTTACGCTTGCTCTCCGAGTCCGATGGATTATTGGCGAAAGCGATCTCACCCGTTATCGACGCGCTCTTGACCACTCCGTCCTCAAAAACGGCCGAGATGGTTTCGACGATGGAGCTATTCAGCCCGGGGCCCGTCATGTCAGGATGCTTGGCGTGGGTCAAGCTACCAAGCGAGTTACCGGACCGGACCGACTGCGTATCCGACGTGCCCGCGATGCTCGCCTCGGATGCGAGCGCAGTAACTGGCGTTTGCCGGGGAAAGGATGACGAGGACGCGGGAGGGGAGCCTGCTATCGACGGCATGGCGCCGTCGGACTGGCCCTCGCGTATGCTCGACGAAGGGGCGGGTACGTAGACGGTGTTGCGCACGTCGCGACGCCCTCTGATGGTGCTGGAGCGGCGAGTCGCAGGACCAAGCTTGAGCGTGTTGACCACGCTCGACAACGCGGCCTGCTTCGCTTGAGGATCTTCCTCCTCGACGGGCGTGGTCTGTATATTGAGCTTGAAGAGTTGATCCGCGTCCTCGCCCGCAGCCTCACGCTGAGCCTCGGAAATCGGATCGTTCATGGGTGCCCGTATCGTGAAGCCTTCCGCATCCTTGCTCTCCGGCGAAGAGCCTTCGGCCTGCTGTGCAGGCGGCGGGCCAGGCGGAGGAGCAACGTCCGATATGTCGGCGGCGTGGGTCCCGTTCACCCCTCCAGCGGTAGCGGCCGACGAGGAGGGGGGATCCACCGGCCCGGCATGGCTGTCAGCCACCCCGTTGGTTCCCTCGTGCGAAGGTTTGTGCTCGTCGGCAGCCGCTTCGTCTTGGCTTGGCTGGTCAGGCGTCTCGGCGAGCGCGGACAGCCGGCCCGAGTCTTGATGGAAGTTGCTCGTCGAGGGCCTGGGAGATATGCCGCGTCCATGGCTGCTGCCCAAGCGCCCAAAGGTCGTGCCCGTCTTCTGAACCGCCAACGGGCCGAATCCAAGGTGAACGCTCTGCCGCCGTCGGCCTCCAAGCATTGTTCCCAGGCGCCGAAGCTTGGATCCTACGAAGGTGTCAACAGAAGGGAAACTAGGCAACGGGCTCTTTCGGGGAGCGGCTTTACCTGGCTTGGCCTCGGTCGGGAGGGGGTTGTGATCGCTGACATCGTCATCGGCCGGGGCTTGAGAGCTTGCGGTCGGAGCAGGGCCTGACAAGGTTGAGTTGTTTGTGGTGCCGGGGAGAAGCGATGGCGGTGCCCCGGCCGAGCTGACAGGTCTAGGGCCGGCGGCGGGCGAGCGCCTAGTCGAGGACCTTGTGAGAGCCGCGGGTCTGCCAGCCGTTGTTCTCTGAGCAAAGTCGCGAATTTCCTTTTCGGTGCTTATCTCGAGCATGGCAGCGAGGGCCTCGACGGCGTTGTCCTGGGCTCGCTGGGCCTGGTTGGCCTCGTTGGTCTGGTACTGAGTCAGGAGGTCGCGCAGCTGATTGACGCGCGATTCGTCCAAGGCCTGCAGCGTCTCGAAGACAAAGGGGGCCTGGGACTCCCATTGCTGGGTGGCCGACTCGAGCCTCGAGGTGGCGGCGTCGACCTTTTGGGCGCTGACCTTGTTGCCCTTTCTGTTGAGCTTGTCGGCCTTGTCCTGCGCATCCTCGAGGTCCTTGGCCATGGCGCCGAGGTTGCTCGAGATGTTGTACATGCTCTGGATGTCACGCCGCTGCTGATATGCGCGCAGGGGATGCTCGACATCTTGCTCGATGCGCTCGGCGAAGACGTGGTGGGAGTGGGCAATGCGTTCGACGGACTCGATGATTCGGGCCCAGGGGGCTTGGAAGACTCTGCGATTGAGGGAAGGCCATGATCAGCGGTGTGGAGACCCAGGATGGTGGGTGGCCGGGATGTTTCTCTTTTCGGGAGGGAGAGAGAGAGCTCGAAGCAGGCTGTGAGGATGAGGTGAGGGGAGAAGGGGGGGTTGCAGGGGCGAGGCGCACCCCAAGTCTGAGTGCGAATTGGGAGCACGGTATTGGGTAAGTTTGCGCAGGCCGAGGGCGTATTGTTCCTCGACGCGACGGCGCTCCTGAAGGATTGCAGAGGCGGAAAAGTCAGCGATGATTGGGCGGCATGGCGCGTCGAGTCGCGAGCCCTCGTACCTGGAGCCAGTCGGCAATCTCGAGGTTGATCTTGTTGATGCGCTTGACGCGCTCGTTGAGCGTCTGCGTGGCCTGGCCGGGCTGCAGATGGGCCTGGCCGAGGTCAGCGCCGTCGGGCAGGGCAGGGCTCTGTCGTGGGCTCACCAGCATGCCGGGATACTCGGTCCTGGCCAGGTCGTCCATGGCGATGGCACAAGAGATGATGCAGAATAAGGGATGCTGTATGGACTAGCCAAGTGAGGCGCGCATGGTGGTGGCAGCGGGCGTAAGGTAAGGATGAGGCGGCGGACGTCAGCAGCGGATCATGCCGCTGACACGGGGAGAGAGAAGGGAAAGTTGGGACGGAAGAAGGGGAAAGAGAAAAAACGAGCGGCTTGAGATGACGGTTGGCAGCAGGCCGCGGTGGTGGTGTGGTGGTGGTGGTGGTGGTGATGATGACGACGGGTGCTGCTGAGAGTTGATTGGAGTGGAGGAGGAAGATTATTAGTGGGTGCCCGCCGCGAGTTTCAGCGACCTGTAGCCGGTAGCCAGTGGGCACTACAGGCCCCGTTAGGGCGTTTGACGGGTGCCGCAAGCAGCGCGAGCGCGTGGGAATACGGGGAGATTGGACGCTGCAGGAGCCTTACCGTGCCGCCGCCGGGTCATGCACTATACGGGCTGCTAGAGAAGGCTCCTTTGCAGCCGCGGTACGGGGGACCGACGAGGCATCGTCCATATTTGCACTGTCTGAGCACGGGAACGATTATGCGCTCCTGATCTGCGACCTGTCAATTCACACGGTCATGGATGCTACCGCGGCTGGTGCCCCGCTCCGCATTTGGTCTTTTTTTTTTTTACCCTGCTACCTGCTCTCCAATTGTCAAGTGTTTTTCCTTCTGCTTGTTTGTTTTTGCCCTCGGCATGAGTCGCATGACCAGCAAGCACTGTGCCGCACTGTCAGTCTCCAAACAAACAAGCATCTCCAGAAGCTCCTGCTGCCTAAGGCATCAGTGCCTGCCGGTCTTCGGAAAGTATCCGGTACACTAGGTTTTAGCATGTCAAGCTGGGCGCTGCAGGTACTGCGTACTTTGGCAGGGCCTCCGAGCTCGGGGTAATTCATCAATTCCATTGGCAATTCCTCCGCGCCAATGCAAGTTACTCCGTACCCACTTGTTCATGCTGCATCATGACGACCTCTTGGTAGTCAGGGATCCTCTTCCTCAAATCTATCGTCTCCCTCCCATCCTCTGCAATGTCCTCCTCGGGCAACTGGAAATCGTCCCTGTCGGCCCTCGACCGGTACGATGCCGTTCGGAAGATGTGAGGCGGCCCAGTCGTCTTGTCCTTTGCCCGTCGCCGCCCTCGTCTGACTGTTCGACTTGCCATCCGCCTTCACAGACAATCATCCCTGGGTCCCGCCAGGACTGCGAGTGACGCCATCGCCATTGAGCAAGAGGCTTACGGCATCTCCTCGACACGCGTACGTCGCGGCATTGGCTGGGACTGGCGCCGTGCTCTGACCTCTGTAGGACGAGTACGACGCGGCTTGCGCCTCCGCAGCTCATCAACCTCCTCCTTCTCGTCCAGACATTGCCGTCTCCCCTCACGATGCCGTCCGCATTGGGCCTTATGACGGCTGCATCTTTGTCGCCGAGGGCGTCACATCTGAGGTCTACCGCGCTGGCGACTTTGCCCTCAAGGTCATCACCACCGCCCACCGCTCCATGGAACCTCACAACCCCCAGCGCGAGGCCAAGATCCTGAACATGCTCCGCCCGCCCTGCATCCCGCTGCTCGACGTCTTCCGTGACCAGGAACAGCAGCTCGTCCTCCGCTTCCCCTTTATGCCCCTCGCCCTCGCCCAGCTTCTCGCCGCCGGGCCCCTGTCCAAGCAGCAGCTGCGTGTTATATTCACCGACACGCTGCGCGCCCTCGAGCACATCCATGCCCGCGGCATCATCCACAGGGACATTAAACCCTCGGCCGTTCTCCTCAGTTCGCCCTCTGGCCCGGCCTTCTTGTCCGATTTCGGTACCGCATGGCACCCGGAGCTCTCGGCACACAGCGAGCCCGCCGCCGACAAGATCCTCGACATTGGCACCGGGCCCTACCGTGCCCCTGAGGTCCTCTTTGGCAACAAGGCCTACGGGCCTCCCGTCGACATGTGGGGCTTCGGCGTCATGCTCGCCGAGGCCATCTGCTCCCCGCCCGTGCCGCCCTTTGAGTCGCGGCCGGTCGACGAGGACGGGAACCAGCTCGGCCTGATCCTCAGCATTTTCAAGACGCTCGGCACGCCGACGCCCGAGACCTGGCCAGAGGCCCGTCACTTCAAGGTCTCGCCCTTTGAGCTGTGGACCGTCTTTCCTCCCCGGTCGTGGCCCGAGATACTCCCTCAAGCGGACCCTCTATTCCGAGACCTCGTTTCTGCCCTGGTGCGCTACGATGGCCAGCGAGCATCTGCCACGACTGTATGCGCCGTCTTATCAGTTGATCACCACTAATACGTCTCGCTAATGTCATTACAGGCTCTCGGGTTTCCCTGCCTCGCTGCAGAGGGCAACGAATGATGTCACGAAGGACTCCCACCAGATCCTGCACGCACGGCATTCCCCTCCGCTCATTCGCTCTCACCTTTGGACGCGGAATCCGTTCACTTTGAACACACTCACCGGCTTCGAATTTATTGGCATCTGAATATACCATTGGCTCTTGTAGACTTGACGAGCATTGCTTCGGCAAATGCGATTATCCGGCTGCCTCACCACTCTTTGTCTGCCTAACACGTCAGACTAGCCTGCGTGGTCAGGTGGTTCGGGGGTCATGGATGTCTACCAGACCAACCAGCTGTCGGCGTAAACCTGCGACGTGCAAACGGCAGCTATGCCATTTAAATGCGGGATCTGGAGTGTCAAATAGCCCCTGATTCAAGACCGCTGTCGTCATGTAATGAGAAGCGCTACGATCCCGCCATCGTGTCCAGCCACATAGACAAAGGGGAGAATTTAAAACCAATCCTTACTCAATCATTCATCTTAAAATCAAGTTGTGCTTTTTACCCCTTTCCCTCACTACCCACGACGCCTCGTGACTCGTAATGCCCAGCACTGTCCCACCGGACCATGCCCAACACTCTCTTCAGAAGCACATAGCCTCCATCCCCCCCCTCACCCCTAAACCTGCCTCCGCTTGGCCGTGTCGGCCCCCAGGTAGTCGATGGGGTTCCTGCACAGCGGGCACGTATTCTGGTTGCTGCTCTGGAACCACTTGTACAGGCACGACCGGTGGAAGAGGTTTTTACACGTCGCGCACCGCTTGTCGGGCATGCGCCGGTCGGCCGAGATGATGCTGTAGCAGATGGCGCACTCGCTCTGGCCCTTGAGCGCGCCCGCCACGTTGCGCCGAAAGACCTGCAGCCCGTCGATAATGCTGCCGTTGGAAAAGGCAATGACCCCTTGCGTCGTCATGATCCAGCTTTGCCACTTGCGCTCCGTCACGGCCACGCGGTGCAGGCTCGCCACCGCCACCGCCCCGATGGGGTAGTCGGCCGGCATCTTGATGACAATGGCCGCCTGCGACTCGTCTACCTCGTAGCCCGCCGTCACCTCGCGCGCCGCCTTGGACACCTTGACCAGCAGCTCCTTGTCGTCGCCGCCCGTCTCTTGAGAGTCCGCCCACGCCTGGACCTTGTCGAGCGTGTCGGCCACAATGAGCGGCGAAAAGTACTTGGTCGTCCACGACTCGACCGCGATTCGCGTCTGCTTGGAGCGGCAGTCAATGTACCATGCCTTGAAGAGGCCCGGTATGTACTTGAGCGCCAGATAGAACAGGTGTGCGAGCAGCCAGTGCATGCTCTTCTCACCCGGTTCCGAGTCGGCCAGCCCGATGTCGTATTCGCAGATTTGCTCCCCCCCAATGTTCTCCTTGTCGAGGTTCAACGGGTGGGCTGCCGAGTGGCCGAGGACGTCAAAGAGAAAGTCCAGCAACGGGCGCACAAACTCGCCCGTCTTGAGGTGCTCGGCAAAGTCATTCCTGACTTTGAAGGACGGCGTCGAAAACGCGTCAAAGAGAAGCTTCCAGGAGAGGAGATAGCAGCGGACCGACGATGGGAAGAGCAAGAGAGCCTCGTCCGAGTATTTCTCCAGCGTCGGGGGATCGAGCAGCAACGAAAGAAGCTCATCGGGAAGGCGAGCATCTGCGGCAGGTTAATAGCTGATCAAGGGACGCAGAATCCAGTAACTTGCCTGTCTTGTCCAGCAAAACATTGATCGACTGCTCTTCCTGCTGTGCGGGTATCTTTCTGTGGAGCATATTGAATGCCGCAGTTTGAATGTCTCGTGATGCTGAAGCAACCAGTGGGAAGACATCTGTCGGCTCAGGGAGACGCGCCACGGGAATCTTTTCCGTCTCGCGGCACAACATCGCATCCACAATCTCCATTGGCTGGGAACCTTCCTCGCGCGGTAACCTCATCAGTTCCAACAAGCCTCTGCATTTCATGGTAGCAACATCTCTCAAGGCATCTTGCAAGTCGTCATTCGTATCCGGCATTCGCTCGAGAACTCTAAACAGCTTGAGCGACGAGTGTATAAAGGGCAACGCTTCCCAGAGAACGTGCTGCCCCGCGCGTTCCCACAGCGCGACACAAAATTGCAAAGTCTTTTCCCAGTAAGACCCGTAGACATCCATCATGCAAGGCAGCAGCTGGCCAAGCGCGCGGCACATATCGGCGCAAATGTCAGGGTCCAAGTCGGCAAGGTCTTCTGTCCAAGAGGTGATTTGCTTCACCGCAAAGACGACTCGATTATTCGCAACGGGAAGTTGACCAGGTTCGTAGACTTGGGCGCACAGCGTGAGAAGCACCAGCGTCATCCTCGACTTGTCTTTCTCTGGCGAGGTGCCGGCGACATCGCTGACGAGTCGGTTGCAGAAGTTGCTAGCTGCCTTTGACGGTTTTAGGGTCTCCCCAAAGCCGGCCATCAACCCCGCCGCCAGCAAAGCCGTCTCCGGCGTGGCTTTGAGGACGTCTGGCTTGAAGAAGGTTTCTTCCAGGCTGGGCGGAGTTCCATGGGCCTCTGTGAGTGTCTGGATGAGCTCAGTCAACACCTTGGCACTGTAAACACCGCGAGGTGTAAGCTCCATGGCCTCCTTCATGGTCAAGTCGACAAGGTCGCGAACAACACTCGACACGCCTTGTTCAGGGGTTTTGTCCCACTGAGTGGCGGCGGCAAGAATTTTACTGAGGAGGTTCCTGGACGAAGTGACGAGCTCTTCTGCTTGAGCCATTGTGTAATTATCGTCCAATGTCATCCAGAGCCCGTCACTATCCAGCGAGGTAACTTGATCAGAGGCGAGCTGCAAGGATAGGCATTGAAGGTACAGGAGCTCGACGTGGAACTGGCGGGGAAGATCAACATCTACAGGCGCAGAAGAAAGGAGTTCATAGGTGTAGAGCGCCATTCTTGCGGGTATGGAGCGTCCTTGTCGGTCCCTTTGCGTGGAAGTCTGGGTTTTCCGGGGGAGCGAACGGACACGAGGAAGCGTCACAGCGCCTCCAATGGCGCTCGTGATGGCTAGTGCAGGGTTGACAGGCTGCTCCAGGAGGGTTGAAAGCTCCGTCATCCACACGTTGGTGTTTGGACATACGTCTTCCCAACGCACAGTCGTGTCGACAGCTCTTTTGGCCTGCGATGCGAGAGTGCTGATCCTGAACAAAATAAATTAGCTCGGCACGAGGCCGTTGATGCCGAAGGAACATACTCAAGAGACTGAGGACCGGCTCGCTCCAAGTTTGACTGAATAATCTCCACCACTGGCAGTGTGCCGTCTCCGTGGCCATCCAGTAGCGAACGCACTCGTGCTGCTTTAGGGGAGACGGAGTTGTCACCAATTTCCGACAAGCTCAGTAGCTGGGCCACGATATCGGTGTGGATTGCTTCTTGCTGGTAAAAGAGCTCGGGCTGTCTTTGGACGACAATTTCCAGCAGATCCAGGACACTCTCCGTGTATCGCGTTTCCTTTCCCAGCAGTGTCACCATGTCGCCCGTAAGATGGCGGCTGGTGTCGGAATCAAGAGCTTGGTTGACAATGGCGGCTTCCAGAAAGGCCCTCGCATTTCCCTCCGTTTCGTTTCCATGTGGTTCAATTGCCTCCATGGTTTGAGAACGCACCAGCTCCTGGAGCCTTGGGGCTTTCTTGGCAAGCGGAGCGGCGTTTTTCTGCGAGACGAGCTGAGCGAGTGCCACATTTCGAGACACCTTTGACGATAGGTCTATGGACGCTTGTGTCCACAGCGACCAAATGCTCTCGTAGTCGCCTTGGCGATCTGGAATGGTCCCGAGAATGTTTAGAGAAGAAAAGAGGTGACGAGACGAGGAGGAGCCGACAACTTTGTCCATGTCTTTCGCAGCCAAGAGGAGAAACCGGGTGAGGTTATCTCCGGTCTCTGCCGTGAACAGGTGGGGTGATGTACTCAGTGCATATTCTAGAGCTTGAGCGGCGCCATATGGCTTCAAATTTCGACTTTCAAGAAGCGCTAGGCAATCCATAACGATTTGTGTCGAAGGAGCCCTGGCATTGTCGAAGTCGTCGTTCAGACCTTGCAACTTGCTGTGCAGCGATCCAACAAGCCCAAACCATCTTCTGCCTTGCTCACCAACTTTGGCTTGAGATGCTTGAAACTCCTTGGACACCTCGGGGAGGGATGAGGATATGTCCTTGCAAAGCATGGTCCCAAGACGGGCCCATTCACCGGCGACGGCTGAGGCGAGGCGGGAAGTCTTCACCAAGCCAATATGAATTTCGACGAGAATAGTCATTGCATTTGGGCCAAGCGGAATAGACGTTGGATTTTTGGAAACGGAGAACAAAAATTGCTCGACAAGGGGGAAGAGTTGTTGTTTCGCCAGAGCCAGCTGATCGTCGTCGGGGAGAGCGTTGAGGCATCGGGTGGCTGCATCGACGTAGCATTTCCACGAGGACGAGGTGTTTGTTCGGGGCTCGTCGCGACTTGTGATGCCAGACTTCAAAGAAGAAAGGAGACCTGACGCTTCCTCGAGGGTCAAGCTTTCGTTAGGAAGGCAGGCGAGGAGCCTGCCCAGGCACTCCCAGAACTTAGCGGGGCTTCCTTGTGAACCCTTTGCGATAAAGGCCTGCAGCCTCGAAAATGGAGACTTCTTTTCACCAGAGCTTATAGCCCATACGCTTGGATCTTGTTGAGTCAACTTGGTCAGGGCTCGTACGTACTCCAGTGCAGATCCTGACTGGTTGGTCTTGAGGCCGCCGGTGATAAATGCTTGCTTCGCCATGGCCGATTCAGCATATGGAAGGTGGCGCTCGATGGACATGAACAGCAGCTGACACGCGGCCTTTCTGACTTGGGGGTCTTTGAACGTGATGCTTTTCCAGACGACGTCCTCGGCGAAGAAGGCATCAAGCTTTGGGCGTGACTTTTCAACGACGCCATTTTCCAGCTGGAGTAGGCTGAGAACCAGGGACAAGCTGGCGGCAATGACTCTGAAGTACTTGGCATCGGCGTCCTCGGCCGTGGTCGTCCGCTCATCACTCAAGGTATCCCGAGACTCTTGAGCGGCCTCGATGGCGTAGTCGAGGATCGGGGACTGGCATTTGATCCAGAAGGCGGAAACCTTGTCGGGGGTGTCTAAGAAGGAAGACAGGCTGTCTTCAGCGGACCTGGCAACGACTCGATCGCGGTCATAGAGACCTGAGAGCCATGCGCCGACAATGGTGGGAATGTGCCGCTCCATACGCTTGCGGGCCGACTTCAGCAGCTGGAGCTGCACGGAGTGGGAGAGTTCGCGAACGCGGCGGGAATTGTCGATGGAGATGCGCGGATACAGCTGAGCCTGCGATTTGTGAGCAACAGGCCCCTCTGACAGTCGGGAGCGAACGGCTTACCCATATTTCAAGAAGAGCTTCGTCGACGCCGGCTCCCTGGTCAAAGGGATGAGCCTGGACATGGTGCAGCAGGTCCTCGAGGGCCTTTGCCTTTGTGGTGCTGTCCTTTTTCAGGACGTTTTTGAGCGACACGACGAGGTTAGGATCCGAGACGGCGGCGAAAGATGGGGGCTCGGTCAGATATGACAGGGAGGTTCCCGAGGACCCGATGCCGAAGCCGGTGCCGAAGCCTCGAGACGCGGCTTTGCCCTGTTGGACGCGCTTCATGATGCTGAGTCGGCAACGTGGCGCGAGCTGGAGGAGCTGCTGAGACTCGGGGAGAGAAAGCTTCGCGGATGATGTCACGGGCCGCCATTTGAAGTACTTGAGCTTTTCGGGGACGGCAGGCACGGAATTTGGGAATACAGTCACGCCGAGGCAGAAAAGCGGGTCCAGGGACGGCGAGCCCAACTCGGCACTCGGGCCAACTCTGCAGAGAACTCTTCACAATCACGCTCTTCGTGGTCCTCGGCCTCTCCGTTGCGCTGGTTGCACACCTGTCATGGATTAGAATACGCCAGCACCAACCGTTAGTCACTTCCTCAACACTTGACGTCAGAGTCGATGAAGAGACCTGGCTCAGCAAGGCGCAACGTCACCGATCCTAGTCGACGGGAGGGTCCGACCATCCAAGACAACTGGAAGATGGATCGGCAGGCTGTCTAGCCTTGCAGCACGCGGCTCGGCCTGCATCGTTGACGGGGAATTCAATGGCCCAAGACTCGGTTGCAATTTGCCGTGTAACAGGAGGTATCGGTATTTTCATGCCTCGGTAGCGCATTGGCAACTTGCAAAAGTGTTGCTGCCACCGCAAACTGGCCGAGCAAGCTAGACCACGAATACTGTGAAACCCAACTCGTGTCTCGACCCCAACCAATGTCTTGACTTCAGCGTTTTATCTGCTGCTCAAAGTCTGGAGGCGCCAATAACCTGATGAAGACACGCAACGGCGCTGCAGCTCCATGCAGATGACTGGGGCATCGATCGTCACAAGCTGCAGCCACATCCAAATGCCGATTGCAATCGCTCGGCTCCTCGGATGGGCGTCGACAAGTCTCTTGAGCGGGACAGAGGTGGCCAAGCAGAGAAGCTGACTGGCACTGCTGGGTGATATTATTCACTTTGACTGCGTGATGAGCAGACGACTGTCAGCCAAGGCAGAGCTCAAGATTGCATACAACCTTTCGAGTCCACAATTGAGAGTTCGCGGACGAGATTCCGACCAACAAACATCTCGGGGTTGCCGGAGTCGCAAACAAAAGAGGGGATCTAATCGTGATTCCTCTCGCAGAACCTAGCTACCTAATCCTTTCCTCAGAAAGATCCGCCATCGACAACAAAGTGCCCAACCTGTATCCGTGCGAGAGTCTCAGCAGACAACCCGGTTCTCCCCGGATTTCCCCGTTATAGACAGGCTGTTGCGGAGCTCGGCCAGGGGCCATGATTGGCCACGTCGCAGACGGCAGCCCGGCCGGGAGTTTCAGCGCTCCCCCTCACTAAAACGGTAGCGGTGCGGTCGGGGCGAGCAGGGCGCTGTGGCGTCCACCCACGTCACTGCGGCACTGGCTTTAGTGGCTCCGGGGCCTGTGGTGGGGGCCATTCTGGGGTGCCCGCAGCTACCCCGCAGGTCTCTGGCGCCGACTCGCCTTGCTCTAAGCCCCATCGAGTACCTCCAGCTCTCCCCTCCGTCACCCTTTAAACTCCCGCCTCTCTTCGTCAGCCTTCGGCCTCCTCATCCTCATCCGTCAGATATCCACCCAACGGTTTTCTCCTGCTACTCGCTCCACGCTCGTCCTCTGGTCCCTCCCTCGCCCGTTGACATTCCTTCCCATCTTGCTCGCCGGCAGCCCGTCAGCGGCCATTTTCCAACGCCGTCATAACCCGCTGCCCGCCACCCCTCTCCGTCTCAAGCATCCCAGGCCACATGCTCCCGCTTCTGCATCTCCAAAGCTTTGTTTGGTATGTCCTCCGTCTTCTGTGTCAGCGACCTCTCGCAAGCAGTATCTGTGCTTCGCCTGCCGAGACTGCCCGAATGCTTACGCTCCCAAACACAGCCAACAAGAGCGTCGCTGATTCTTGGTCGCCGAGTCTTCCGGCTGGGAGCACCTCGACGCCATGTTGCCAGCAAGGGCTACTCCCGCTTCTCGCCTGAGACTTGGCTTCATGCCGCGGCCGTCTCCACGATGTTCCCTTCTCTCCATGTACAGCCTGGGCACAGAAGCACAGTCTCGGGGCTTCCGCTTTGGCTCATGGTCAGATGCCGATGTGCGATGGCGTCACCATGTCTTGCGATATAGGTACATGGAATCTCTGAGCCGCAACCTCTCCTGGGAAAACGGCTCCCGCGACAGCAGTTTCCCGGATTGCATGAGCGCAACATCTCGCTCCTGGGGGGCACCACGCTCCTCAACCGATGGCGTATATGCCGATCTCGACGACATTAAGTCATGGTCAGACGCAATTTCGGGCCTGCGCCCAAGCAGAAACACCGACCGCGTCGAGTCCGAGGCCTTCGACGATTTGTTTGCCTCTGGCGGCGGCGCTTCCAAGCAGCACAGTCCGTGGACGTCATTCCACCACATCCGCAAATATCTCCCAAAGCGCCGATCACCCATAGAAGCTACCTCGAAATCTGACCTACACACGTCAAAGCAAGGGCAAGACGAGGGCTTCATCGACCCCATTACCAATCGCCGGGTGTTTAAACCAACCACCACGGCGGCGGCCCTAGCAGCGTCCAATCTCGAGCATCAAACCCTCGGCAAGAACACTTTGGCGTCTAGCGCGCGAGATATAGACGCCCAATCTGGCCGGAACTCAGCAGCCATTTCCAAGACTGAACCGAAGCCGGAGCGACAAAGGGGTCCAGCAAATCTTCCTTCAGCAAGTCGCGATGACTCGATTGCCTCCCGGGAAAGAAGCCACCGGCTGGAGTCTCGGAGGCCCAATGGATTTAGCAAGAATAAGCTCGACGGTTGGAAAGGATCCGAAGATTCACTGCAACAGGCTTCGCACAAGGAGCCCAAGCTCTATGACGACTTGAACCAGGCCTATGCCAACTTGAACAAGTTCAATTACGGCTTGGGGAGCAAGAACTCCGCCGAGAACGATGGCAACCACCCGGCGCAATCCCAATCCAGCGTCGAACTGGAGTCGAAGAATCCTAGCGACCATGCCAAGTTCAAGTCCGTGTCTGGGAATGAATCTACCACTATTCCACAAAAGCCCTCTGAGGAGCTCTCCAATGGCTACGATGATCTCGAAAAGTATGGACCTGTGCTCTGGAACGAACCAGATGGCCTTTGTAAGCCCGCTCCCGAGGAGTCGTCGAAGAACTACCCGGATCTCGACAAGTACGGCCCAATCTATTTCAATGAGCCGGACGGCCAGCAGCACCGGACCGCGGATAAGTCAAAGCAGGACAAAGACCTGGACCTGTACAAGAAGCTCGAAGGATACAAGGTCCCGTTTGGTGCTGACGACGCCATCCTTGCTGCCCACGAAAGAAGCCAACAGGTTTTTGCGCCAAAAGCCGAGCCGATTGCGGCCAAAGTCGAGGTTCCCTTTGAGGACCCGGCCAAACAGTACACAGACCTGGATAAATATGGTCCGGTATACTGGAACGAGCCTGATGTTTTCCGACAATTGAATCAAGGCCTGGGCAAGTGCTCGCATTACGCTGCCACGCCTCTCGCGCACTCTCGAGGGGCGCATGCTGCCGCCAGCTGCAAAGCACCGGAAAGCCATCCTGTGGAACAGACGAAGCTGAAGTATGAAGAACCACCCAAGAAGCGACCTGACTTTGACGCCTCACGCCGCGCCTACGCAGTTGATCGTAATGTCACATCGAAGCTTTACACAGGCCTGTCTCGAGACGGGTTGGAATCGCACAAGAAGTCTGACGAAATCTGCCCAGATTCCGCTGCAAGCAGCCGCACGATTATCAATGCGACTAGAACGCCTTTAAGCGCAACAGACCGCTTATCGGATAAGCATCGGGGTCAATCAGACGGCGTCCGTTGTGATTCCCTCGGCACCAGTCGGGAGTCGGTGGGTTTCAGGACAGCTGCTGACATCCGCGCCGACGTGCTTCGCCGGGCGCGCAATGACGACAAGAAAGCGAAGCTCCAAAAGGCCAAGTCGGAGCACGAGCTGACCTGGGACGCGACATCAAAGGACGCACAGGACACTCTGAAGCAGGTGAAGATAAAGACGGAACGAACTCTGACCGGCAACTACGTAAGGGATTTTCCACAAGAGTTCGCGACATCCTGGAGCACCGCCAACTCCCCCTCCAAGTCAAGCCTTTCCCCCAAGAACGGCGGCGGCAGCGGGCAGCCGGCTGCGGCATCGTCCGAAATGCTCAATATGGAGAGAGACGAGGCCGAGCCGAGCTCGATGGATGAGAGCTTCCCAAGCGAGGAAACAAAGTTGGAGCCCTCCCTCGATCGCCGATCAACGAGAAGCTCGGCGAGAGCGGCCACTCCTCGTCTGGATACGCAACCAGCAGAGGAGGACATGCACTCGAGGGAACCACAGGGGCTGGAGACTAATTACATGGAGGAATGCGGCGACCGGCCGGCGCAGCCAGCTTTTGTGAAGCACTACAAGGCGAGGACGCCCGCGGAGACGAAGAATGTGCCGGGAGAAGCGTCAGCAGAGGGTGAACAGCCCGCATCATATAGGATACTTGCATATGATGCAGCGACGGGGTCCCTCAGCATCGCCGAGACGACGTCTGGCGTTGCGGACACACAAACATGGGCGTCGCCCGCGGCCGTTTTGCCACGCCTCTCGAGCCCATCGAAGTTCCTCCCGCACTTTGCGCGGCTGCATGAGCAGGGGTATGAGATTGTGGCGGGCGGCGGCGACGTGCTGGTTTTCCGCAAGGTCCGAGCCGCCTCGCCCGAGGCCACCTCGAAGCCCGGTGAGACTTGCCAAGCCTGGGAGGCTCCAGTCAACCCCATTGACCTGATGGGCAAGCCTGTGACAGGCAACTTTGCGAGCCCGACGGGGTTTGTCAACTACGATGCGCCGGCAGGTCGAGACGATAGCAAGCCGTCACCTCCGTTCCGGACGAGCGGGGGCGCCGCGACCGACGAGCGCCGGGGAGGCGAACACGGCCGCCGGAGGGGGAAGCGCGGGTTCGGACGCAAAGTCGTGATAGGTGCGGTGTGGGTGACGGGAATTGCTTACGCGGCGGGTGTCTTGGGAGAGTACTTTGCAACTGGAGGTGTCGACGGCTTGGGGCCCACGGGTTTCTAGCCGGGCTGTCAAGTGATGAGGAGCATTGCGCGGGTTGAAGGAGAGACGCCGATGGTCAAGATTAAGTATCAGGGGGAGGCAGCGGAAGAGGACTCGCCGGCGGTGGCCGTCTCATTTTTTCCCTGTGTCATTTGCAGATGGAGGTTCCTGACAACTCACTTTTAACTTTGCATTTGGCGTCTGAGGAGTAGAGAGAGTGTACATTATAGCCATGGGGCAAGCGGATAGCATGAGCAGAGCAATCAACAACGATTCCCACAGTCTTTCCTTGGCGGGTCCCCAACCACGCTTCTTTCCCGAAGAAGCGATGTCGCCTTGGGGCGCTTTGCCCATCAGGTCGTGGGCTTCTCCGTAAAGCCGGGACCCGTGTTTCCGACGGCCATGCCCGACATTTGCAGCACGTGCTTCTGGTCCTCCTTATTCCAGCTCTGGCGGCGGTCGAGGGAGGGCTTCCAGGCGTTTGTGTGGTCGATGGCGCGCGCGGCGTCGGCCTGGGCGTGCGTCGTCGTCGTCGTCGCCGCCGCCTGCTGGGAGTGAGGATAGTGGTGGGGAATGGCGGCGGATGACGTTGGCTGGGTTTGGCCCTGGGTGGAAGAAGACATGGCCGCAAGGATGTGGGGAGGGGACGTATGTGGTGCTGGTGTCGCAGGTGCGGTTTGGCTGTTTCGACGGTTGGTTGGTTGGGGGAGGTTGATGTCGATTTGGCGTGTAAGTGTTGTGGTGTGTGAAGATGCGTTGACAAGGATTGATTCAGGGTTGGGGAAGATGGGAGAGATGGAGAGATGGGAGAGGTGGAGTGAGGAGGAGAGGATAGGATTAAATGGATTGTTTATTCGGGTATTTATTAGTTTAATGCCTGCCCATCGGTAGCCGTGGCAGGAGCAGCATCGCCACCCGCTTCGGGAGGGGTACCTTCCAAGATTCGCGGCAGCATGGCGTGAGGTGGGCGTGAGGTGGGCGTGAGGCGGGGTCAGTCGATCTCGAGACCGTCCATTCCCTCTCCTCTCATTCTCTCCTCTCCCTTTCGCCCTCGCAGGACTAGACTCCGAGGTCCGGCTCGATTGGAACGCAGCTCACTTTGGCCCGACCAGTCGAGGCGGTTGATGGTTCGTTCCACGTCAACAGTCAATTGCCGCTCCATCAACTACCGTCCAGGTGCTGTTGCTGCTCCCGTCGTCCAACGCTCTGCACAGCAGCATCAAAAGCGCCATCCTCGCTCTGTTCGTTGCAAACACACGGCTGCCTCCAACTCGACATGCAACTATACAAGCCCAGCACGCCACGTCACGGGCTACCTATGCAGCTCCTCGCGTCCACGCCACCAGAGGGGGGAACGCCTTACTATGTACGCTGGAATAAAACAACAATGGGGCCGTCGCTGGCGTCAGGCGACGTCTAGCTCTAACGCGCCAAATGAAAATGGGGGATATTCGCCTAGCTCATCCTCTGCCTCGCCAGAAGCACCTTAGCCCAGCAGCCATTGGCCAACAGGACAAGCTCGACAAGCTTACGGAGTGCGCGGGCGCTTCCAGTAATATTGCTATGCATTCAGTCAGCATGGCCCGTCTATTCCCCCCTCACGGCACTGGCCACCTACCTTGTGTTGCTTCCTGCAGGCTCGCAGGCTGGGCTTCCGCAAGCCGTCAACCACGGCGGCGCGGCGCTGCTCGTCATCATCGTGCTCCGGGATATAGTAGTACTCGCTCTCAAGCGCCTTGCCCGCCGCGTCCTTGCCCTCACGGCGGATGATGCCGATACACGCCGTTGACTCGATGGCCTCGCGCAGCGCGTCATGGTCCAGCCCGACGGCCCTCGACTCGGCCGGCAGGTGCTGCACAATGGTCGACAGCGGCGTCGACGAAAGGCGTGAAAAGGCAAGCTGGTTGACGACGTGGTTGGCGATGACGGGGTCCATCATGGGGCTGGGGCAAGGTGGCGGGGACGACAGTGGCCCTTCAGGCGAGGATGGCGTTTCGGCTGCTTCGGCCGCCGGCGACGGCGCTGCTACCGTCTCAATACTCGACGCCGATGAGCGCTTGTTACGTGGCGATGAAGGCGTCGCGTTGTCGGCTCCAGAGAAGGTGGTGAGCGAATCGCCCAAAGACGCGTTGCGAGCATGTCGACGAGCTGCCGCCTTGGTGGCCATTGCTTTGGGAGACTTTGACATTATCGAAGCCATCCTGCCCGAAATGTCGGCACCAAAGGGCCCAAAGGAGTGGATGATGGGGTCGTTTTCCTCGTCCGGGTTGTGATCCTCGCCATCGCTCAGCGTCTCGCTCGAGAAGCTCGCCGTGGCCTCGGTACGCATGCTGGCGCCGACATTCAGGTTGGCCACGGCAGCCGGAGACGGCGAGGCGGGGCTCGGAAGCTCAGGCTCGACGTCGGAATCGTCCTCATAAATTTGGATGCCCTCTTGGTCGCGAAGGTGGCCGCCGGGAGGCAGAAGCAGAGACTGCTGCAGCCGCTGCGAGCTCGACATTGGCATGCGTCCGGTCGAAGCCGGGGTCGGGCTCTCAGGAGAGGCAATGCGCGTGGAGCGGCGCAGAGGCGACGACTGGATCAGCAGCGAGTGGCTGGCAGGGGCGTGGGACGAGGGCGGAGAGTCATCCCAGCTCGACGAGTCGGAGAGGCTGGCAGCGACGTTATCGCCGCCGACGCCACTACGTCTCGGCCACTGGATCATGACGCGTGCGTCGAGCACGTCGACCATGACATCTGCACACTCGGTCTCGCTGGTGAAGCTGTCTCCCTTAAATAGCTCCCACGTGCGGCCCTGGCAGTGCAGCTTGAGCCCGTTCCAGCCGTTGCAGACAATCTCAATTTTGGCTCCGCCCGCAGCCGCAGCGGGGATGTAGCGGGCCAGGACATGGACGCGGGATATGAGGCGGTTGGCCGAGAGCTGGACGTGCGACGAGTTGCTGGAGCGGCCGAGGAAGACTGTCTCGCCGCTGTCGGACAGCTCGACGGCGGGCACGGCAGAGAGAGGGACACGCTCCGAGACGGCAGCAACTGTGGGAGAGGCTGAGGCGGCGGCAGACAAGCGAGCCTGGAGGCCGCGGCGTCGGGACGCGTGCTGGGGAGGCGAGCTGGAGAAGAGGATGCCGGTGCTCGAGGTGGGCACGGGGGTGGGGAGGCTAGGCTTGCCCGTGTTCTGACGCTTCAGAGGGCGAGGCAGGCCGGGCGACGAGGACAGCGGCTCAAAGGCCGGCAGCAGAGAGGGAGCGGGACGCTTGCCGCCAGAGAGGGAGGTTGACGACAAAGAGGGCTCGTCGTGGCGGGCTGGTGGTTGCTGAGCCGCGGGCAGAGACGGAGGCGAGTCCATGGCTGCGAGGTCGCGTGGGAGCTCGTTGGGGGGTCGAGTTCACTGCCCCCGGGGCGTGGCTATGGAGTCGTGTCGTGAGGTCAGAAGATGAAGAGCATTTCCCGCCGTGATTGTTGGATATGTTTGTCGTAGGGTGCATCAAGACGTGGCAGTGGAAATCAGGGCATCAAGGATGAGAGACGCGCCGCGTTGTCGATGGTGCTGGAGGGACGAAGAGGTATTATTGAGGACAAAGAGGTGGTGGCCTCGATGGTAGGTCGGCGGCCCGGGAACAGGGAGTATGGGAGGAGAGAGGGGACGGGTGCAGAGGCGAGGAGGTATTTAAAAGAAGGGGAAAGGGAAAAAAGAAGCGGCGGTGGGTTCGACACGAAGGAACGCGATGTACACGCATCGCGTTTTGGCGTTGGCGTTGGCGTTGGGGCGGGCCTTTGTGCGCGCGCGGGGGGGCATAAACTGGGCGACTGTGCACTGCAAGATGTGCATTTACAGTGGGTGGCGGTGATTACTCAGGCCCTGGAAGCACGGCGAGGGGCGCTGGGAGCACGCCTCTGTATGACGGCGGCGGCCGATTTACAGGGCATCGGTGGCTGCACAGGAGCCCTGCAGGGTTATCCCTCCATTGTGCAGTGGTCTTTTTTTGGATGGTTCACGGCGGCGTGCACAATGGCAGCACTGGCGGCTCCACTAACCATTCACTGTAGCAGCACTCACCAGACGTGCCAAAGTGCTACTGGATAGAATCGGAGATGAGCGCTCATCTTCCCCCCAGAACGCGTCTTTCTCACTTTACCCACCTTGACAACTTCTTTTCTTCGCCGTCCTTTCTTTTCCCTTGCTCGACCCGCATGACGCACATGGGCTGTCGATGTCTTCCTTTGATTAACCCTCACAGTCGCCTGCATGACGGCGTTGGCCAGAAAACACGTCTCCACCTGTGCTGCTCGCCTACCATGACCGCGTTTCTCTCTCTTATTTCACTGTGGCTTTATCACCGCCGTATCCGTACCCTGGCGCCTAACCTGTTTCTACGGGTTGCCCTGTCCATCCGAGGTATCAAGTGTTTCCGCCTCGGGGAACAAGCCCTGGGCAGAAAGCTGGGCAGAAAGCTGGGCAGAAAGCTGGGCAGAAAGACGCCAGCGCCTACGGCATGCCCGGTCCAATATTGCCTGTCCAGCTGCTCGTCCGTCAGCCCGCAGCGGCAAATGGGACCCGATGCACTCTGCCTCTTTCTTGTTCACTTCATCATCAGTCTGCCCCTCCCCTGGCCCCGTGAAACCGTGCACGCGCGGGAACCAGGCGCGCGAATCGGAGAGACTACAGCTCCCTCTCTTGTCGCTGCTGGCGTCCAGGACGGAGGGTGGCCGCCGCCGCCTCGTCCTCGGATACCGACATGGCCCTCTATTCTCTGGCTCTCTCACGCGCGCCTACTTGCTCGCTCAGCGAGCCAGGGCAGGCAAGGGGAAAGGGGTCAAGTCTTGCCCCTTTTCCTTTGGCCCGAGTGACGCATGCCGTGCCGCTGCCGCCCTGGTGCTTCCCCTCACGACCATCCCGCCGCGGTTTGCCGCCGTCGACCTGTTTGCTGAAAGTCAAAGGGCTTGCGTGCTGCTGCGGCTATCGGCGTCGTGCGCCCCCCCGACGGGGCAAATCGTGCATGGGGCGCTCGCGGCGGAATCAGCCGCAGGCCCTTGCTCGCAAAAGGGGTCGCGTCGCTCAGCGGCCGCGTCCACTTATATTTCCGCTGGGCGACAGAGGGGTGCGGGTGGCCGCTGCGTTTCGTCTCCTTGGCTTCGCGGTTTGGTCTCTGACCTGCCCTAAGTCTGGGTCGGAGACGCTGGTGTTGAAGCTCGTGGAACGCCTCCCGGGCCAACGGTTCTCCTGGCGTGGCTTGCATTGATTCGTTTATGACTCTGTCTTGGCTCCGGTGCCGTCAGAAGAAAGGGGCGAAGTTGAGGCGTCGTGAATCGTGAATCGCGGCTTCGTCGTGCACGAGGTCGGTGTAAGTGACAGCCAACCAAACGCAGAAACGAGAGAATGTCTCTGGCGACCCTGGACCGACCGTTAGAATATGAAGAGTTGAACCGTGATGGCGAGCCCAAGGTCTTCATTCCCGTACAGCAGCCACGGGCGCGTCCTGACGTGCATCTGTGGCGTCGCCTCGGGTCCGGGACCATCGGCGGGCGGGGCTCCGAAGTTCGGAGACAAAATGGCAAGTCATGGCGGGGTACAGGCCCGATCTTCCGGTGGTGAGTGGTGGATACCTCGGACTGCCTGCCGGCGCCCCGCCCGGACCCCGGGACTTGCATATTCCGAACGCCGAAGGTACCTCGTACCAGGCGAAAATTTTGGATCTTTTTTTTTTCTCAACGGTGGGAGCCTTGGAACGGAGCAGAGCAAAGCAACCATCACCACATTCATCTGCCCTCGCTCGTCCACATCGTCGTCGAGCTCGCTCTCTCACAAATCGCCCATCATGGCGCCGCCGTCCAAAGAAGTCGTCGCCGCCGGCTCGAGTGCCCTGACGCGCATTGATCCCGACCAGGTTCGCTCGACTCTTCCTCGCTGCCTCCAACCCAGCTGCTCGCTTTCCTTTCGTGTTGCCATTTTGCTGATTCTGTATCTTGCGCAGACCCTAAAGGCGTCCAAGGCCCTGCTCGCGCACATCAAAAAGGCGGCTCGGCAGCAGCAAGAGGGCGCCGACGGCAAGCGGAACCTGCTGCAGGACGACGACGACGACGTCGACGACGACACGCCCGTTTGGCTCACGCTGACGACCAAGCGCCATATTGCCGACAAGGCGCGCCTGCAGCCGGGAAAGATTGCGCTGCCGCACCCGCTCGTCGACGAGGCGGCGGCGACGACCGTGTGCGCCATCACGGCCGACCCGCAGCGCGCGTACAAGAACCTCATCGGCTCCGACGACTTCCCCGCCGCCCTGCGCCGCCGCATCACGCGCGTCATCGACCTGTCCAAGCTCAAGGCCAAGTACGGCCAGTACGAGGCCCAGCGCAAGCTGTTTGCCGAGCACGACGTCTTTGTCGCCGACGACCGCATCATCAACCGCCTGCCCAAGATGCTCGGCAAGACGTTTTACAAGACGACCGTCAAGCGCCCTATCCCTGTCGTCCTCCAGGCCAAGCGGCCCAAGGTCGACGGCAAGCGGGTCAAGAGGCCTGAGAAGAAGAAGAGCAAGACCGACGACGACACCGACGACGTTGCCGTCAACGCCGGCACGGCCGCCGACATTGCCAAGGAGATTGAAAAGGCCCTCGGCTCCGCCCTCGTCAGCCTCGCGCCCACGACCAACACGGCCGTGCGCGTCGGCTACGCCCACTGGCCGCCCGAGCACATTGCCGACAACGTCGACGCCGTCGTCTCGGCCCTCGTCGACCGCTGGGTGCCGCAAAAGTGGCGCAACGTCAAGAGCATCTACATCAAGGGCCCGCGCACCGCCGCCCTGCCCATTTGGCAGACGGACGAGCTCTGGCTGGGAGAGGGCGACGTTGTCGCCGACCAAGACGACGACGAAAAGGCCGGCTCGGAAAAGGCAAACGTTGGCAAGAAGCGCAAGTCGCTCGACGCCGCCGGCGCCGCCGACGCCTCGCCCGCCCCCAAGAAGAAGAAGAAGGAGGCCAAGCCCGACGGTGATGACGAGCAGCTGGACAAGCAGATTACCGAGCGCAAAGCCAAGCTCAAGAAACAAAAGGCTGCGGCCAAAAAGGCCATGGAGGAGTAACCCGGCTATCTTTCTTTCTTTTCTTTCCTATCGTATCTTACTACTTGGTACATGGGGACAGTACATTGGGACTTTGCTCGCATATGGATGGCTTGCGCGGACCGGCGTTGCGGCGTTGAGAGGGACGACGGACGGGAGGGGAAGAGGAAGAGTAAAAATGATCAAAGTAAATGCAATGGACACCAAATCCGTGCCTCGGGTAATCTCGCAGGAAATGCACCCTGTTCTCAGTTTCTCACATTACAGCTCGTCGGGCTCAAACTCGGCGCCGCTCTTGGCAAAGGAGCGCTTCGAGGGCCCAAAGAATTCGACCATGGTGTCGTTGAGCACCTGGAGCGGAATGTCCATGTGGTCGCCCGGCAGGGAGCGGAAGAACAGACGGCCCTTGTCGTCGAGCTGGCGCAGGCCGAGCCAGTCATCGCGGTAGAGCTGGCGCTCACGCAGGGGCACCACGTCGGAGCCGTTGACCTCTGCGAACCATGACGTCTGGCGCGGGACGACGGTGGTGTCGGCGTCGAACATGTACAGGACAAAGTTTGCGAGACGGGCGAGGTTGCGGCGGTACGTGTCGTTGCGGCGGGCGGGCCCGCGCTCGTTGTTGATGTCGGCGAGGAAGTTGGAGTTGTCGAGGTACGGCTGCAGGTCGGCCGGGTCGCGGAAGTACTGGGCGGGGACGAGGCGGCCCTGGACAAAGGAGCTCCAGGTGCTGTAGCGCAGGAGCAGCATGGCGCCGCGGCAGAGCCAGTCGGCGGGGCCGCAGGCGCGGAACTCGACGATGCCGTTGTGCTGGCTGCCAAAGGTGACGAGGCTGCGGACGGGGGGCGCGTTGCAGCGCTCGACGTAGGCGCGCAGGAACTGGCCGCCCTGGGAGAAGCCGAGGGCGTCGACGGCCGGGGCGGTGGAGAGGATGGGGTGGGCGGCGAGGGCGTCGCACACGGCCTGGACCTGGTCCGTCAGGTTGCCGTACCAGGTGGCGTAGCGGTCCGCGGCCGGGTCCTTGCCGAGGGCGACGGTGTGGACGTAGGTGCCCGGGTGGACGGCGTCGGCGAGGGCGGCCACCTCGCGGACGCCGTCGCCGGCGAAGCTGTCGCCCAGGCCGTGCCAGATGACGAGCGGGAGCGGGGTGTCGTCGGAGGCGGCGGCGGGCGGCTGGTCATGCACGCGGAGGGTGGCTGGGTGGGGGGGGACGACGGCGAGCGAGGAGCGGGTGAGCAGGGAGGTGGCGAGGAGGAGGCCGAGGCGGAGGGATGCCGGGGCGGGTGGCCGACGCGTCATGTTGTTGTTGGATGTCGTCGTGATGTTGTAGGGAGAGGGCAGGGCTCTTTTCGAAAGTGCTGCCTCAGGAGTTGTGTTGATGAGTGTTTTCGATCGAGAGTGGTGCTGATGATGAGAGCCGGAGGGATGGCAGCAGAGGGGCTCATGTGGATTCGCCCAGCGTCGTCGAGACCCTTGCACACGGTGTGGACGTCGACATGCTGCGCCTCTCTTCTCTCACCCTGGCAGCCTGGGTGGCTGACGCCGTGGCGCAACGCCTGGCGGAAGCGTCGGCGCCAGATGATCGATCCTCCTCCCACGTGACTCCCCTTCTCCACCACGTCCTGTCTCTGTCCCCGCCTTTTCTGCCCACGATGCCGAAACCTCGGACCCGTCTCGTCTTCGCCGGCCAACAATAATGCCCAACAGCCGGCCGTGCTGAGATGATGGCGCAAGCGCCCGCGTCTTCATCCCACCCCCGGTCGGCAGGAAACGTCATGCCGGCCGCCCAGTTCCACGGTCCGTCGGCCACGAGCAGCTGCCCATGAAACACCAGGCGCCTCAGGTTGGTTGTGGTTCGCATTGATCGGCAGCATCCTCTCGTTTCACCATGCCGCCGCGCACGACGACCGAGAAATATAGAGCCGCGCCTCCCCCCCCCGTCTTGTGCCTTTGTCTGCCTCCCTCCATGACCGCCCTCGATCGCTGCCATCGCCGTTGACTGCCTCACCTGCGCCCTGCCAGCCTCCTTGAAGAACGGACACGCTCTCCCCGCCGACGACTCACGATGAAGGCCTCCGCCATGCTCGCCGCCGCCCTGGCCTCGCTCGCCGTCGCCGCGCCCTCCAACATCTTCGACCCGTCCAAGGTGGCGGGCCTCTCCGACAGTGCCTCCAAGTCCGAGGCTTGATGCGCCATCCCAAGGTACGCCGCTTCCGTCGCTGCCCCGTTGCCTCGTCTCCCCCGACTGCCCTGATGAGAACACATGTCCAAATATGTTTCAAGACGGGAATGAGATGCTCCGTGATTCCAACGCTTTTTTCCTGATAGCGGCGATCCTTCGGTGTCCTTCTCTCGTTTCTCTCCGGGTTATCGGCCAAGCAGCTCCGGCTAACCGCGCAAGTAGTTGCGATGCGGGCCCCTGCGCTCGCCCGCCGCGATACTGGCTCGCAAAACTACCGCTTGATCTCGGACGCAGCTTGTGTGAAGGCCGGCTTGTCTGCTTGTTTGATAGTTGGCTCCATCAATTCACATGCGCGTTGCGCACCCAAGCCTTTACGATGCTTGATTGCTCAAGTGCGTGCTCGTCGTGTCCAAATGCCAAGCGGGCCATCAAGCCCGGTCTCTGAAACTCTCGGACGGACCGACTCTGCCCATCTGAGACCTTGTTTGCGGGAGAAGCAGCGTTGTCCCTGCTGCAGGAGTCTCTTCTCGCCGCGCTCTTCCCGCCGTGGCCTTTCATTCCGGTAGTGGCTATGGCCGCATGTGACCCCATGGACGAAGCATTTGTTCCTGCCCGCCGCCCCGACTTCCGCCTTTTCCTCGGGGCTGCCCGAAGACGTCCGGAAGCCGAGGCGACGACGACTCGCATGTCTATATCCGTAACCCGCGCGTAATAAGCAGCAGCACCTCGTCCTCCGCCACGAACCCTCCCCTCGACGCAGCCCTCACGGGGGCATGAATCATTGTCAGCGACCAAGGGAGGGATCACCGCCCATGGCCCTCGCGAGTCGTCCACCGCCCCGAACGCCCGCCACGACCATCCCGTAGCCCACAACCCGTCGCGGCAGCTCACCTCCCCGAACCAACAGGGCGCGGAGCCGTGGATCCGCCGCCTCTTGCCCATGCGCCTGACGTCGTATCCTGATCCCATGCGCCGATAATCTCCGTCATGTAGCTGCAAACAGCCCTCGAGCCAAAGCCGGCAGCTATCCCCCGCGCTCCTCATGGGGCTGTCGCGCGGCCGCGACTCGCCGCTGGTCAAGGCGGGCATGGGACAAGGATCTGGACCGAGCGACTTGGCCTCCGCTGACGCTGTATGTCCAGCGTAGCTGCGGACAAGTGACACCGGCGGCGACACAGACAGCCAGGAGAGGGGGAGAGGCGAGGAACAGACGCGTGGATGGCATGGCACAGCAGCATGGTGGTCGTCTCCCCTCCCGTCCCTGCCTTGCGCCCAGGGGGCGGCGAATACAGGCCCGGAGCAACCCCAGCATGCGCAACCTTGAGGAACAAGAAAGGACGGGTGAGTGCTATGCGTATTCCCCAAGTACAAGGCCCCTTGACGACGCCGGATGCTAACTGATTCCCCCACCCAAGTCTCGTCACGGCTCTCAAGCTTCTCATCAACGTCGACACGCCCGTCGCTCATGCGCTGCGTCCACCTGGTGCAGACCGTACTGAGTCCTAGCCCTCCATCGCCCTGGCAGCGCTGGACAGAGAGGCCTGAGCATCGTGCCGCGGGCATAAAGCGAGACGGAGAGCCCCGTATCTTTGCACCGCATCACCAGTCGTATCGTGAGAATTGCCTACCCTCTTATCAATGTCCCGTCCCCCTTGGACCTTGCGGGGTCGTCTCTTGGATGTTCGTGTCTTCATAATGTTTGTTTCCAAAGTATAGCACAGCGTCGCTGGTAAGCACCACGTATCCCGTTCATATCCTTTTGAACTCTGACAAGCATGAGAGCCAAGCCCACGAGAGATCATCTACAGCCCAAATTCATACCATTTCCAAAGTGTATGCGCTCCTTCGCATATAGGCCCGTTGATCGTGTCGCGCCTGGCCCAGGACCGAGCTTACAGCTCACCGACAAACTCGTCGTCCCCCGCCTCATCCCCGACGACAAAGTAGTCCTTGACTTGTACCTTGCCCGCGCGTACCCTGTCCCATACGTCGGGCGTGCACGTCTCGGGGGCGAGGATGTAGCATCTCGGGGCGGGAGGATCGCTGGGCGGCTCGTTTTTGATGTGCCAGGTGTCGAGCGGGCCGACGGTGGCCAGGTCGTCGCGGACGGCAACGAGGCCGGTGGACACGTCGCGGTTGAAGATTGCGCGCATGAAGACGGCGTAGGCCGCGGCCGGCTGGTAGGCGGGCACCTCGTGGCCGGCTTGGAAGACGCGGGTGAAGCTGTAATTGCCGAGCTGGCGCGTCATGCCGCCGATGGCGCCCTCGGCCGTCAGCAGGGGCGAGTAGCCGGCCCGGGCAAAGTCGGGGGCGCGCGAGTAGGGAACGGCGAGAGAGGCGCGCTCGCCACCGACCCAGTTGCATGCGTAGTCGCGGTCCCCGTACATCATGTGCACCTTGACGCCCGCGTCGAGGAGATGGGCGACGGCGTCGAGAAAGCCGCCGTGGACCTCGTCGCGCGTGAAGCCGAAGCCGTTGGCCACGACGGGTGAGTTGGCGGTGAAGTTGACGGGCGATCCGAGCGAGGCGAGCACGTCTCGCTCGGCCATGAAGCCGTTGAGATGTGGCGGAGGGAATGGATCCTGCTTGGGATGGGCGATGTCGAACCATCCGCTGTTTTGCTGCATGTAGAGCCGGACGGCCGGCTGATCGCACGAGCCGTCAATGTCACAGACGTCAAGGGGCTTTGAAGTATGCAGGCTGGAGCCCACAAGCCTGTCCTGGCACTTGAGCAGCTGCTCCTTGCAGCCGCCGGGTCGCGTAAAGTTGTGCATGAGCTCCTCGTAGACGGACTGGTTGTACACCTGGGTTCCGTACGTCTGCAGGGAGAGTTTAGTATGGGGGGTCACGAGAATGGGAATCTTGGGAGCCGCAACCGGACTCACATTATTAAAAGGGAAGCTTATGTAGGCCTCCTCTTGGATGACGGCATCGAGGAAGCCGTTGATGATGCCGAGGGTGTCGAGATGCAGGTAGTGGGCGGTGGCGTCGCCAAGGGAGCCATTTGCGATCCTGTCGTTTTGCTGCTGGAAGAAGCGCATGAAGCGCGGGCCGTAGTGGCCGCCATAGCTCTCTGCAAACAGACTGATGCGGTCGTCATGGGGCTTATAGTGGGGGAACTCGAAGAAGAAGGTCTGGGCAAAGTGCCAGAGGGCGTGGGCGGCCTGGGCCGTCGTGTTCGCCGTGTGGGAGGGCTCCTGGCTGGCGAGGGTGCCGGCGCGGGTGGTGAGGTTGAGCCGGGGCCATTCTTGGGAGAAGTCGGTGGGGGTGATGACCACGTCGTCGTTGTCGATTCGGATGGTGACGTTTGTGGGCACGTCGTAGGAGAGGCCGACCTGGTTGGGCTCGTCGATGTAGAGCATGTTGACCTCGTTGTTCCAGCTCCAGGGATTCAGGTCCGTCGTCTTGGAGTCGTCGCGAACGAAGCACGGACCGTTTTCCTGGAGCAGGCCGAAGAGAGAGGAGCTGCCGGGCCCGCCGTTGAGCCAGATGGCGAGGGGCGCATTGGCGGGGTCCTTGCGGGCCTCGAAGAACCAGAAGAAGCTTTGGGCGGGGGGTGAGAGGCGAGCGGGCGAAGGAGTTGACGCAGCGAGACTCACGTGTTGATGGGATAGTCTTGGGGGCCGCCATCGACGAGGCCCGGGGGCAGATGGACATGGCCGGCAAAGGAGCGGACGCCGGGCGTGGTTTCGCAGATGCCGGGCTGGCGGGGTGTCAGTAGGCCATGGCGGGGCGAGGGGATAAGTAAGAGACGGAGTGTCGGCGAGAGGAGCGGACCTCTTTGAAGGAGATGGTGACGTTTTCGTGATGCTTGGAGCGGAGAATCGTCAGGCCCTCGGGCTCGGGCGGAAAGGGGAACTGCTGAGCGGCTGCGACGGTGGCGGCGAGGGCGAGGCCGGCGATGGCGAGCATTGCGGGGGTGGAGCCGATGGCGCCGGCTCCAAGATGCAGGAAGAGATGGAGTGATGGGGAAAGGAGAGAGTTGAAGCTGCGCGGACGTCGTCGAGGAGAATGAGTGCGGGCGAGGTTGTTGAAAGCTGCTAAGGAGGTACCTGTGCGAGGCGCTAAACGGAGTGATGTCATCCGTGTGTGGTCAAGTACCGGCCTTATTACTGTACTGTAATTACAGGCCTACAAGGAAGCATGCAGCTTAATCGTGCTGACCATCAGGCTGCGCGCTTATTGTTACAGTACTTTTCTGCTTCTTTCTCCCCCCTCTTGGCATTTCTTCTTCCGTCAATCAGCCTCTTGCTCATTCTCGGGTGATGCGCCTCCGCATTTCCCACGTGGCAAAGATGGAAAAGCAACCATGGGCGTTGTTATAAATGACGCCTCCAACGGCGAGGTAGCAACGGCCCGCAAACACATCAACCGCCTTTAAGTTACACCTTATTACTTATACAAGCTTTCATTATAAAGTGGAACCCTTTCTCCTTCCCGTCTCCATCCACACACGGCATCGGACGAGAAGAAAGAAGACGGACGGGTTGAAACAAGGCCCCAAGACGTGCGTGGTGCTTCCACCCTCATTAATCGGCCACGCCCCCAAGAGACGGCCGCTCGCCGATCCACGCTCCAGGAAATGGGGAGTGCCAAAGTTTTCACGGTAGATGATGATGCTCGAAAGAACAAGCCTGTACCGGACTGTAGATGGACTCGGTTCCTCACTCGCTCACCGGGGAAGGGAACTTGTGGAAGACGGAAGACAAGAACGAAAGAGGAAGAAGCAAGGTGAAACAGAGGGGGACGAGGTGCAGCGGCGGGAAAAAGCAAAGGGACATGGCAAGGAACCGGCCTTGATCAACCGCTGGGCCTGGCACCGAGAGTTGAAGCCCGTTGGCGGCGGTCCACCGGCCATGTTTCGAGACATGATGAACCACGAGGGTTTGCCACGGTAAAGGTGCCCCCTTTTCCCACCGTGGCCGTATGGTTGATCGGAGGAGCAAAAACTGCACATTGACACGCCGGCAGGTCATGGATTGCGTGTGTGGCTGCCGAATATTGGGCCAATATTCACAACAGCCACCTCTCGCCGTTGACGAGAGACATGGATGTCACACACGCGTCTGAAGAATCACGACTCTCGGCCTGCACCGCACAGACGGGACGGTAGCGCTCGGCAAAGGCCCTGCATGCACCCCCGGTCCTTGGGTATCCGCTTGTTCGAGACACGGAGACGGAGGCTCAAGGGAGGAACTGGCTCTCGAGACAAAAAAGATACACGCGGGCGGGTACTCCGTACTCGGTACGTATTATCTTTTCGTTTGCATTGGCTTCCACCCATAGCATAGTACCTACCTAGGGTAGGCAGGCACCAAGCCCCACTATGCGCAAAGCGGTCAAGGCGTGGGCGGATACCGGCGCTATAATTCGCGCGCGTCGTCTGTACATACCTACTTACCTCCTATAAGGTAGTAGGTATCCTGCTTGCAGCCTCGAAAGAGACGGCATAGGTAGGTAGGTAGGTAGTCAGGTACGGGCTTAGCTCAGGTATGTTGCTGCTTACAGGACGGGACCCCCTCTACGTTAGTAAGATACAGTCAATACCGCACCGTCCGTGTTGTACTGTAATAGATAGTTACAGCCCAGTCCAGCCCAGCCCAGCCGGCCTCATCCATGTCCAGCTAAAACACGGACCCGGTCAATAGTAATACCACTTGCGTCCATATACCGGCCTCGTCCATCCGTCTCCGGGCCGCAAGTATCCCTTGCGTGCAAGCGAGTGAGTACAGTAGGCACATGCAGCCAGCACATTGGTCGAAGCCCCCCGTCTTCGTCATGCAGCCGCCCTCTCGGCCCTCTGCTCGCAACCAAATACGAAGCACCGCGTCTGCTGGAAGCCGCCGGTCCCCTGCAAGGAACCCGGTACCTGAAATGGCCCGCATGAAAAGAAAAACCGCCCGGTCTGCAGCACCCGCACGCCATTCCGGCTGCAGCCACTCTCATGCCTCTCACGCCTCTCATGCTTCTCACGCCTCTCACGCCTCTCACGCCTCTCACGCCTCTCACGCCTCTCACGCCTCTCACGCCTCTCACGCCTCTCACGCCTCCTCTCACCCACACTAACTCGGAGCAGCTCGTTCTTGCAAGCCAAACTCTGTGCGGCCGGTGCTGCACGCTCGCATGTGTCCTAGCAGCTTCCTCAACCAAGGGCACACATACTTACATACTCCGTACTACATACATACCGTATGCAAGTCATGCTATACCCGTACCCACCACCACCATCACCACCATCAATCTACCTACACCACCGCCTTTTGCCGTATATACAGCAGTATACAGTAATATATATATACCTAGAATCATCCTCCCCCTCCCCTATCGGTACCGACCAGCAAGCACGCACCCCATCAGGTACGCCGCCTATCCGCGAGCTGAGGCTATCCCAACCCTCTCGAGCCCTCCCTCCAACTCTCCTACCCCCGGTACACTCACCACCCACACGCCCGGACGTCCCTCTACTTCTACCCGCCCTCCCCCCTTGCCCCCTTGCCCTCTCGTCTTTCGACTTCTTCTCCCCCACCCCCGCCATCCTCAGCCCTGAAACACCTGCAACGCCACCACTGACCATGCCTCGCCTCTCCAAACAGCCTCATTCATGATCCTTCATTCGCGTCCCATCCCCCCCCGTGCCATGGGCCGCCCGGCTATCCCGCCATGGGCTTTTTCAGCTTCTTGACCAGGAGACGCGCCCTCGACCGAGCTGCCGCGAAACCTCCTCCCGCCACCGCCGCCGAGCCCCCACCCATCCAAGGTAGGCCTGCAAAACCCCCAAGTTTGACATGCCCATGGCAGTGCCTCCGGCATTGCGTCTTCCGCTGCCGATGGTTAACCATCTCTTCATCATGGCAGGCGCCCGTCCCAAGACGTCAGGCCCATCGCATTCCTCCGAGAATCCGAAGCATGCGTCGACGAGAAAGGCTAGCCAGTCTCGGATCGCGTCTCCCGCCAAGCCCTTCTTCCTAGGCATCCGCAACGACGACGCACACCCCCGTCAACAGCAGCCGCCGCCGTCGTCCGATCCAAAACCCCGGCACGGCGTCCGGAGCTTCCGCTCACCGCCCGTCTCCAAGACCGCCCATGCCACCAGAGGCCAGCCTACCGAGGCCGACGCCCAGCTTCTCGCATCCTGGAAACGATCGTCGGCCGCGTATAGCATTGCCAGCGTGCCCGCCGGCTACGCCTACCCCCGGACCAGCCGCCATATCGATCTCCTCGAGGCGCAGAGCGTCATCAGGCCCTACGACTTCAAGTCGCGCGTCCTCGCCGTCGGCACAAGGGACTACGGCGAAGATGTCGCCGACAGGAACCTGGGCCATAACGCTGCCGACCTGACCATTCCCGCCGTCCAGACCTACTATGCGTCCTTGGCAGGCCCTCCCTCGGTCTTCCGCCCCAGGGATGACCTTGCGTCTGCATCCCGCCACAGACCCCTCTCAGTCGTGGCCCTCTCCGCCCTTGCACAGCCCCAAGACCATGCAGCCAGCAGCCGACGACACCGGCAGTACAGCTCCGTGCCTGCGGCGACCCCGGACGGGCCCGAGGCCGAGGAACGGCAGCCGCGGGCCTCGAGGACCAAGAACCTAGACCCGACGCCTCTTCTTCCTCGCCCAAACTCCATCGCGGGCTATCCTGTCCCTGCGCGAGGCAGACGGGTCAGGGCAGGGACTGGCGGCTCGCTAAAGAGGAGGGCACGGCGTGGCCCGTCCCTTGAGAGAACGCCAACCCCCCACAGCTCGAAAGCAAGCCAGAATCGCAAGCCGGCCGGCCAAGCCCGGGAAAAGCATCGGGAGTCCGATGGCCCTCAAGCCGCCGAGCGGTCCAGGCCTCGAAGCCGACCTGCTTCGCCGCCGCACGTGCCACGGTACCGCCCGAGAGAAACCCAGCCGCCGCCGCCCGTGACTCGCGCCCACAAAGCGCGCAAGAATCATCGTTCCCGATCCCATGGCGAGGACGCGAGGACCCGAGCGCACACTCCACGCCCGGCGCCCCGGCAAGCGGTGCGCAGCCTCGACAAGCCCATGGAACCCAAAATCCCGGTCCACGACATTTTCTTCGACACGGGACGGGCCGACGAGCGCGCCAGCCAAATCCCGTCGCGGTGGCCCGACAGCTCAAGTGAAGAGGACATGAATGACTGGGCGCCAGCACCATGTTCGTTTTGCCCACCCGCCTCCCACATGACCGGGAACACCTTGGCTAACAGCTCGGCCGCAGTGATTCCAAGCCGCCGCGATCAAGGCTGGCCCATGCCGACTCTCGCCAGCCCAGGGACGCATGCCCCATGGCAGAGTCCCTGGAGCCACGCCCACAGAGATGCTCTCCGCTCCAGGGGCGCGGCGGCCAGTCTCTCGCGAGACGGATCCTGCAAAAGCGGCACTTCTGTCCAGGCCCTGACCATGGACATTGCCGGCTACGTGCCGGACAGGAAATCGTCCCTCAAGCACTGGTCCTTTTCGTCAATCACACCCACGACGGAGTTGTCTGATCATTCCAGCACCCTCGCCGTCCGTCCGCGGAGCATCCACACCGCCAATACGTCGATCGACCTACCGCCGCTGGCCAGCCCTGCCAACCTCCCAGAACTGAAGGAATCCCCCAGCAGCATTGGCAGTCAGAGTAGGCCGGTAAGCTCGCCGTATCTGACGGCGCTCGAGAACATGGACACCAATACAACTGTCGCCACCCAGCCCGAGGCCGCAGCCGGGTTCGACGAGGACCACCCTGAAGGAGAGCAAGATGGCATGGCTGCCGAGATGACGGGATATGGCAACGACACCGACGCCAACTACTCCTACGTCAACTCTTTCGCCGCGCGGCGCCGGCCCCAACACCGGCAGGACGATGAGTCCATGCTGCTCAAGCGAGGAGGCTACATCGACCTCGGAAATAACCTTCCAGGCTTGTTTGATACTGCCGCGACATCGCCGTGCCTCATGTGCTCTCTGCTTGAGAGCGCAGCAATTGGTCCTGCGTCGGACGACAAAGGCACGGAGCCTTGGGCACCAAGAGCGCCCTGCAACCACAAGGGCTTAAACTCCCCTCGAGAACGTCTTCGCGCACTCGGGTACGAATACGACACGGACGACAGCGAGTCGGGGCCCGAGCGCGCCTCTCGCGGACGCACGCGGACGCTGGAGCAGACAAGGGAACCCAATGCCGCCGGCAAGCGCCAGCGGGAGACGTGGGAGACGATCGAGGAGGAGGCTGAGGAAGATTGCGACAGCCAAATGGCAGTCCCGAAGCTGCAAGGGGGTTCCGGCACCAGGATCGAGGAACTGAGCGGGAGCCGCGGGTTTGAGCCTGTGCTAAAGGACTATGAGGAGGGACACGCGGCAGACGTCGAGTAGTTTGTTGTCTGTCGGCGCGTAGGAAGCTGCAGGGCGGGGGCGAGAGAACGAGGCCGAAGGGGCCACCGCGAGCCCTTGACGAGGCACCAACCTTTTTCTATGTGTTTGATGCTTTCTGCCGATACGAGCCTTGACGAGGCACCGAACCTTTTCTATGTGTTGATGCTTTCTGTCGATACGAGCCTTGACGAGGCACCAAACCTTTTATATGTGTTGATGCTTTCTATCGATTTGGGAGCGAGCAATATACTGTACATACCCAGGCGATATCGGAGGAGTTTAGACTGTGTGTGGATTCCATTTGCTGCGTGAGCTGCGTGAGCCCTGGTGGAGCAAGGTTGAAAGACCGCGAGCCTAGCCCAGCCAAGGGGAGGCTTGTGGACGTCGGGGGATGATGTAGCATGCTTCATCGACGGCCAAAGACGAGGCGTGGGAAATGGGTGGGCGCAGAGAGAGAGAGAGACTGAGGCCGAATGGAGTGAATGGCCTGGGTCCGACAAAATGCTCGCACAGCTGTGTCTATGCGGGGCGACTGAAGCAGCCGGCGGCTTGCCATTGTGCCGACCTGCTGCTGTTTGGGTGTGAGGCTGTTGACGGCGCAGAGCTTGAGAGTAGGAATGCACCTCAAGAGGTTGAGCGAGCGGCGGGTCGTGGCGGAGGAGCTGTCTGGACCAAGAGTAGGTACATAAGTAACTTATGTACAGAGGTAGTGAGTACTTTGTCGGACACTGGTCGTTAACGTTAGTGAGGTAGCGAATTGCCATGCTCTATCACCACCACCTGCCCTGGATAAGGTGCTTGTCGAGCTATGTACACTTTGACAGTATGAAAAGACAGCCAGGCACACGGTATTTGTACAAGAACAATCAGCCAGGGGTCGGCACGCTCTCCCCCGTGCCATCATCACCGCCCGCCTTGTCGGCCTCGGCCGCCTTCCTCCTCCGCTTCCGCTTGCCGTCGCGTCCGCGCTCCGCCGTCTGCGGCCTGCCGGAGCGATGGCCGTCGACGACGTGCTCGTCGAGGACGCGGCTGCCGCGGGTGAAGCCCCTCTGCGTGGCCCTGCGGATCAGGGCGTAAAAGGCACCCGACTTGATGCCCGTCCGCTGCGTGATGACGTGCATGGGCGTGTGGAGGTTGTAGAGCTCCAGCGCCACGGCCCGCGCCGCCGTCGACGACTGCTTGCGCGTCACGTCCGGTGCTGGTGTCGCTGCCGGTGGCGAGTCGACGTGCTCGTCGTTGGCGGTGTCGACGGCGGCGAGGGAGGTTGGTGAGTATGGGGAGGCTGCCTGTCAGTCGTCAACACACGATGGAGCGATGCATTGGTCCGGGCTCAAGGCCAACCTACGATGCCCAGTTGCGCTGAGCTCTCGAGGGGCGCATCATGGCTGACGACGGCTTCCTCGTCGCCGGGGACGTCTTCGTCGGATAGAGCCATGCCGTGAGAAGTCTTTGGGTCTCGCAAACGGCGACGCGGAGAGCATCGCCCTGATGCGGGCTTACTTGAGACGGTGCAAGAGGAAGAAAATAAATTAGCGTTTGATGGGGACGGGCGGTGGCGAGCTCTTCACTTTGTTTTCCCCCTCACCCCCCCGGGGCAGTGGCTCCGATCAGGTGGTAAGGCAATCTGCACTGTGCTCGGCAACATGGCGAGATAAGCAGCTTCCAAGAGACATTCAGAGCCGAGTGCCGAGAGCCAAGAGAGCTCCCGGAGCTCTTGCCCCACTCAGGCACAGCCGGGGAGCAGCGAACCAACCAGAGCCGAGGAGAATGAAGCAAGTACTTTCTGCTCGCCAAAGTACTTTTGCTGCATATTTCATCGATTGGATACTTGGTGAGTCCCTGCCTGTACGTACCATGTAAAGCTCGGTCAAATCTTAACGGTCCCGGCCCCACCAACTAACCGTGCATTTTATGCCGGAAGCTCTTCTCTCAGCCTCGTCTAAACTCAACGCTTCCCTCTTGATTTTCTCCTGCACCTCCCACCCTACCAACTCACACGACCCGAAGCAACAGCGAGAAATACGCCCACGCCCACGCCCACGCCAGACGCCCAGCTTCCACTCTCGGCTTCATATACACACGCGCCGCCATCCCACTGCCGCCGCATCCTCCCCGATCCAAACTCGCGCCACGGCATCCGACAGCGCATCGCCGCAATCTAACCCGACAGACGACGACCCCCTCCCACCACCTCCCGCCGAGGGAGCCTGGGCAACCCCCAGATGGCGCCTCCCAATGGCGCCGTCGCCGCAGACGATGCACCGCCGCCGGCGGCAGTCAACGGCGACGCCTCGGCGGCTGCCCCCCCCCGCGTCGGCCCGCACCCGGGCTTCATCTCCAGCTCCAACCAGTACAGCGCCGAGATCAAGCTGCGGCGCATGCTCAAGGACAACGGCTGCGACCCGGCGCGAGAGGACACGTACCGCCTGCAGGGCGTCCAGCTCATCGACAACGTGCGCGAGCACCTGCTGTTGTGCGTCTTCTCTCCCTCCTGCGTCCCCGGCGCGACCATGGCGTCGGAAGAGGGCAGTGATGTCTGGGTCTCCGGCTGACTGTTCGGTTGACGGATACAGGCCGGTACGCACTTTCGACACGGCGTGTACCTACTTTCACAAGTTCCGCCTCAACTTTCGCGACTCCGAGTACAACTACCAAGACGCCGCGCTCGCCTCCCTCTTCGTCGCCTGCAAGGTCGAAGACACCATCAAAAAGTCCAAAGACATCCTCGCCGCCGCGTACAACGTCAAGAACCCGGATAAGCCCGCGGCGCCCGATGACAAGGTTCGTTTGTCGTGAAAGGGCAACCTCGCCTGTCAGCCAGGCTGCTAACGGTCCGCCCCCAGATCTTCGAGTCGCCCGGCAAAGTCATCATCGGGCTCGAGCGCCTCATCCTCGAGACCATCGGCTTCGACTTCCGCACCCGCTATCCGCAAAAGCTGCTCGTCAAGGTGGTACGCAGCATCCTCGGCCGGTCCGCAGCCGGCAGCCGCGCCTTCTTCGCCACCGCCTACGCCATGTGCATCGACCTGTACAAGACATTTGTCCCCGTCAAGCGCACCACCCTGTCCATGGTAATGGCCGTCGTCGAGCTGACGGCCCGCGCGCGCGGCGCCGGCGCCAATAATCTCGGAAACGGCGAAAACGACCTCGTCGATCGCGTCCGCCGCTTCGCCGCTCGTCGCCGCCAGTACGACCGCGACGCCGTCGTCGAGACCATGCTCGACCTGCTCGACCTCTACGTCCAGCACCACAAGGCCACCAAGGTCGGCGCCCTCTTCGACCTAAACACCTTCATCGACATCAAGATTCGCCTCAACACCGACCTCGACGCCACCGCCTCGCCCCGCTACCTCTTCCACTGCTCCCGCTGCGAGGTCGCAGACCCGAACCCGCTCACCCCCATCGCCCCGGGTGCCAGCCCCACGACGACGGCCGCCGCCGCCATGGCAGCAGGCGCCTGGCCGCCCGACGCGGCCATCCGCCGCACCGCCCGCGGCCAGGACGGCACCATGCGCTTCGTCTTCGACCCGGAGGCCGCCGACAAGGAGCAGGCCAAGGCAGGCGAGTTCTTCAAGGACGAGTACGAGGACTACGAGGTCGAGGTCGAGGAGCCCGTGGCGCCACCGCCCCCGTACGAGAGGGATGGTGGTGGCGGCGGCGGCGGCGGGAGAGGAGGATACCGAGGGTCCTACAGAGACCGGGGGGACCACAGGAGGGGCGGGGGGCCGTACGGGGGGTACAGGGGCGACGGCAGACATCATAGGGGCCGGGGACGCTATCACTAGAGGCGGGTTTGTGTCCAGCAAGAGGGCGAGGAACCAGTTTTCCCCATTCATGCAGGCGAACCGAACACAAGACACGTGCCCACCAAGCTCATGCTCTCCTGTCCGCCTGGTGACAAGCCTCCTAGTCTCAACCAAGGGAAATGCGGAGGGGTGATCAAGAGGCGACAAGGAACAGCTCGACAACCGACCTGTCTGCCGCAATTCCCAACCGTCCCTTCACCGCCCCTTGGCGCCGTTGAGGAGCTCCTCCCCCGCCGGCCCGCTACACCGAACTCCCTCCAACGACGCCCCGTCATCCTCGCCGCCGTCCTTGCGCGGCGGGGCAGGCACGCCCTCGGCGCTGCGCAGGCTGCTCGCCCTGCTGACGTCTTCGCTCGCGGGGCTCTGCACCCGCAGGCCGAGGTCCGGCTCCACCTCGGGGCCCTCGGCGTTGCCGCCCGCCCAGTCGGCCGCCTGCAGCTGCGGCACGGGCTGGCCCTCGGGCGGCTCGACAATCTCCTCGCCCGCCGGGGCGCCGGGCACGGCACCCTCGCCGACGGCCCTCCACACCACGGCGAGGCGGTCCAGGGCACGGGCGCCCTTGCGGCTCGAGCCCTTGATGCCGTCCATGGCGTCCCAGTCGATGGCGAAGACGCCGCTGTCGTTTGCCGTGCCGCCCTGCTCAGGGCCCTGGCCGTCGAAGAAGGCGTTGAACCAGACGTGCGCGACCGCCGTCACCATGGTGAGCCCCATGCTCTTGGGCGTCTTGTTGCGCCGCTCCACCGAGATGTTGACGTCGCTCGTTGGGATCCTGATGGGTTCGCTCGGCTTGAGGATGACGGCCATGCCACCGGGCTCCGCGTCGTCGGGCGGCTCCGTGCGGACGGAGGAGGAGGACGTCGCTGCCGACGTGCTCGGCTCGATGATGGTCTTGGACCTGCGCTTGTCGAACGTCGGGCGGGATCCCTGCGCGGAAACCTTTTGGATGAGGTCGGTGCCCTTGCGCTTCAGCATGTGATGCTTCTTCTCGTTGAGAGGAGCGGTTTCGGGGCGGTCGGGCGCAGCAGCAGTAAGGGGGGTTCCCCGGGCGTTGGCGCCGTTGGCCAGCTCGACGCCTTCGGGGGCCTTTTCGGCGGCCGAAGCCGGGTAGCCGGCCCACTCCCACATGATGGAGCCGAGGCCGCCGCCGGCAGGCACGTCGCCCTCGACGACGACCCTTTCCTTCTTGGTAAAAGTGTGGAAGACGCGAATCTTCCTGCCATGGTCCTCGAAGCCCTCAACGTCGACCTTGACGCCGTTGCGGAGCCCCCAGACATGGACCTCGAGGATCTCGATGGCGCGGTCGACGTAGCGTTTGCCGTTTTGGGTCCAGCGGTCGACGTAACCGATCCACCGCAGCTGCGAGGGGATGGAGACGCCGGCTCCAAACCTGGGGCGCATGCGCCTCTCGGTGAAGCGGGCCAGCGCGTCCTCCGCCTTCCAGCCCTGCTCGGAGATGAGGTAGCTGCAGGTTGCGGTACCGCTGCGGCCCTTGCCGGCCTTGCAGTGCACGACGACGACCCGCTTTCCCCTCTTTCCCGCTCCCAGAGCCTTGCCGTCGGCGTTGCTGGCGGCTGGAGGCGGCGGTGAGAGAGACGAGGAATCCTGCCGAGCAGCGGTGGCGCCCTCGAGAGGGCCGCCGTGCAGCCAGTTCCTCATGCTGGCCATGATCATGGGGACGAGGCGAAAGGGCGGGGGGTGGTGGTCGGGCCAGGGGTAGTGGCGGATGCGGCCGTAGACGGCGTCGTCGGGGTATCCAGTGCCCTCTGCGCGAAACTCCCAGATGGCCCAGTCGTCGCCATGCTTGGAGTCGAGGAAGGCGACGAGCTGGTCGAGGGGGTTTCGGTAGGCCAGCTGAGGGTATGTCTGGGATGGGCCGGACCTGTGGGTGCGCGGCGGCGTCAGCAGGGGGACTCGAGGCGGCGGTGACGAGTGTTTGAGGAGGAGAGGGCTGGACGGACGTGGCAATGATGTCGTCGGTCACGTAGCAGAGGTCCAGCCCGGCCTCGGGGTGTCTTGCCCTGGGCCCGGCGACAATCTGCCGCAGAATGGAGGCCATGGAGGGGAGCGCAGGCTGGCTGCCGCCTCGGCCGATGGATGGGCTGTGTCTCTTTGTCTGTTTGCGTGTTTCGTCTGACTTGTGCTTCGACGATGTCTCGTCTCGTCTCGTTTGGCAGAGGCTCCGAGGGAGTCAGATCCGTGCAGCCCAAGAGCTTGTCGAAAGGTGCAGGCGGGCCGTGGAGGCACCAGTGAGAAATGGCCGGACGAAAGGGACCAAGAAAACGTCGGGCGCACACGAAGAAAGATGAAGAGAGAGAGAGGGAGACAGAGTGCGGAGGGGAGCGAGAGAGGAGCGAGAGAGAGGCGCGCGAGACGTTGCACGAGGGGACAGGCGGCCAAGTACCTCTCACCCACCGTGGCAGTGGAGATACTTGGGGCTCGGGTGGGGCCCGTGTCCACCCGTGGTACCGGTAGGCGGAGAGCTCCGAGGGGAAGCTTCCGGAGCAGCAAGGACAAGGCAAAAAAAAAAGAGAGAGACGAAAAGAGAGGCTCCAGGAATATGGGGGTTTTTTCATCAGCTGGTAGCCTGGGCGGCCGCTTGGATCCAATGCGAGTGAGTGAATGACGGCTGGTCTTGCTTCAGCCTCGGCGGCGACGTCATGGCGACGAGTTACGGCTCGGACCCCGCCATGGCAGCTCTTCTCCCCCGCCGTGCCGTCAGGGGGTATTAATTACAAGGTACTACTTGTTAATAACCTAACTAGGACCTCGCACGAAAGGGGGGAAGAGGGGGGAAAGTCCCGTGGACAAAGTATGTGTTTGCTTGGTTACCTCCTAATAATTACTACTCTGTACCTAATTTTTAATTTCCTGCGTCGCTGGTAGCGCCTGCAGCTTGGACATCTACAGTACATGTACTAGTTTCTTGTCTCTCCTTAAGCTGGGTGCTCTTTATGTCTGCTGGCCAAGTACTAACTCCTTGGCCCCCATAAGCGCCCCAGCTTCCACATGTAATTAGCCCAGCTTCATATCAAGTGCCTGGGTGTAATTAAGGGGGCATACAAGTAGAATAATACAGGGAGTAGAGAAGAGGCAGTTATTTTACCTAGCGATGCATAGAGGATCCCCCTCTTTTCGCCCGAGAGGATGTGCCCTTTTAACGCATCGTTTCTCTGCGTTGCTGCGTTTCAGAGATCTGCTGTCATTCGAGATGAGTAGCAACTCGGTATTGGGACCTAGTTAACATGAGTATCGCGATATGTTAGGCCAGGGATACGATTCTACAATTGCTAACATAATAATAGGTCATCCTGTCGGTTGTCGCCGCCCAGTCCGCCCGCCGTAGAGCACGGGTTGCTTGATCTGTGTCTAGCACAACTCTCTGCGTAGAGCGGGACGGTGAACTTCGGCCGAGACTCGGCATATTCGCCTATGTCCGACGACTGCGCGCCACTGCGGACCTTACGGAGCCGTCGTCTGGCCCGTCTAGCCAAGTTCGTTACGCCTCCCGTGCCGAGTGACGGGGCCGGGGACTGGACGTGAAACTCGACGTTCCTGATCCTCTGGTCCTCCATGGAGCGACAACATGAGCGCAGGCGGCGTCGAAGGCCGGCCCTGTCCTGCCTAGAGTGCCGGCGCCGCAAGATCAAGTGCGACCGAAACGACCCGTGTGCCCACTGTGTCTCGGCCGAGACGCCGTGCACTTACAACGTCCACGGCAGCGAGTCTATTCTTCGGCCGCAACATCCCCGCCGGGACGGCTCGGGGGTCCAGACGGCGAGCACCCCGTCCGCTGCTGGACACTCGCCTTTTGCCTATGCCGCCCAGCAGAGCCGCATTGGCAGAGGCGGGTTGGAAACAAGGCTTCGCCGTGGCCCGTCTCCGTCTCGGGCCGAAGCAGCGGCCGCCCAAAACGACAGCCCGGATGTTGGTGGCGGCGGCGGTGATTCGTGTACTCGGCCTCCGGACCGGCATCGGGCCTCGGACCCGAACCTCCGGGATGTTTTGCAGCGCGTACAGAGGCTTGAGAAGTCCTCGGCATCCCATCCTGTCGATGCGCTGGCCGAGATCGGGCGAGAGGTTTTGGCGCCCTGGTCCAGGCTGCAGGACTCGCAGGTCATTCTCAACAAGACGAGAATCCTGAGATGGAGCCACTGGGTGGGCATGGCTCAAGAGGTACAAAAAGAGCATTCTCCCTGTTCCCATATGCTCCGTCCCGCCTCACTCATTGCATCGCTAGTTCGGAACCGTCTTTTCCTGCTATGCCGCGGCTTGCGGCCACGGTCATGGAACCTCATTTCAGGGAGCCGAGACGGAAGCCTTGGTTGTCGAGATGGGCGTTCTTCTTCAAAAGTGCAAGACAGTTGCGAAGAGCACCAAGATGGGACGGCCCAGCAGAAGCCTCACCCGTCTCGAGTTCGACCTCTCACCCCCTGCCCGCGAAGTGGCCGACTCGATGGTAACGCTGTATTTCCAATCTTTTGAGTCGACGTACAGGATCCTCCACAAATCCACATTTTGGGCCGAGTACGAGAGATACTGGAGTCATCCGGAACGTGTTTCGAATGGCCTGCGTCTTATAATCCTCCTAGTCATTGGGATTGGATCTGGTCTTCACCAGCGGGGAGACGGCAATGTTGGGCTCGGCACCAACGTTCATCAATGGGTATACGCCGCTCAGACATGGCTTTCTGGACCGCTGGAAAAGGACCGCCTGGACATAACCGGCATACAGATCCACTGCCTGACGATCCTGGCGCGGCAGATTTTCTCCATTGGCGGCGACCTCGTATGGATGTCAATGGGATCGCTCATCCATAGTGCCATGCAGATAGGCCTGCACCGGGACCCAACACACCTTCCGGCAATGCCCCCGTTGCAGGCCGAGCTCCGGAGGCGGCTCTGGGCCACCGTCGTCGAGATGACGGTACAGTCGTCTTTGGACTCAGCAATGCCGCCCAGGATCTCCCTTGACGAGTTCGACGTTGAGCCGCCGTCCAACATCGACGACGATGAGATGGACGGCATGGAGCCAGACACGACGTTCCAGGCTCACCCCAGGGGCACTTATACGGCCACCTCGATGCAGCTTCTTCTGCTCGACTCACTGCCGACCCGCCTGCGCATCCTCCAGCTTCTCAACTGTTTGAATTCTCAACTGTCTTACATGGATGTCCTTGCGCTGAGCTCAGAGATGACGGACGCCTGTCACGCATGCAGCAGCTTCATGAAGAATCATGAGCACTCCGGGGTGACGCCCTTTCACCGGAACCTGCTCGACTACCTGGTGCGCCGGTTCCTGATCCCTCTGCACTGCCCATTCGCCAGCAAAGCGCGGACAAACCCGCTGTTTCATTACTCGCTCAAGGCCAGCCTCGACACGGCCCTGGCCATCATCTCTCCCGAACCAGACCCTGGCTTCTCTCGTCTCATGGCTATCGGCGGAGGCCTTTTCCGAGAAGGCTTCCGGTACGCGTCGGCCATCATCAGCCTCGAGCTCGTCACCCAGGTCGAGGCCCAGCGTCGCGACGGGACGCTGCACCGCAACGCGCAGTACAGGGATTTCCTCAAACACGCCATGAGAGACATGATCGCTTTGTCGTCGGAGCGAATCCGGCAAGGAGAGACTAATATCAAGGGCCACATGTTCCTCAGCATGCTCATGGCCCAGGTCGAGGCTATGGAAGCCGACACGCCCTGCGATGTTGAGTTGCAGATTGCACGGAGTGCAAGAGATAGCCTTGAGTTTTGCCACGACCTGCTGCGCACACGGGCCGGCACTGCCTCTCCGGATTCACGGTCCGCATCTCCTGGCCTTGATGGCGGACAAGATAGCGAGGGCTATGGGCTGGACTTGGATATGGATATTTTCTTTCCGGAGATGCACTTTTCATAAGACAGTCGAATGGCTTAAAGGACTACTAGCGAGATTCCGGGTTTGTGTCTAAAACCCCATGTATTTGACAATGCAATCCCGCCTTGGACTATATTCGTCCCGGTCCTCTGGGCATGACGGGTTGGCTGATTTTGCTCAAGTTGCATGTATCTCGTCCAAGTAGCCAAGAAGACATGATTTGACCACTTGCTGTGCGCCAGGTTCCATGTCGCCAAGGGGCCGTTTTGACATATATATAACTTTCCTTGGCACTGATCGAATAGTTCGTCGGACTCGACTTTATCACGATACTAGATTCAACTCGGGGTACTCTGGAAGTCTCCATCCATGCTTTTCTTGAGACATCAACCGCAAGGTAACTTGATCCATCCAGGACATGGCCCAAAGCGCGTTGCGAACAACCCAAGCACCAAGCTGCGAGGACGGAAAGAAGGCGCCCAGCGCCGCGCCAGGCATCTTCTGGCACTCCGCAATGGGAGGCCGCATGATCTCATCGTACGCCTTGAGCGCCATTGCCACGTCGTCGCCCTGTCTCGCCAACTCCCCCGCGAGCACGTAGGCGCCGATGAGGCAGCCGGTGGTCCCCATTCCCGTAAAGGGGCTCGGGCAGTAGCCGGCGTCGCCGAGGAGCACGACCCGGCCGCTGTACAGCTGCTTCATCTTGATCTGGCCCACCTCGTGCGCGTAAAAGTCGTTGCAGGCTTTCAAGCCGCTGAGAAATCGGTCGGCCTGCCACCCGGCGTCTGCAAATGCCTCGGCAAATGCCGCCTTTTGCTCGTCCACCGGGCCGCTGTATGAAGTCTTCATTCTTTCCGTGTCCTTCATGGTGAAGAGCAGCACCTGCGTCACCGGGCGGCCGCTCGTTCTGGTAATCATCAGCCGACGTCCGGGAGCGATGTATGCTCTGGCAAGCGTCCCTTCGCCTGGGATCCGCGGGATGCTGTAGTACGCGGCATGGACCCCGAGTGATTGGAAGGCCTCGTCGCTGGTGTCCTGGCCGAAGGCGAGGCGTCTGGTCCGCGATCCCTGCCCATCTGCGCCGACGACGAGGTCGTATCGTCTCTTCTGCCCATCCGAGAAAGTGACCTCCACACAATCGTCGCTCTGCGTGAGCTTTGAGATTGTCTGGTCGAATTGGTACGTCAAGCTTCCCGCCTTCCCTGGCCCTCGTCTCAACTTTGAGTCCTGTTCAAGACTGGCCTCGTAAAGCACTTTCAATACATCGCCACGCATAATCTCATACTCGGCCGTCAAAGTCGGCCGTCGCTGGCCCGAAGGGTTGATGCCAAAGACAGCCGTCGGCTTACCGTTCGGATTCAAAATCTCGAGTCCAGTTTCATCGACGCAGTATGACTTGAAGGTGTCCATAAGGCCCATCTTGCGCACAACCTGGACGCCCTGGTCCTTCAGATCGATTTGCTGCCCAGCCACCCGCAGAGACGAGGAACGCTCCACGACTGTAATGCTGTGGCCGGGGTTGGAGCGCTGCAGAAGGGTGGCAAGTGCCGGGCCGCAGACGCCAGCGCCTACGATGAGGATATTGAGAGGCATCGCGGCCGAAGATTGCAGGGTTAGGTGACGCTTATAGCCGGCGCTGTCCTGCGGCACGCTGGCAGCGAAGAAGCGACGGGTCGGCTGCAGAGCACGCTGACGGAGAAGGAGGGTTTGTAGATTCATGTGTATGTTGATCCGGTGGTTTCGGAGATGTGGAAAGGAACTTGACATAACAAAATTCTATCAAAGTTGCCGCTGGGCTGAAGAGAGACAGTATGATAGAGATGTTGTCGCGTGGGATGAAATGGCGAAATTGAGTCGGGCCAATTCGCGCTGTTTCTTCAGCAGTCTCAATGACTCTTTGACAGCCCGGTCGTTGAATTCTTTTCCGACAGGGGATGGCAAAGCGATGGCTCAACTGCGATGTATTGAAGACCCAAAAATACGCAACGGAAGGCGAGTATAAAAAGGGAAAGGGGGGGATGGAGGTGGAGAGTCGCCGACGACAAGATATAAGACGGTCCATCGCCCGAGACCATCTATTGTCCGAGGCCGCCGTATGTCCGTTGTCCGAAGACCGTCGGATCGCCCGAAACAACCCCGCCAAAAGAACTCCTGGCACAGATCCATGCTCTGGCTCGGCAGACCAAGCTTGTACACCTAATCCCTCCGTGACAGCCATTGCGGACAAGCAGCTCATGTTGCTACTATGGATCGCGGCCATGAGCCCCGAGACTCTGGAGCCGGCTATTTATTTGTCAAGCACCCCTGCGTGCAATGGCCTCGAAAACGCCTATAGGGAGTTGCTCGTACTAGCGGGCTTGCTAGTCACGGCAAGGGGAGCTGGAGCGCCGCATTATCCTATCACAGCTTTATTCGAGATCTTAAGCCTACTGGGTGGGCTCTATATAGCGATGCCGCGAGTACGGGAGCTGCTCGGTCCATAGAAGGGAAACAGCCCTTCACCGAATTGCAGGATTTATTTTTACAACAGTTCCGTTATTTACGTCATTTGTTGTGTCCCAAGCCATCGAAAACTACAAATTCTCCGGGCTTCAAGTCAAATATTCCATCACTCTGCGCAGCTACGGTGTGGGCGGAGACAGCCTTCCCGCTCCTGAGCCTCCAGGCCCGGTCGGCTTGCCCACGATGCATGGATCTTTTGGGGGCCTTCTGGACCAGGCTCCGCCTTTATGTGCGTCTGCGGAGCTGTCGCCTTGAGGTCTGAGATTGTTGACTTCAGGCTGCAGTCTTGCGACAAACTTGGTATGCCATACAAGGGTGAGCAACATGCGGCGCTCCTGCAGGGGAGGAGGGGAACCTTGGAAATCCATATCAGGGGAGAGGGGGGAAGATGAGAAGTTGAGGAAACTAAAAGAGGGGGCGGGAAGAGAGAAACTTGCAGAGTCTGGATGCTCCGGGCAGCAGGGAGTATTGGGGGTTTAGATGACATGTGACAACTTTTCACATGGGGGCCAGCAACGAACCAACCAACCCAGAAGTGACGCTATAAGGACCTGTTCCCCCGCAGGGTCTCCAGAAAATCTTGAACCATCATTCACACTTGAACCTTTGCTGGATTCCTTTCCTAGACAATGGCTGAACCGTCGTCATCCTCTACTTCTGGATATGGTGGGGGAAACAAACCCAACTCTGGCTCGAAGCGGCAGAAAAAGGACACTGATCCTCTTGACAACGCTATTCGAAATGACGACCACGATCTCAGAATGTGATAAAGAAAGGGCGGGCTTCGAAAGAGAAGCGCCAGCAAGGGATTTGATCGAGAATTGCTGTAGGTCTTGACGTGTTTGATTTGAAGGGCGTCACTCTAACAGAGATGGTTCCAAAAGCCCCTGATAAAATAATGCCACACAGGTGGTTAGGCTCCCAACTCTTGCGAGTAGTAAGAATGCGACTTATTCGAGGTACATGGAACAATGTAATTAAACTTCTTGGGCCTTTGTATAGCACAACTGTTGGAAAACCACTATGGCGTGTAGCCAAAAGTGAAGTGTACACTCCAGCAAGTGTACTGCACGTGGATCCTATATACCATGGAGATGCTGGTGGCAGCTGACAACATCATATACGGCTGTTACATGGCGACTTGTTAGATGTCGCTGCCCTTCTCCCCAAATGCCGCAACAATTGAAGCCTTGGTGTTATTTCAGACACTAAGTGTACCTGGTGAACGTGAATCTCTTGTGTCGAACCTATAAAGGCTTGACTGAATATTATTCAACAATGCGTTAATAACACCTCCACTGGGGGTGCCCCTATTTTGCCTGGTGTAACGGTATTTTACCAGCTTCGTAGTAATAGAATCTCGTACGGAGTTTATTACTGCCCGCCTGAGGCTTGACTGGCGTAGACGTCCTCCTCACGACCACGACGGTTTAGCCAATCAGCCAGACGGTTAATAAAGGAGGGCAGGGATGGTCGTAAAGCCTGCCATAGAGTTGAGAGGAACGGAGGCAGACGCATGAAATCCCTTTGCTTCCATCTCTGTGGCGCCTGTGTTTTGTCCAGGCAGTCCTTCTGCCGACATGCCAGGTTCTTCGACAGGGCAGACGTCTGGAAGGCCTCGATGTCCTGACAATGGGACATGATGTCCGACAAGGGAAAGCTCTCCCTGGTGGCCAAGTTATACCAGAAAGCCCCATCTCGCATGGACTGTCGCATAAGACGAGAGAGTGCATGGTCAGCCTGACATCTTTCCTCTTCTTCTTCCAACAGTTCAAGAAACAAGCTGAGTTGGTCCTTGTAGAATGAGACATCGGTGTCCTTCCACTCAAACGGTTCAGTTCCAATCAGCCAAGATGGTGGAGAGCAGAGGAAACTTCGAGGGGCGACATAGCAAAATTCCCAGTCGAGCACGGCTACGATCCTGTACGACTCGTCGACGAGAATGTTTCCGAACCGGAGATCATCGCAAAATAGCTTGTGCTCGCTGTCAATACTGCCGTTTGGACTGAAGTGCTCCGCGAGAGATCGAAGCACACAAATCGACTTGTGGTCATCTAGGAGTTCTTGCTCGTCTCGACTAGCACGGTGGTTATTAAGAAGATGGCTCAAACTCTGATCCGCCAGCGCTTGGAAGTAATCAACTGCCAGGTCAAAAGGCCCGTCCGAGGCTGCAAATGCATGTTGTTAGCCAAGGGCGGGCCAGCAGGTTTAGTGACAAACATCCGACCTGGACACCTCCCATCCGCTCCACCTCGTTCATTTTGAACGTCAATGGACCGGAAGTCACGCGCCAATGAGGAGCGGCACCGGCGTCTTGCGCCACAGACAAGCTCCCAATCTTTGAAAAGCTATGCTGGAATAGCTGGAGGTAGATGTTTGCGATCTGTCTGTAAACTGTTTTGATGGTGTCAACCGGACAATCCTTCTTCAAGGCCCACTCTTCATCGTCTTCCAGAAGTAGATCATCGAGACAGATTCCTTCAACGAATTGCATAATAATGGGCCCAAGTTATCTATCCACCCACTTTCATTAACTGTACACCCAAAAAGTGGATTAACTGTGGCTGACGGCCGAAGAGGGCCGATACCGCCAATTTGTATGCACACATTCTCTACGATAAGTAGAGCCAGGTAGTAACAGTTCTCCTTCAACGATAAGGCACCCAAAATTGAAGCTATTCGTACTGCGCTTTCTATGCTGATGAGACTATTCTTTGGTGTTTACAACAGGCCTCCTTCTTCGAGTGCACTACGTGCCTGATCCGCTTCATCTAACTGTGATTCCAATTGATCCCATACATCCTCAAGGGCGGCATCGTCCGTGAGGCCGGCGACGAAGATGCAGTCTTGGGTCTCCCGCCGTACCGGCTGATCGTCATCATCAGAGACTGGCGTTTGACGCCCGGCTTGTTGATACGCCCGTTGCATCCGTGTGCCTGCCTCGTACGTATCGCCGTTTTCCTCGATGTGCCGCAGCCCTCGTTCCGTTGAAGTCATCGCGGCCGTTACCGTACCCGTCATCGCCGCTGGTGCCGTTGAGGAGGAGGCAGTCGTATAGCCTCAGCCCGCTCATGCCGTTCAGCGATCTCGTGATGTGACGGATCCCGCCGCGTTGATCTTGACCGCCGTGACTCTTCGAGGTTGAGTGAGCCCTTGGGGCGGCCCTTAGCCCTGATAACTTGTGGCTCGTATGGTGCCCGAGTAGGGCTTGTGCCCTGAGCGCTTGTATCGATCGGAATATACCAAAATGGGTCGAAGTCGTCGAGTGTAAGGGAGGTATTGGTGTTGATAGACTCGAAGATTCGATGGCAGCACGGTAGCCCTCGACTAGTAGCCCAATTACAAGGACATTGACCTGGCGGCGGTTTGGCCCGTTGACTTCGGGGTCTAGAGGATCTTGCGATGCTCATCTATTAGTAGCTTTAACGCATATGACGATACTCGCTCGCGGATCGGCATATACGGCGCCTGTAGGGAGAACGTTGATATCTTGTGGAGGTTTCGATTCTCTATCGCTGTGATCTGAGCAGCCTGATGGCCCCAGAAGCGTTCGAATCGTTGGAAAACGGTCGTCAAATCGCCCGTACAGGACCAAAGGAACTTCTTCATATGAGAGTGAAGTCCCTCGACGATCGAGGTCGTTGTACGCCCGAAGTGGCGATATTGATTAACGAAACAAGATACAAACTTCTCCTTCCAAGGCGTTAGCCACGTATTGCAACAGTATTGTATAGCTGCAAGCGGGTGGCGGCCTGGTGTCCAGGGTGGTTTTCCATACATGGAAAGGCCTGCAATCGATAATCGGTATCGGCCCCACATTTATTGCAAGTATTGCAATACACCTTTCCATACTTGGTCCGTGCACGACGACAAAATGTCACTGAAGACACCTTCGACAAGATGGACAAATTCACACCATATGGTGAATTAAAAATACGAAGTAATTGATTGAGCTCAATGATAATGTCCAAAAAGAGAGGGTAGGCAAATCTTACGTGTTTTGTTCCAAGACGAGGAGGGAAATCAGACGGGAATTTGCACGAATTCTCACGCCACGGTCACGCCACCGCCCCTTCCCTCTTCAAGACATTGTTCTTCACCCAATGCTTCAACCAATTCTCCTTTTCAATTTGGTCCGCATCCAATTGTGCCCTTTCCCAGGAGATCGTACGACGAGCCCTGAAAACACCCGTTCCGGCTCGTCGCTCATCGCTGGCATTGATAGGATGTCTATTGCCATTCGTGATAACTTCGGCCGTCGGTTCCTATGTCGCTCTTGAAGCCACCATGATAAAGCAGTTGTTGGCGCAATCTCATATGGATCACCTGAGATGTAATCTTCATACTCGTCTTGACTTGTAGGTCGAGCACAATTCTGCAGATTTCTTGAAATACGATCAAATGCATCAAGGCCATTGTCTTCTTCTTCGTCCAGTACATGATACGAAATTGTACCGTCGTTTGTATTTCGGTAAGAGTAGCAAAGGTCTTTGACCCGTTTGAAAGCAGTTTTATGCCACTTCTTCTAATTTGAGTGGATGTACGTCGTGCGATAGCTTGGATGAAGGACCAAAGAAGCGGCGTAATAGGGCGAATTCTCTTTATTGATAATTTCTTGGTCAAGGTAGCCTTTGAAGACACGGCCCAGATCCCACGCTTGCCCGTAGAGTTGATCAAATCCTTCGATGATGGACGGTTGAAGAGGAGATAAATTCTCTGCGACGTTGATGACATACTTTCTTGCCCTCAGGGTGTTTTCGAAAGCTGGCGGTGACAGAAGTACTGTAGGGATCATTCTGGGGACAATAAAGATAATATATGAGGCGGTTCCTGCCTTTGAACTCCGCTTCCCCTAACCCTTTTACTACCGGTACATTACTGCCAGATGAGCATGTTTTCATGATCCAAAAGCATGGTTTTCTCTTGTCTTGGGAGATATAGACGCGAATGAATCCGAAGCAATGGATTCAGAATCGAAGAAACATAACTAACACAGGCTCAGAATCCATTGTCGCCAGGTGATAATGGTATGCTGTGGGTTGGTGGTGAGGCTGATTTTGTGGATGTGCGGATTTGTAGCGGGGTTCCAGGCCCACAGCCCTGTAGGTAGCCCCCTGTAGGAACCCTTGTTAGTGGCGTGGTTCAGCCAATAGTATGGAAATACATGGATCCATATCCATACCTATTCCATGCCATTCATGGAAAGGGTATTTCCATATTTAGATATGGAAAACCACCCTGCTGGTGTCTCAAATTGGCGTAAACGTTCGTTGAAGCTATTCACATCTTGTGACTTGACGATCTCGTTCCACTCTTGTAGAAACGCTTGGAATGCCGGGGCCCGTACGACTCGATTGCCGATTTTTGATGCCTTAGGAAAAATTGCTTGCATTTCGCAACGACATTCTGGTTAATATGCCACGTGCAGAGAAGGTTAGTACTGTTTTGAAGCTCGCGAAAGCTATCTAACGCCTTAAGCAACGCAGTATCTCGGTCCGTGACAGTGACCCTTGGAAATGGGATCGACTCCTTCTCGCAAAGGACTAGCAGCAACGAGATAGCCCAATAGTAATGGGACTCGGTCTCGCCGTTCAAGAAGATAGAGGCAATAGAGAACGTTTTGTTATCTCGAGTGGCCGCGCAGATATTCAATAACGGCATATTGAATCGGTTCGTCTTGTAGGTACAGTCGAGGACGAGGACATCGTGATGCTGACGCCATCGATGGAAGGTAGCACGAGGCGCGAGAAATAGCCCAGTTAGCCGGCCCTGGGGATCACGACTATCTCGATGAAAGAAGTCGGACTTATCTAGCCGGTCGTAGAGAAACTGAAGAGGCGTACGGCCAGCTAGTTCTTCCTGACGGTGCCTAGCCAAGGCGTTACTCACGTCTTGAGCCGTGATACCGGCTAAACGAGGATCGTCGTGAACCAGGTCACGAAGCTCGCCAGCAATATCGGTCGGCCGGGTATTGTTATTAAACTTCCGGATAATGTCGTCGCGATACTTCTGGATAACAAGCGCCCGGTACTTCGGAAAGACCATCGGGTCATCAACAAGGCGATGATTGTGAACATCGTGAAGATAAGAGATAGTCCAGTAACCGCGTTTTTCCTTCAACGAGAGGCGAAATTCACAGTCTGTTTTCTGGGTTGCTGTATTGAGGCGACGACGAGAGATATGAGCAGCTTTATCCTTCCGATTTTCGTAGGGGCCGGCCTTGATACAACGAACAAGTGCAGACTTGCGTTGGCCAGCGTTATCCCGCTTCGATGTTCGAATGTAGGGCGTAGCCCTCAGCCTCAACAACGGTATCGGCGGCTTCCATCGCGGCCTGGAAGGTCGGGAATAGTGTCTTCGTAAGCGACTCCATGATTCGGGCTCGTAAGGGCAGAAAACGCGGTGCGAATAGCTTCAGTTTTGATGGTATTGCTGATAGTTACGGTTACAGGATGTTGTTACGCAAGCATCACGAACTGGCCAGCTGGCCGGCCGGGAATGGGCGCACCAAAATTAGCGGCATCGGCACTGCGCCTGACCCAGCCACAGTTGATCCACTTTTTGGTGTACAGTTAATAAAAGGAGGTGTATAGATAATTGGGCCCTAATAATGTATGGTCCGAGGCCTTTAAGTTCGCGGTCCGCTACACCGGTGCCAATGAGTTTAGGAATGGGTATCGTGGTGTTACTTTGAATGAATCGCATGACGGCAACCTCATTCTGGGTTTTCCGAGCTGGGTTCATTGTGTATCCGGGAATCGGGAAACGGACAATCCACTCATCGCCGCCATGGTCGAATCGGATTCTGAAGCAGTAGTTGAAAGCTCCTTGGAACCGCTGAATCACCCGACATGGCTGTCCTTGTCGATGTTGAGACGCAATCGCTTCGACGCGGGATCGAGGGGCGTCGAGGTGATCATGTGTTGCAACAAGCGCTAGCCATGTCTGCGCGACATTCTCGTTTGCAGCGAGAACATCTGGATTTACTCGCATTTGGGAGAGCTGGTCTGCCGTGTCTGCGTAAGTTGGAAGTCCAATACGTGGAAACGTGTGGGGAGCAAGGCGGAAATGTACGTGGGAGCCGGAAGGATATTTATTCCGTTGGCGACTTGCTCCCCTGGGCACGTGCACCCAGGTCTGAATGTGCTAATTAGCGCGAGCCCTTTTAAGGTGGTCATCTGTGGCTGTGAAGCTGGTAACAGGCAAAATACGGGCACCCCCATTGGAGGTGTTATTAACGCGTACTAACTATAATAAGTCCTTGCTCTGCTCTGATAGTTACCAACAAAGGCGCAATGTATTCATGAGCCGGTTGGCCTTTATGGTATGCGAAATACCACACCAGACGAAGCCTTGTTCATGGCTATTGTTAATGCCGCAGAGTGCATCAAGTCCCAGAGCACTTGGGCTGTGTGAACCTCCCCAAGGACCAGCACGGCCTGGCATGTACTCGATATTGTCCAAGGCGATTCCAAGGTGGCCCGTCGTTCGGCGACACTTTGCTCCCATTTCCAGATCCGATATAACTGGATGCGTCAATCGGGTCGGTATAACACGGTTTTGTTACACCGCCCAGCAAGACTGTCCGAATATCGAGAGTTGCTACGTAATTACGGTACAGTTACTGCGGTACCGGCCAAAGAGCAAATCCAAGGTATCCTAGGATTCACGGTCTGATTTTCTTCTTCAATCTTGCTTCTTCCGTCGACGCAGGGCCAACCCCAAACCTAGTCGTCGTACAATGATGCTCTCATACTCCCATCTGTAAAAACGGCCCGCGTCCACTTCATCATCGTCCACTGCTCACTCCAGGCCTCCCTTCAAGCCCACGCCTCGCTTCACTGCGCTTCCCAATCCAGTCTCCCCCAGCTCCAATCTAGGACCCACCCCCTTGACCCGTCTTTACCTCCTGGTCCATCCGTGTCCACGCCCTTCCGACCGTCACGGCCGAGTCGACTCAATCCTCGCCTCTTGCCCGACAGGCCGTCGCTGCCGGCTTGACCGCCTGTTGATAAGCCCCCGGGTCGGCCAATCGGCACCTGCACGCCGGCACACGTTGCATCTCCCCTCCATCCGTACGAGCCTCGTACAGGGCCAACGTCTGCACGCGCTGGGTCGCGCGTCCGTCGCCGCCGTCTTCCTCTTTTTTACGACGTCTTCTTGGCGGGGCCGCTCGTGGTGACGTACTTGCTGGCATCCGTCGCATCGTGAAACTGCCTGGCGCCGTTCTTGACGCCGTCCCACACCGACCTGGCAGCTGGGGGAGTGCCCTGGGCGCCGACCAGAGAGTCGATCCTGGCGCTGAGCTGCGACACCGAGTTCTGCACGTGCGAGCTCTGGGAGAAGCGGGCGCGGAGGAAGGCAGTGTAAAGGGCGAGCAGGATCCACGACCGGCGCTGGAAGAGGACAGCAGAGAGCAGGACGCGGATCCAGAGCAGAATCTCGAGCCCCGACACAATGGACATGGACGCGTCGTAATACTCCTTGACAAAGGCCCCGATCCTGTCGGCCATTGGGCTGTTGACTCTAGGCCGGGCAGCAGCGCCGTCGATGGCCGGAGGGGGCGGCTGAAAGACGGGGATAAGGTTGGCGCGCGTGTAGGTGGCGACGTGGAAGACGGAGTAAACGCAGAAGGGCAGCAGCGCAAGCGGATACTGGGGGGACAGGAGCCAGACGAGGGCAATGACTGCAGGGTGTCCATCAAGTCAGCAAGACCAAAGTAGAGCATCGAACAGGTTGCTGGGGAGGCGTACGCAGGTACTGCACGTTCTCGTCGGAGAAGAGGCCGATGACACCGCCCGGCATCTTGTTGCCCGTCTTTGCGCGCGCGCGCTGCGTCTTGTAGACGACGATGCCGTAGGTGACGGCGGCGGCAACAAACGAGGTCCGGTACGAGAACTGGGCCATGCGGCCGTAGTAGTTCATGCGAAGCCACGAGAAGCCATATCGCATCGTGGCCATGATGAGCGTCAGATGCCTAGCGAGTAGGATGAGGCCGTCAGCAACCAAGCAGTGTCACGATGAGAATCCTCGACAAGTTGGCGAGCCGCGCTGCCGTCGCCGTGTGGGGGCCATGACAGTTCCACTCTGGGTCGGCCTTGTCGAGAGGCGCCAGAGCTCGACCCCGTGGCAACGGTAACATAAGTATGACCACTTTCAGGGCGAGCCCAGTCGACGGCACGGGTATTGCGAGACGGGGAAGAACGGGGTCGGACATACCCAACAAACCAGGCAACTGCAGGCGGGGAAAAGGACTGTCAGCAAGACCTTGCACCGGGGGAGAGGGAGTAACGGAGCCTCGTACACTGCAGCGTTTTGGCCAGAGCGAGCAGCCGCTCCTGGAGCGGCATGCTGGAGTTGGGCGGGGGAGCCATGTCGCCGAGCGTGTGCGTCTTCGGGGGAGCGAAGCTGTGAGACGCGAGGCTTCCGTGGTTTGAGTGTGCGATGGGCGATGCGGCTCTCCGCCTTGGCAGGTGGTGAAAATGCTGCTTGAGGTAAGGCAAGGCGGTGCGCGAGCGCGGAGGAAGCCCGGGAAGAAGCACTGCTGTTGCTGTCGAGAAAAGATGAGCGGGTTGGTGGTAGTGATGATTGGGGGTGGTGGTGGTGGTGGTTGGAAAGAAGAGGACAGACAGAGCTAGCGGTACGGAGTACGAGAAGTCAGAAAAGGTGGCGGGCGGCGCTGGCGGGAGGAGCTCTGGGCGGGGGGGGGAAGGGAACAGGTGGGTGGGTACGGAGTACTTGGTACCCAGGTAGTACTTGAGGCGGCTTACTGTTTTTTATTACTACTTAGTACCTACCTTAATACTAGTATGTAGGTAGGTAGTAGGTACTACCTAACTTCAGGTGCCAGTGGCGGATGTTCAGGGCCTGGAGACGAGCGAACAAGTGCGAATATTACCTACCTTAGTTAAGTTAATTAATTCCTGAAAGTGGAAGCGATGACGGCGACGGGAGCTGAGCGAGTACAAGCTGATACCTGCCTGTGCTCCAACTCGCGCCCGCATCCAAGGTACAAGACTTGATAATTCTCATCCACCCCAGCCTCATCAGCACGGTACAGCCCTCGAGGCCCAAGCGTCCAACGCTTGTATCTGAAGCTCTTCTCACGTCACCCACCACCAGATGCACAATTCCCGGACGTTGGGGAGCGCAAGCATGGCAGTAGCAAGAGCAAGAAAGTGCACAGACAAGACACCACTGCGTGACGTAAATGACGTGTCTCGCCACGCTGTTGATGGAAGCGCCATGTCTCCGTGACGTAACCCCCACGCCTGCGAATCGTCACATGCAATCCACGAGACCAGACCCCCCTTTTCCAGCCTACACGATGCCTCTCATTCAATCTACAAACACGCTGTCACAGCCTGCTTCAATACCCGTCTATTGCCTGTCAACCTTGCCCCGGTCCCACCGCTTGCTCGCCGGCTTCCGCCTCCATCTTGGTAAACAAAGACCCGAAAGAAAAGGAGCTGTATTCGCTTCCCTGCGCCCTAGTTGGCAAATATCTTCAACGTCTTGTCGACGCTGCCCGTCGCAATCACGCACCGTATCGTCTCGGCCGTCGCCTCTGGCCCCCCAGGGCTCTTCTTGGCCCCCGCGTCGCCCTCGGAGCCCGGCTCCTGCGCGCCGCCGCCGTTGACCGCACCGCTGTCCTTGGACATGCCGGGGGCCCACCTCAGGCATGTCACAAAGTGCCCGTGCGCCTTGCTCAGCACCTTGACGCACTTTGCATCCTGCGCCAGGTCCCAGCACCGTATCGTCTTGTCGTCGGCCACGGATAGCAGGTACTTGCCGCCGGGGTGGAAGATGACGCCCGTGATCCAGTTGTCGTGTCCCACCAGCGTCTTGAGGCAGTTGCCTCGCGAGTCCCACAGCTTGATCGTCTTGTCGCGCGACCCCGTAGCCATGTATTCCGCCGCGCTCGTCAACGCCGGCGGCTTCTTCAGCCCGGCCAGCGGCGCCAGGTATTGGTATGAGGTGGGCGGCGCCAAGGCACAGCACTTGACGACGTGCTCGTGCCCGAGCATGGTGACCTTATTTTCGGGGTTGGGGACCGATATGTCCCACAGGCGAGCCGTGTGGTCGCCGCCCGTCGACAAGAGGAAGCGGCCGTCGAGGGACGGGCAGACGTCTCGGACCCAGCCCGTGTGGCCCTTGAGCGCCTTGAGGCAGTAGCCCGTCGTCGTGTCCCATATCCTCAGCGTCTTGTCTCCGCTGGCGCTGACGAGCAGGTTGCCCGACGACTGGGAGCCGCCGGCGCCCGAGGGGATGAAGCGCACGGCGCTGACGCTGTGGTCATGTCCCGACAGGGTGCGGATGTTCTTGTACTGGTCTGCCGGGTCCCACAGCTTGATTGTGAGGTCGGAGCTGCACGACGCCAGCAGGGCGGCACCGCGCGGGCCGCCGTAATCAAGGCCCAGGACGGCCCGCGTGTGGCCCTTGATGGTCTGCTCGAGCTCGCCCAGCTCCCAGTCCCAGATCTTGATGGTGCAGTCGTCGGAGCCGGAGGCGACCGAGGAGAAGCGGGGGTGGAAGGCGATGCAGTTGATGGTGTCGCGATGCGACTCGAGGGTATGGCGCGCGGGCAGCCGCGGAAGCCAAGAGGCGGGGTCTTGGTTCCGCTTGGAGAGGGAGGTCGGGGTCGCGTTGTCGAGCTCCGACTGCAGTGCCGCGTTGCGGGACTCGAGGTCCATGATCTGGGGATACGTGGGCGGTGCTCAGGGCGGTGCTCAGACCAAGACTGCGAGTAAACACACCTTTTTCTGTAGCCGCGCAATGCTGGTCCATTTCTTCTCGAGCAGCGTCTCGTACTTGTTGGCCGTGGCCGTGTCGAAGACATCCTCACCCAGGCCGGCTTCCTGCCTGAGCGAGGCGGCCGAGCTGGGCAGGTTGTTTGCGGCGAGGTAGGCTATGATGGACTTGTTTCTTGAGAGGCAGCGTTAGGCTCAGTGGCAGGCCAGGGCGAAACCCCTCGAACCTCCCCGCTCCCCTCTCACGACTTGGGTGGCTACCCACAGCTCTTCGGCTTGTCGGCTCGGCAGCGTGCGACTCATTGTGCTTGCACCGGCGCGTGCTCAAGCCCTCGCGGGCGACGGAGGATGGCCGAGATGGCTGGACGACGACGACGACGACGACGACGACGACGGCTACGGGATGCTGGACACGAGGCGGGCGGGGCGAGGCCGATTCATGGGGGACAGGAGGAATCGCATCCGAGGATGACGGCGTCGAGGCAGTGGTCGCGGCAGAGTCGGCGGTCGAGGTGGAGGCAGAGATGGCGTGTGCGAGAGTCGTGGGGGGGGGGAGAAGAAGGGTGGCAGAGGAGTAGAAGAGTGAGAGAGGAGGAGAGGAAAAGTGAGAGCGCAGGGAGTCGTCGAGGAATCAAACCAGGCCGGCATTCAAAGCTGCTAGTACCGAGTACAAGGGCCGCAGCAGTGGTGGGGCCTGTCGCGACCTCTGCATGCCGGAGCACAGCGCATCACGCGCCGGCGTGTTGGCGGAACAATGGCCCTGTGGGCGTCCGCCCATGAACCCCATGTACCCGCTACTTATCCCAATAACAGTGTCCGTACAGGTCGGTAGGTGCTTTGGATCTTCCACTGTCGTAGGTAACAGTCCACGTCCACGGCAGACGACTTTGATGCACGGTGAGTTCAGGCAAGACATGCACTTGATGGCTTTCCGAGTTGATCAGTCCTTGTCATAGAATGTGACCATGGACCACAGCCTAAAGAAGGCAATCATGCCCCGTCCATACGCTGCCAAGGCCATTGTTGCTCCTAATGTCTCATATCCAGTTGAACTCCAAGTAATTACTGCGGGTGCTCCCGCCTTTGTTCTCGTGTCCGCTGCCCAGCCAGTGATGACCAGCCTGTCCTTCACGGAGCTCTGTTTCAAGAATCCCGACCTCCAGGACAGCTCGTCCAGTACTGTTGGTGACCACGGACTGCCCCCTTGGCTAAGATTCAACGACCTGCCTACCCTAGACCCTTTTCGGCCCCCGAGCATCGGAGCCGGCAACCTTCCCCTGTTTTCTTACTTTCTTGGCATGCAATTGTTAAGAAAGTAGCGCAATTTCCCACCAACTCGCCTAACAACTGCACGTTAATCATTCCAGCCGCGCTTTGCGCTGGCTTCGGCAGCAGCCATGGCATCTGCCACGAGCTCGCATGCCAGCCCAGATCCCTTTGATCTGGGTGTCCATACCCCGCCCAACCTCGCGCGATTAGCCCGTGCATCTCAGCTTCGACACAGTTCCCCCATTGCGAGCCGTCCCATTGGTCTCACATCCGCGTTTCGGCGACCGGCGGCGACGCCGTCCTCGCCCTTATCAGACTCTCCAATGCCGCCGCTACGGAAGGAGCGCAGCGTGAATCCACCCCGAACCGGCCTGGCTCGGCCGAGTCCGTTAACCTCCAGCCGGTCTCGATCGTTGAAGCTGCCAACAAGCTCGCAGTTGAACAAACAAATGCCTACAACGCCAAAATGACAGTGTTCCGAGCCTTTGTGAATCGTTCGAACAGACTGCGAAACAATACACGTCCGGCCTTGAACACAGCTTTGCGGAACAATTTTCCAACAGCTTCCTCGACTTTTGGAAGCAGGCGCTCTCCGACCTCAATTCCGCACCCGCCCCGACCTACAGCAGCGTCGCCGCCGGTCGCCCTGCAAGCCAGCCCCTCGGGGGCCACACTCCCACGGCCGCCGCAGCCCCGCAACAGCAACGACCACAACAACCAATCTCCCGTCTCCAGGGACGACCAATCCCCGCCCCACCAAAAGAAGACCTCCGTGTTTTCGTGCGGCTCGATGCCGAAGCGCCGGCGCGAGACCACAGCAGCTACGCAATTCGGACCCACATCGCCGCCAAAGTCGGCATCGACTTGCACCGGGTCCCGGCAGCTTTCAAGGTAAACTCCGGATGGGCCATCCGAACAACGGACGCTACCATCAGGGACCTCATCGTCCAGCGACAGTCGGAATGGTCCGAGGACCTAGACGCGACCTCGGTGGAGATTAGTCACAAATGGTACACGTACGTCGTGCCCAACTGCCCCGAAGACTTACGGACTTGCAGGGCAATGAAGTCAACTACGAGGCGGCCGTCAAAGACGAAATCGCCTGCCAGACCGGGCTCACACCCATCAGCATCCGTCCCAGCCGGCACGATTCAAGCGACCTTCCGAGTAAGACGCTTATTGTGTCCTTCCTCGAGCCTACCCAGAGACCTTGGAGACTTTTGGCTCCAGCCGACTTGCCCGACACATCGTCAGATCCAGCATGCCCAGCCAGTGCAACAAATGCTGGGATTTCCACGCTCGACACAGCTGTGACCGACAACCGTCCTGCAAGCGTTGCGGAAGGAACGGCCATGACGGTGAAACCTGCGTAGCCCTCGAGCAGTGCGCAAACTGCCTCGGACCCCATTCCGCAGATTTCTCGAAATGCCCTGCACGCCCCAAGCGATCACACGGCGTCATTCGCCGCCTGACGAAGGAGGAGAAACCCTCGTCCGACAGATGGGCACCCAACTATTTGCTCAGCGGAAGCAACAGTTCGAGCGCATAGACCAACCCGAACAGCTAGAACGAGACTCCTCCGAGATTCTCAATTCCATAGCTCCGAGCACTGCTCAGCCCGACGACCAGGAAGCCGAGCACCCAGATGACAGGTCACGGGGCAGGAGCGAAACCTCAGTCCTAAGCTCGACCAGGACCATGTCTCCGCCATTCATTATGGTAACCACGACACCTCAGCCTCAGAGCGAGGGCAACGAATCTAGACCAGCTTCCCTTCAAAGAAGCGACGCATCAGCCCCATTGCACTATCTCCATGACGAGACATCCCGCGTGAACCAAAGCGACAAGAAGACCCTGCGAGTCTTCCAAGCTAACGTAGGCAAGATCTCGCCAGCACATGACTGCGCCCTTGCCCTCGCCGACTCTGAACGATACGACATAGTGCTCCTCCAGGAGCCGTGGACGGAAGCCAAGGACGGCCGATGTCTTACAAAACCCACCCAGCCTACGATACCTTCTCCCCAGTCGACAGCTGGGACGACAACAGCACCCGACCTCGAGTAATGACCTATGTCCGGCGGAGTCCCTGCCTGATGACAGATCAGAGGAGGCCTGTGGCGACCCGCGACATTCTCTGGCTCACCATCAACAACATAACAGTAGTAAACTTCTATCGACAACCGCACTACGATGAAGCACTGGAGATGCTCCTCCAGTGGACCACACCAGGAAGGTGCCTAGTAGCAGGCGACTTCAACGCCAAACACAGTAGCTGGCAAACCGGCCGGCTCGATGGCCGAGGTGACGACATCGCCTTTGGGCCTCTGAGAACGGCCTTAGCTTGCTCAACCCTGCCGATGTGCCAACGAACCCACATGGCAACACAATAGACCTCGCCTTCTCCAACATACCACTATCCGAAGCTGTCGTGGAGGAACACCTGGCCACCAGCTCTGACCACTTCACGCTCAGCGTGACACTCGCTGACCTGGCTCCGGCCTCGGTGCCGCTAGGAAAGGTCCGCCTCACCTCTGACGACGAGCTCGCTCGTTTCGCCGAAATGGTCGATTCCGGAGCAACAGCTATCCCGGCCGCGGCCTCGTCTCCCCAAGAGCTTGATTCCCTGGCGTTGGCGCTCGTGGAACTTCTCCAACTGGCAGCCAAGGCCGCCGGTCGCCCCGTCCGCAAAGGGGCACGCAGCGCGCCCTGGTGGACAGAAGAATGCGCCCTCGCCGCGGCGGAATACCGCGCGATTAGGAGAGTCTACCCTCTCGGCTTCAATCGGGAAGTCCAGCTTGCAAGAGAGACTTCCAGAAAGTCGTGCGGCGAGCCAAAAGACATTACTGGCGCAATCTGATCGACAGCTTCACTGACAGCGCCTCCATATTCAAAGCGGTCCGATGGCTGAGATCACCGGGCGCTTTCCAGCCTCCGCCCCTACAAGTAGGCGATGTAGTTTACGAGACGCAGCTTGACAAAGCCAATGCCCTACGGCGGGCGACGCTCGAGCGGCGCACGGCGGACGACGACATCCCAGATCCGTGGATCCCAGTCGACACAACGAAAACCGTTCCCTTCACGCAACAGGCGTCACTTGAGGAAGTGCGCGACGCAACCCTACGGACAGGAAACACGTCTCCCGGCCCCGACAGCATCACGGTACAAATGCTCAAGGCGGTATGGCATATTATCGGAAGCCACGTCCAGCGGCTGTACGAAGGCTGCCTCACCATCGGCCATCACCCGAAGCCGTTCAGAGAGGCCGAAGTAGTCATGATAACAAAACCAGGCCGAAGGAACCTCTCGACCCCTCGTGCCTGGCGACCCATCTCCCTACTGTCCTGCCTAGGCAAAGGTCTCGAGCGGCTCATCGCACGCCGCCTGGCATGGGCCTCCGTCCACTACGGAGTCCTCCATTCACAACAAGCTGGCGCTCTCCGAAGAGATCTGCCGTTGACCTTGTTGCCGCTCTGCTGCATGACATTGAAGAGGCGTTTGCCCGCGGACAAGTTGCCACGTTGGTGACTATGGACATCCAGGAGCCTTCGACACTGTCCTCCGCAACAGGCTGATCCTTCGCCTCCGTGAGCAGGGGTGGCCAGAACATCTCGCTCGATGGGCTGGTTCTTTCATGCATGACCGCTCGGCGCGCGTCAGATACCAGGACACTACCACGCCCAGCTCGCCTCTCAATGCGGCCTCCCAGGATCACCAGTCTCGCCCATCCTTTTCTGTTGTACACGGAACCAATTTACCGCCTAGGGAAGCCGAAGGGGCGCTTCGGCTACGCAGACGACACGGGTATCCTATGCATAGGTAACTCCCTGGAGAAGACAGCCGAGAGAGCGTCGCGCTATGTAAACGAACTTGTGGCCTGGGGCGCCGCCAACGGCATCGCCTTCGACCCGATGAAGACTGAGGTCATGCATTTCTGTCGAAGCAAACCTAAAGTTGCCCGCCTATATTTCACGGCGACTCAGAGAAGCGCCCTGACCGAGCACTGCGATGGCTAGGCATCTGGCTCGACAGCACCCTGTCGTTCAAGACACACGTGGAAAAGTGGACAGCCAAGGCACAGGTCGTGGCCTATCACTTGAAAAGTCTGGCAAACACCAAACATGGTCCTCTTCCCGGTGCCGTTCGCAGAGCCGTAAGAGCATGTATCGAACCGGTGCTGCTCCACGGCACCGAGGCATGGTACCCCGGATTAACCAGCCCGCGATGGACCCAGCCAGCAAAGAAGGACCATCCGGGATACAGCAACTCATCCGAAAGATGAACAAGTCGCTTCACACATCCATCCGAGCCATCCTGCCTGTTTGGAGGACGACGCCGATCAATGCCCTCCATCGAGAGAGCGGCATTCCACCGGTGATACAACTGCTCGAGGGCGTCGCATGCGCTTCGCGGCCCGCCTCAAGTCTCTCGATGAAGCCCATCCGCTTGCGAAACGTACAGTCCGGCCCAAGCCCCTGTCATCCACAGGTCGATCAAACTGAAGTACCAGGTGCCGCGAGAAGGCTTCCGGACCCGACTTCGACGCAGTGACCAGCTGCTGCCTTGCAGCAGGCGGCCAATCTCCTCCTCGCCGCTTCGGCGACGATCAGGCGCTGCCTCTGCAAACCGCCCCGAAAGACCAGTCAGCAGCGGATTTCCGCATTTGGCTCCGGTCAGTGCCACCACACACTCTGGTCGTCTACTCAGACGGATCGCTCTCCTCGGATGCAGCGGTCGGTTATGGCTATGCCATCCATCTGGATGGGCAAACCGTCCTAAGTGGCTGCGGCCGACTTGGGCCCGCTGAGGTTTTGATGCGGAAGCGAAAGGCGCGCTCGAGGGCCTGCGCGCTGCCCTAAGCCTCCCACGATCGCAGAGGGTAGTCGTTTGTCTCGACAACATCGCGGCGGCAACATGCCTCAGAGGCATGCCGGCAGACTCCTCCCAGGATGTCTTCCTCGAGTTCCAGGCCCTGGCCACAGCACACGGTGCCACGGAGGTCCGCTGGATCCCCGGCCACACCAGCATCCCAGGCAACGAGCAGGCCGATGCCTTAGCGAAAGCAGGAACCTCTCAACCCGAGCCCGCAGGCGCTGTCCCGACACTGGCATATCTGCGCAGGGCTGCCAGGCAGCAGCCTAAAGTGCATTTAAAGCCTGGTGGGAAGCCTCCGCACCCGAACAGTACAAGCCACTGCACCTTAAGCCGACGACCGGCTGCCCCCTGGAGCTCAAACTCCCCCGACCGCTTCTCCACCACCTGCTTGCAGCCAGAACCCGTCACGGGGACTTTGCCGACTACCACGAGGTTCAACCACGACGATGCGCGACTGACGTGCTCATGTGGCCGACGAAAAGAGCCAAACCATGTCTTTTATTGCCGAAAGATCGAGCCGCGGCATCGGATGAGGCTGACGCCCTCACCTACTGCAGCAGTCAATCGCGCAATAGGCAGAGACTTCGACAGGTTCGTCAAGCTGGCGAAGGCGTCCTCCTTCTTTGAATGGGCTTGCCTCGCCACTAGGCGGCTGCATCACACCTTTCCTCACCTCTTCCTTTGTTCAAATCCCCGGATTCGGCCAGGCAGAGGTGCTGCAACCCCCTTTGCCCGGCCGGGCCAACTGAGGCTGCGCTCTGCAGTCTCCGACAACGGTCCCTTGGAGACCAAAACTGAATGGCGATCTCACCGCCGCGCCTGCACGACCCGCTGACGGGCACCAGGTTCAACACGGAGCGCCTCAGAGCCGATGAAATGCTGGATGGTGGTTGTTTACGTTTGCGAGAGGAGACTGTAGACAGCCTACTAGCTCAGCACGTCCTGTGCCCCACCGGGACCTGAGCGGCCTCACGGCCGCTGGACGGAAAATACACATACATACATACATACATACATCGGAGCCGGCAACTGCGTCATCGCTCGCCGGCGCCGGAAATAACTTGGGCCCTTGCCTGAACCGCCTCTCAACCTCTCTCGAGCCGCATGGCATTGCCCTTGCGCAGGCCAATCCTCGTCGTCTTCGCCGTTCTCATCGTCATCGTCGTCAACATCCCTCCGCCACCCCTCGCATTCCTCTCCCTCATCGTCATGCCCAGGAAACCATCCAGACAGGCGTCCGCCTCGACGACGACGACACCATCCAACTTCTCCCTGCCCGCCTCGCTATCCGAATCCTCGCTGCCGCTGCCCAAGCTCATCGTCTTTGATCTCGACTACACGCTGTGGCCCTTTTGGGTCGACACGCATGTCACCCCGCCCATCAAGCCCAACGCCCACCACTCGGCCGCCTCGGACCGCCTCGGCGAACACCTCGCCTTCTACGACGACGTGCCATCCATCCTCCAAGCCCTGAACCAGGCAGCGCGCCCCGACGGCGGCATCCAGCTCGGCGTCGCCTCCCGCACCAGCGCCCCAGACCTCGCGCGCCAGCTGCTCCAGATGCTGCACCTGCCCGCCCTGCCGGGAACCGCCGCCGCCGACGACGAGCAAGTAAGCGAGAAGCCGCGGCGGCGGCGTGCGCTGGACGTCTTTGACGGCGGCCTGGAGATTTACCCGGGAAGCAAGCTGCGGCACTTTGAGGCCCTGCGGAGGCGCACGGGCATCCCCTACGAGGACATGCTCTTCTTCGACGACGAGAGCCGCAACCGCGAGACGGAGCAGCTGGGCATCACCATGCGCCTCGTCCGCGATGGCGTGACGTGGAGCGAAGTCGAGAGAGGCGTCGACGAGTGGCGGCGGCGGAGGGGTTACGGCGGGGGCCAAGGCAAGACGACATAACCAGTGCGTGCTCTCCCGTGTGGCTTGCAAGGGAAGGTGTTTAAGAATGGATGCAATGGGGATGGAGCGGTGTTGTGTTGTGGCATAGACAAATGGGCCCAGACGGCATGTGCGTAGAAAGGGAGGGCGCAAAGGAATACGTGGGAGGTGCATCAAAGGGACAGAACTCGAGAAAGCTGGCTATACTTGCTGCTGCTAAGTGCATTCACAAGGGGCACCTGTCAAGTAAGGACGCACCAGTCATGTTTATATACAAGGTGTGAAACAAGATGGGATCCAACGCACCTTTCCATATCGACAAAGACAACCACATTATATTCACGCAGCATGTATACATGAAAGATGAGACTGCGCCGAACCGCCGCCACACCCGTCTTACCTGCCTCCCTGCGCCTAGGTACAAGTCCCCCGGCCACTCACTGCTGCTTCCGAGGTTGGGAGACCCAGTCTGAGCTGGTCGCCGCCCTCACTCACTTGTTGCGTTTTCCTTGGCCGCGGGAGGAATGACGGAGATGTGACCATTCAACTTCTGCTGGGGCTGTTCCGCGCCAGCCAGCTCCAGCTTGTCGCCGGCAGGAGAAACGACGGCCACCGAGGCCCGCGCGTCGTCGTCGCCCGGCCGCATCTTGCGCATGGTACACACGCGCTGCCTCCGCGGCTGGCCGTCTTTGGTGCCGCAGGTGAAACAGGCTATGCGCTCGCCGTCGTCCGTGTCCTCCCACAGGACGGGGCAGATGGGGAACTTGTCGAAGCCCGGCTCCCAGTCGAGAAGCGAGTCAATCGCCGGATCGAGGGCGGGCTGCTGGCCGTAGGCAAAGTCGAGCTCACCGCCGTACTTGACGGGTATGTCGCGCGAGTCGATGACGGCCTCGAGGGCGGCCTTGACCTCGTCGGGCCGGAGGATGACAATCTTTGCGCTTGAGACAGGGTCGATCCATCGTCTCACATAGTTCCAAATGATGCTAAAGACGGGCGAGGCGCCGGCAAGAAACATGCGCGAGACCGTCTCCGGGTAGTGTCCGAAGAAGAGGCGACAGAGCATGTAGGCGTGGCTGTAGAGGGACCAGAACGTCTTGAAGGAGAAGCCGGAGACGTCGACAATGCCCGTCACCATGGTGACGGGCACATCCGGGTGAGTGCGGCCGGGCACATGGGTGCAGGGTGGCATGCTGGAACGGAGCAGAATGGAGTCGAGATGGGCGCCAATGCATGCTTCCAGCGGTAAAGAAGAAGATGCCGACGTACGCCGCGAGCCCAGGATGTCCGAGTCGTTGAGGAGGCGTTCACACCCGTAAACGTTGCTCACCTCGATGGCGCCCAGGTCGAAGAGGTAGATGGGATGGCCGTGGCGGTCTCGTCGACCGGTCCATTGGAAAACCTAGGTGCACTTATCACTCCGATGATCGGGCACTCTCCTTTTCTTCCCGGTTGCCAGTATCGAAGATGTGAAAGGGGGAAGGGGGAACGAACCATCCAACGCGTCCGATCCCAGATGTCGACGTCGATGGTCTGGTAGAGATGGTCGAGGTCGATGCTGTTGCGCCACTCCTGCGTCTCCTTGAACTGCTTGGCAGCGTCTTGGACAATCCAACGTCGCGCGCGGAGGAAGCGACTGTACTCGGAGACGGTCGTGGTCAGTATGGTTCATTGCCCTGGTTTGTTTCTGCATCTCTTGTACATATACATATATGAGAGAGAGAGAGAGATAAAGGGGTGCTCTCAGCTGACACCAAAGTCGCGTCGTCGTGCGTCGTGGACGGTCCCCTGTCCCACAGCCCGTGCTCCTCCATGAGCTTCTTGAGCTGCTCGAGGGCCTCGTCCTGTGCAGAGGTCAGGTGGCCGACATGGCCCTGGGGATGCCGGGGAGGCCGCTCGGCCGGACTCGCCCTTCGGCTTGCGATGCTCCACATGGCGGCGATTTTATTTTTCTCGTGTTTGTGAGAAGAAGATGAAGATGAAGATGAATGTCCAAGACCAAGGCGAGGAGGAAAGACTCAGAACAGGTCAAAGAGGGTAAATGATTATCAGTAGGGCGATGACCAAGACACACCAACGCCTCGAGCTGAATACATGCATGTAAAAGGATGAAAGGGGGCCGAAGGGATAAAACCAAAGAAAGCTCTGGCTCGCGGCCGAACCTGGCTCACATCATCCGAGCAAACTCTCCTCCCGTGCCTCACCCGATGGCTAGGCTTGAGGATGTGGCAAACGGCATGGAAAAGGGGGAAGGCTCGCTTCCACCCATCCATCAATGACTACGACATGGAGCCACTCGCCATCTCCGGAGCGTAGCAGATCGTCCACGTGCCGAAGCCACTGCCCAAGCCTCAAGCGCTCGCCCCCCGTCTCTCCACGTAAGACGGGGCGAGTCAGGGGCGGCCTTTCTTGGCGCGGGCAACACGAGGGGCGTAGTCGTTGTTCCCTGCCAAGTTCATGGCTCCTTGAACATCTTTGCTGTCGTTGTCATGTAGTGCGATATGTTGCGGGACACTACGAATAAGAGAACAGAAGAATGGCCATTCTGGTGGCTGGCCACACCGAGGGGTATCCGACAAGATCTGTACCGTAGTAGGACCGATGGGCCACGTCTTGCCCGGACGTGGCAAGGGGCGCATGCGCCATGAACAATATCGTGATAGGAGTCGCTCTGCACGTGGTGTCCGGCTGAGAAGCCGGTCGCCCAGATTGGTCGCTTGGCTTTCAAGTTCAAAGTCGTTTCGCGGCTGTTTCCCCAGTCGACTGTGCGTCAATAGACGGATGATTCTTCGCGGAGGCGGGATTGGCCTCCGCCCCCTGCAGCACCCGAGCAGCACAGGCCGTCAAGACGCTCGTCTTGGCATCGTGAAACAAGCCTTAAGCCGACCCCTTCTCTCTGCCGGGCTTCCGCTCCCTCTGAACGCAACGGTACCTATTCTCTGTACCAAAGTATCTGCGAGGGGCAAAGGAACACTCGCTGCTGTTTGTGTGTGTATTCAAGTCTCAATTCGATGCCGTGTAATGAAGACAATCCCCCGTGGTCTCTGTAAACGCCTGACCGGAGCTGTGCCAGGTTCATGACGTGTATGTGTAGGGGGGTGTGTATGTATGTGGATGCAAAATGTGTGCGCGTGAGCATGCCGAGCAACCTCGAGGCGTCGACATGTCAGGTCCATCGACGGTATTCATATCTTGCTCCGGGTGCGAGCTTGGCATGACGCCTAGGTGCCAGCCCTTGACCCCATCTCCCATGCCAGCCCCAGGGGCAGGCTCTCACTCAACCACCTCGTCGCGCCCATGCCGACTCACCCATGACCACGTCATGCCGCTCACTCAATCACCATGTCGTGCCCGAGCCGCCGCAGCGGCAGGTGGTTGAGCATCACCTCAAGCCGCCCAAACCGCCGCACCACCTCCTTGGCCTCTTGCGCAAACGCCATGCGCGCCCGCCCAACACGCTCCCACGCGCCCGTCGCGCCCGTCCGCTCCACCACCAGCAGCATCACTGTCGCCTCCTCGACGAACCACAGCACCGTTACCTGCTCCCCGCGCGCGTGCCGCTCCACGTAGTCCCGGAGCCCGCTTGTCGTCGCCCCGGACTGGTCCGTCCCGCCACCCCGACTGAGCCGCACGTCGACGCTCACGTCGTTGAACATCCACCCCCCCGCGTGCGTCCGCGCCTTGACGCGGTCCAGCACCAGCGGGTCCGACACACGCAGCCGGTACCGTCCCTGCGCCAGGCGGGGGGCCGCTTGCGAGAAGAAGTCGTAGGCCGCATTGCCGTCGGGCCCCAGCAACACTATGTTGGGCGAGTAGGTCCAATTGGGCGACGGCTGGTCGTTGCGGGCCAGATGCGTCGCGCTGACGTAGTGGTGGTTGAGCAGCTTGCGGTCCTTGCCGCCGCCGCCGGAGTCCGCCACGACAATCGACGAGAAGAGCTCGACGGGGCCCTTCCACCCGGCCCATGTCCAGCTCGGGAGGTGGCGCCTCCTGGTTGCCCCCCCGCTCCCGCTGCCGCCGCTCTTGTGATGCCAGAAGCTCGTCGCCAGCGCAAACAGCTCCTTGGTCCGCCCGGGTCGTGGCGAACCGCCGTCTCCGGCCGGGGACAGCCACACAGGGATTCCTACGACGTGGCCGAGCCGGCCACGGCCCAGCGTCCTGTCGAGATGCCGCGATATGCCGAGAAAGGCGCTGAGCGAGTCCTCGTCGTAGCGAAGGTGGCGCTTGGAGTAGTTGACAATGTGCTGGTCGGCGGCGCGGAAGACACTCATGATACTGGGCTCCTCGTCGGGTTTGGGCAGCTTCTTCCAGGCGCGCCAAGTGCCGTCGACGCCGGCGGCGCCGTTGAAGAGCCCTGGGCGGACAAAGTCGCACATGCGCTGCTGCTGGGGGTCGTGGTAGTGGTCGAGGGGCAGCACGAGCGTCTCGGGGGAAAGCATGCCGTCGCACTCCCAATACATTTGCTGCTCGGTGAAGACGAGGCGGCGGCGGGCCAGCAGGCCCTCCTGGTAGGTCCAGCCGCGCGTGTACCAGGTCGACTCCTCGATGCTGAGGCGCGGGTCCGTGAGGCTCGAGACGAGGGTAACGCCGGAGCTGGTGAGGCGGTACTTGGGCTGGGGCGGCCGGGGCGTGGAGCCGACGCCGGGCAAGCCCTGCATGGCATCGTCTCCGTGGGCGGCAATAATGGTCAGCACGGCGCCTTCGAAAACATCGTCCATCCTGGCGACCTGCTGGGCCTTGTCCTCGGGTCGCGAGTCGTCGATACACAGCCGGTCGACCCAGAGGTGGCGCAGGCCCAAGTCCTTGGTGACGGCAATGGCGTCTCGCACGACCCTCGACCACGGCTCGGCCACGTCTTTGCCGGCGACGTAGCTCAGGGCGACGTAATCCTGGCTGATGGAGGCCGGGACGACGCGCGGCGGAGTCGCGGCGCAGTCGATGAGGTGGAAGCCTGGCAACTCGGCCGTGACAAGGGAGCGCTGACAACGGCCCTGGTGGTGGGATTGGCAGAAGCGGAGCCAGTCTTGCGCGATGGCCATGTCGGCCGAGCGGCCAATCTCTCGGCCCCAAATGCCGCGGGTCTCGGGGGTGGCGTCGTTGACGGCGAGGACGGGGGGCTCGGCGGCTCGGCGGCCGGGGGCGGGGGATCTGCCGCGCCTGGGCTCGAGCTGGAGGGCGAGGTCGGAGGGCGGGACGGTGCGGAGGAGCATGCCGGCTTGGCGGAACCAGTCCGGGGAGACGATCCAGTCCCTGGCGGCGGGCCCCTTTTTCTTGGGGACGACGGCGAGAAAGGCCGGGGCGAGGCCGGGGGCCTTGTGGCCGGCGGGGTGGCGCGAGTCGAACATGCTGATGGGGTCGATGAGGTAATTCGAGTCCCTGGTGGAAAAGGCCGAGAGGCAGTAGTCGCCGTCGCCGTCGCCGGGGACACGGATGGCCCAGAAGAGCTTGCAGAGCGGACAAGTGGCAGTCCAGCGGTTGTCTTCGAGGCCCTTGAGGCGGGCGATGTGGGACTCGCGGTTGTCAAAGCCATCGTCGGCGGCCGGGTTGACGGCTTTTACGTACGAGGCGTCGACGTCGTCGAGGGTGGTGTCGATGTCGGCGGCGATGCTGGTGCAGGCGGGACACAGGGCTGGGTCTGCGTTTGGGAGCGAGGCCAAGGGGGCGGCCGAGGAGGAGGCCTCGGAGTGGGCCGAGGGGCTGCGGCTTTTGCGCCAGCTGATACGGCGGATGAGGGATTCGCGGCGAGGGCTGCCGTCGTCGTCGGCGGTCGCAGGCTCGACGGTGAGGTGCTGCATCATGTTCTTGAGCGGGTTCTTGGAGCGGCGGCGCTGGAGACCGGGCCGGTCGGGGGCCGCGGCGAGGCCGGGGTCGAGGCTGTTGGAGTCCGCCATCTGGCCGTCGTGGTGGGCGAGGGTGGTGGCGAGGGTGGTGGCGAGGGTGGTGGCGATGTTGGTTGTGGTGGTTGACGATGATGTCGTCGTGATGGTTGGACGGGGACAGTTGGTCAGGCGAGAGTCGGGAGAAGAGGACAAGAAAGGGGAGGGGAGAGAAGAGAAGAGCAAGACAAGGATAGAGGGGAGGAGACAGGATCGAGGTTGGCATGGCCCGAGGAGCTCTCACGATGGACCTCGAGCCATGGAGGACGGATGGATCGAGGTGATTCGGCCGACTTGGTGGAGGCGGAGTGAGACAGGGGCCTTGTGGGTACCTCAGTACTATAGCAGTAGAGGGTATATCTTAAATCTGGGGTGTTAGAACGGCTACTATTATTAATACGGCTTGCCTAGTACAGGCACAGCATGATGAAATAAAGCTTAGCTTCTGACACTGTTAAAAAAATTGAAGGAGGAAAAAAAGGCAACAGCTCCTGTGTTCCCGGGCCCTCGTAATCAGGTAAACAGGGGTCGGGTAACAGGAGTAAATAGGTCAGAGGTCAGCGAGCAAGTAAATCAGACACGTGACCAGGCCTGTGACAAACGCCCGCTGCTCTAACATGATAATTCATGTCCTATCAATTGCCCTGGACAAGACTTGCAACTCTACATAAACAGGCGTAACACCCTCCCAGATCCGGGTCTGCCAAGCACCTGTTGTTATAGCGTTCCTCACGGCAAGCTAGTTGTTCACGACGGAAAAGTGACGAGGCGCTAACAAACGAGTTCTCCTGTGCACTGACTCTCGCGGTTGGTCGGTCGCACATTACCCAGGCAACAGGATCGTTGGCTACCGCCTACGGCTTGAAAGACAATACCTAACTGACGCGTAAGCTTCTGCCTGAAACGTAGTAGGAGCCTAGGAGGAGATACATGCGCAAGTGCGCTTGAGAGTTTACGTCGAGGGAGAGTGGAGGCGTTGTTAGCACGCATTATAACTCCCTTTCTGTCGTGACAGGAACATAACATGTCACAGTGGATACGTCTCAGCGATTCATTAACACCATCTAGGATATTGTCAGAACGTAGACGCTCCAAGTATATGAAACTAGACTCACATGCATATATATACTCTCTACGTGAGGTCCAACAGAGTACTGTCATCACTCCCCTTGGCCATATAACGTCACACCTTTCTCCCCGATCTTTAAGCCCGTTGATATATTACGGCACACCTCCTGCTGGGCCGAACTGCGCTTAATTGAGTAAGCCTGGACAGCCCTCAACGTGGTCGCGGGATACGGATAGAAACTCTAGGGCGTCGTAGATATTCTGCTGCAGAACGCGCCATTGAGCCACCCGACTGACCTCTGAGCCGACAATAAGTTTGCCAGGGTGGCAAGTGGAAAACTGTCCTTCCCTTTAGAATTGTTCGTCACTTGTCTCTTTGGTGAGAATTATAAAGGCTGCCTAGCATCACTTTTCCTCACACGTTGGCGGTGCTGCTACATTGGGTAGCACGAGAGACATCGCGGCCCCGGCTACTTACGCAAAAGAAACTCGTCACGGGCATGTCCCCCCTCTAGTGTCTCCGGCCGAACCCTTAATCGCACAGAGCCATGCGATTGGATCAGCATCATGTGTAACTTTTGCTGCGCAGCTGCATAACGGAAGCTTCCGAGAGCCTAAGGGAAATGCTGGAGGCAGTGGCATGCCCGGCGGCGGAACCGTAGCAAGGACGGAGAGGCTTTGAGAGGATACGTGCATTGCCATCTGCCAGGGTCGTTCTAGGCAGCCGAGTAAGATAGGATTCCTTCATGCACAGTGCCGTTTGTAAGTAAATCCTCGTATAGATGATTGCTAGTTCTCGAGTATTTTGGATGATTCTTCCTGCTTGATACGGAGATCGATGGGCATTGACTCCATCTCGCAATGCCTTCAAGATGCCTGGGACCATCTCAAATTTGTAGAGGGATTCGCCGAGCGGTGTCGCGGCCGTGCAGCTGAGAACCGTGTTGCTGATTGGGTTGCCATATGCTCAAGGACGGATCCAGTCTTGCCGCTGCGCGATGGAGACCGTTTCGCCGCGCACCAAACAGCAACCCGTGGTGCAGACCGTTGGTGCTGCGAGGCCTCTGGTGGTCCAGGAGGCGCAACACTCCCCAGACGTTTCTTTGCTTGGCCAGCTCCACCATCTCGAGCTCGGACGGACTGCTGGCCGGCAACCACTTGACCTTGACGGCGTGGTCCCAGTGTTCAGAGGTTGACAGTCTTGCGCGGTAGCAGGTGAGCCCGTCGCTGACAATGTCCTTGCACACTCGCGAAAAGATGGTCGGTTCCCGAGGTATAGTTGCTTGGCCGCGGTCAAACACCCACAGCTCCATGCTGCCTTGGCAGATGTAGAAGCCATGGAGAAGCAGGCGGTCATGCTGACAGCCAAACACGGCTTTGGCATGACTGCAAAGCTCCAAAATCCGGTCAGGTACGACCCGTCGGGAGAAAAAGCACCCGCAACGAGAACATGGACCTAGCCAGACTCTGGTTTGAAGTTGTGAGGGCGCGACAGCACCAGGGCTCTTTCCGATGAGGTATTCGGTCCTGGTCGCCCCCCAAGCCACGTGTATCGGAATCCCGACTCTCTGGGGACATTGGCCTGCAGTTTCGAGAGCCAGGCGGAGAAACTATCTTGTGACTCCCAAGCCTGAGGGAGGGTATCCTTGATCGTTTGCACCATCCGCTCTACATCAACAGACCAAGGCTTGCCGTCAAAGAACTTGGCATAGAAGCCTTTCACGCCAGCGTAGATGTGGTGGTCAACGTCATTGGCGACATGCTCAAGGTAGGGCTCCTGGTCGAGAGATTGATCAACCGGGCGTCCAGGAGGAGCCGTGGTGGCGTTGCCATTGCTGGAGGCTTGCGGCGGGCCACGAATGCAGCTCTTCTTGGCGAACTCGTAGTATGCACTATGCTGAGGTTTGGGAGATGACATGCGATGGCCTGGGAAAGCAAGAGTGACGGAACGGAGAGAAGCAAGTCGGATGGACTTTATTCGCACAGGCCATGGCTAGGTTTTGCTCATAGCTATGGACCCGGAATACACAGCATCAAAAGTGATCCAAAAACTTGTCGGTGTAATATAGCGGTGACAGCGGCAGCATCATGAGCGCTCCAGGGCCACCGGCGACCCGAGCTCCCACTCCTCGAGTAAGGGCTCAGAGGAGTAAGGAGGCGAATGACGTGCAGTATCGAATACTGTCCTCTTTCTTCTCCCCTCTCTTGCCCTGTATCCTCTTTAATTTGACGCCCATCAGCTGTCTAGGCCGTGAGCGGTCTGCTGGCTGGCCAAGACGTTGCTATACGCACCCACGACTCGGAAACGAGTATTCCACCAGAGGCTTCATGCCGACAACTGCGCGGCCGCTCGACGCCAATCGCTGCCGAGGACCGCGGCGTCTCACATTGTCCCTGGGTCTGGGTGGAGCACAAGTAATGCCCGCCGATTCCTGACGACATCATTGCCTTCTCCATGTATGCTATCCGTGGAATCTGGTATGCCCCGTGCTAGTTTCTCCTTTCCACTTCTTCCCCGTTCATTCGATTTCCTCTTTGTGAGACGGAAATCGGTCCCGGAAGACACGGGTGTAGTGAGCACCGTAAGTGAAGGAGGAGTGAGACAAGACCCCGGTTCCGGCATCTGGATGCCGACTTGCCCGGGCTATCTCTACCATGGGCTAAGTGGTTACTAGCGTCGACCTGACTTGTTCCATTGCGTTTGTCCATCGCTTGGGTCGTCTTTGGCTACTTGCAGTAGTAGTTGCCGACGCCAAGGGGCAAGATCAGCAGCCTTGGAGTAGGCCAATGCAATTCGTCTTCTTTATGCGTTTGGGTCGATCAACACTGCAATTCCTCGCCTTCGACTCCACCAGGCGCCGAGTTCTCCTCTCTTTTCGTCTTGCTTGACCAGGCAGCAGGAGGCCAGGCGAGCTTATGCTTGTACAGGTATCAGAAGCTGCTCAAGAAGAGACGATCAAGCCATCTCTTGCGGTAGGTATGCTCTATAAAAGCTCGACTGGTGCTGTATTCATAGGTCCATTGGGTCCTGCATCTGCTTGCTCATGGTAGTCATCTTGGTTCTTCAAACCACGTATCCGCCGGCACACAGCGAGTATGTTTTTTTTTGCTTCTCTCTCTCTGCTTCATTTCTATAATTAAGAGCCTGACCCTTGGCCTAGCGCCAATTCACTAGCTGGCCGGCTGCGGTAGTCTCCCCCCTTCGACGGATGCATTCCGTCCATTCCATCCCTTTTCCCATCCGCCTCCGGCAAAAACACCAGCACGTATTCATCCACCAGCGGCACCAGCTTCACCACGCGTCCTCAGCAACGCCGGTGCCATGCGGGACGCCCGACGGGAGCAACATGCTGACCCGAGTCCGGCCGTTTGGGGCCGGCTCGATGCTATATCACCCACGACGCCGCCCAGAGCTCACCCGGCCCCTTGCGCTTTGAGACCCTGCCGCCCTTATTTTCAGAGAGCAGAGAGGCAGTCCGCTCCTGCCAGCATCGGCCTCCTCCACTCACGTGGCTTGACGTTGTCGCTGTACACGAGAGAGAAAGAGAGCCTAGCCATGTCATGGCCGCGACCAAGATCCGAGTCCCCGTCCAGCACTGGAGGTCTCTCCGCCGCCTCGTCGCCTCCCGCCTACGATTCGTAGTCCTCGGCGCCCTGGTGTGGTCCCTGCTCTACCTCTGCTTCGGCGCGCAACCCGCTCGTCTGGATGGCCTCGTTCCCGTTTCGACGCGGTCTCGGCTATTTGGCCCCGGGCCCGGGCCCGTCTCGGCTGGGCCGCCTCCGCTCCCGCCTCGCATCCCCTGCTATGGCCCCCGCGGCCGCCTGCTGTCCAAGAGCCCGGACGACGCCCTGCAGATTGTCAACCTGACCGTCGGTATGTAACTCTCTGCCAGGTTGATAAGCGGCTTTGAACAAGAAGAGAGGCTGACATCCAACAACAGCCTACCCCACGCCCTTTATTGGCTCGCAGCGAGAGCTCGGCCTCGAGCAGACTTGGATGACGGCCGACGGGCGATACGGACCCTACGGCTTCGGAGAGAATCGTGACGGTTACAACCGCTCCCGCGTCGACTGGGACGGCGTTGACTGGGGCCAGCTCCAGGACGACTGCCTTGCCCGCAACGCCAAGCGCTTCCCTCGCTCCAAGCCCTCGTCCCAGGTCAAGTACGAGCCCAGGTTCTTGCTGCGAAACGACTCGGATCTCGATCCCACGCCTAGCTGGGACTCCATACCCAACACCCGCAGGACGGCCCTCGTTATCCGCGGCTACTCCAAGTTCAAGTTCAAGGCCGAGGATCTCTGGAACCTGCGCTCCATCATCACCGAGACGGCTCTCAAGTCGGGCGGCGAGTACGCCGTCTTTTTCCTCCTCCACGTCCAGGATAGGCGGAAGAACATCTTTGCCTCGCGCCGCAACTACTATGCCGCGCTCCGCGAAGCCAACATTCCCCCAGAGTTCCAGTCCATGGTCGTCCTCTGGGATGATCACCTGCTCGAATCGTGGTATGACCTAGTCAAGGAGCACAGGTGAGCGTCAAGAATTCCCCTCCGCCCTCTCCCCAGGTGAGACAGTTGCGAGAGATTGCCGCGGCCGTAGTGACGATAGGATGTCGTTCGCTGACCGCCATCGACACGCAGAACCATGTGGCAAGTGAATCAGCCGCTGCAGCTCTTTGCACTGCACTTTCCCGAGTTCGATCACTACTGGCAGATTGAGCTGGATCAGCGCTTCATGGGCGACGCCGGGGCTCACCTCGACGCCGTCGCTGCTTTTGCGCTCAACGAGCCGCGCAAGCAGGCGCTCGAGAGGTCCTCGTACGCCTTCAACGAGGACGTCCATGGCACGTACGCAGACCTGATGCTGGATGTCGACATGGCCAACCAGGGAAAGTCGAGGGCCTGGGGGCCGATGCGCATCCCCGACGTCGTCCCCGTTGGCCCGATGCCGCCCGTCAAGAACCCGGAAGAAGACGACTTCACGTGGGGCGTGGGCGAGGAGGCCGACATTATCGTCAGCAGCTTCTGCGCCGACGTCCATCACGTCGACTGGATATTCCGCGGCTACACTGAGGGCCTGCTCGCGGGCGGCGAGACGCCGAGGTGGTACTGCCCGCCGGCCATTGAGCGCGTGAGCCGCACCATGCTCATGCTGACGCACCAGGCCCAGCACGACGACGGCCTGAGCGTGCCGAGCGAGGCCGTCTTCCCGACCTGGGCCATGTGGCACGGGCTCAAGCTCAGCTACCCGCCGCAGCCGGCCTACATGCGGCCGCGCGACCCGGGCGTCGGGGACGGGGAGGAGACGTCGCGGAATCCGGACAACTGGCGACACCCGGAGCGGACGCCGTGGTTCGGGCAGACGCCGGACCGGAGCCGGGACGGCATGTCGCACGCCAACCCGCAGAGCCTCGCCGACTCGGGGCTGACGTGGTGGTGGACGTCAGAATGGCCGCGCGAGATCATGGACGTTTGGCTCGAGGGCGATACCAGCGCCGACGCGATGCCGGGCGTCCTGGCCATGGAGGACGGCGAGGTCTACGTGCCCAACTTTGCCATGCATCCCGTCAAGTCGTAGGCTTGCAGGGGGGGAGGAGCTTCGGTCAAGGGTAGCAGCACTTGGGGGAAGAGCAGTAATTTCTGACGAAGCATATCTTGACTCCCAACTCGCCTGGGAGATCAAGCGCGGGCTTGTGTTTTGACAGGCGTTGGGCGAGGCGAGTAGCTTATCAAAAAGAACAAGTGAACTGAAGTCCTTCTTTTCAAGTGTGCAAGGCTTACCAGCCGTCTTTCCTACTCTCGCGCTGTGCTGGAGGGGACCATAAGGAGGTGATTCCGGACTCTGGATCCATTCATCGGCTCGGGACGGGCCGCCGACTGGAGCGGGGCCGGACCGCCGCCCCCGTCCGCCCCGCCCCGGCGGTCTTCGTCAACTACCAGGAGCAGGCAGTATTCGGTTCATAGAAAAGCCCATTAACGCAAGGAGGAGAAAAGCGATCGACGCAAGTGGTGAAGTCGAAGATACAAAAAACGTGGGTTCTCCGGTCAAGGGGTGGGAGTTGCGCATCGTTGGACAAACGAAGCACGCGGACTTGAATATTGCTGTTGCACCGCATCGTGGCAATTTTTGTCTGGGGACACAGACCAGGACATGTTTTGCATTCGATGTTCTGGCGCTGGTGCAGATGCTGTGGTAGCTACCGACGCAACTGAATCCCAATGCCGGCCTTCCTCACATCGCGAGGACCCCAAGCTCAGAGCCTGTCCGTGCCACCCTCACCCCCGAAAGGAAGGAATTTTCCAGCGCAAATCAATGCATCAAATCATAACCATCCCTTTGCATCCTCCTTGGTTTTGGGCGCAGAGCTACAGCTGCTGCCCCGTGGTAATGGACGCCATGGTGTTTAGTGCTGCCGAGGGCTCGGTGTTAGCTGAGCCGCTTCGTGCCAGGGAGGATTTGGAGGAGCATCGAAAACAAGCCATGGGGGCAACTAACCTTGCAGCTGGTGCAGGAGCAGCTGTTGCAGTTGCCGGCGCAAGAGCACTTGGTGCAGGAGCTGGACGGGAGGAGGAACGTCAGCGGAGCCGAACACGGCCGCATTCCAAGGCCTCGAGGACCTCAGGCCGAAAGCCATTCCTTTCTCATCACCAGGACTTACCAGGGAGACATGTTGAGGGCTGGAAGCGAAAAAGTGCGGGTATGCGTAATTGTTTCAAGGCTCGGTTTCTGTTGAAGCAAGTTGGATGAGATGCTCTATAATCGAAAGTGATAGGGAAAGGAAAGGTGAGCTATAACGAGCGCGTGGCCATCCTTATATACCCGCCACCGTCACTGTTCCATGCTTCTCCACCCACTGTTGTTGCTTCGTCATTCACGCTTGCCATGCACCACAACCACGTTGCTCGCAGCCTGCTGATGCGTGACGCTGCAGCGGACTTTTTTGGGACTCGGGCATACCACCCCATCGCTGCCGTCGCTGCCCGCCGCGAGGAGAAGCGGAGGCAGAATGGATGAGGCAGCCAACCACTCAATGCCCGATGCTGATCCCCTCCACCCGGAAGTGGTTCCTAAAAGGCCCCCTTCACGGGCTCGTGCGCCCTCCCTCTCCGCCTGTCGCCCTCTCTTGCAGGGGGTTGATTGGGCGAGTTTGATCAGGCCGAGTTAATTCCTCTGCATGTGGCAAGATGGAAGAGAGATCGAGGTGTCTGGGTGGTTCTGGTTATGGCTTCCAAGCAGTGGGTTGGCCGCGTGGCTGGACGAGACGGCGATCCCCTTTGTGCCGGGGCTTCTCGGATCGATTCCGTATGGATGTCCCAACCGAAGAGTTGAGGCAGGGCAAGGTCCAAGAAGAAGGGGCGAGCCGTCGTGCAAGCAAAGGACGTCGTGATTGCTCCCCTCTCGTCAAGTCAGCTCCTGGCAAGCCCGAGCAGCTCTGCTCATAGGACACCGTTTCTCCTCGCACAAGACTCCGAATAGCAGACCATACCATACCCTCGGACTCGGCGAGGTGGAACACATATCGCGCGCCTCGGAAAGCGTTGCACGACAGCCTAAACCCCCTCCCTGCGATGCCTCAGCTCTCCGCCCCCGCCCCTCCACCGCCCAACGAGTGACCTCGAGATCCGCCTCGGAAACCCTGCTTTCTTCCTACAGTCTGGAAGAGGGGCCCAAGATGAGATGCAGTGGGAGGAGGAAGGGAAGGTTCCAGGACGCGAAGTGACATGTGAAAGAGGGTGAAAAGCGAGCGCGGCATATGTCGTGTCCAACCAACGCCCAGGTAAAGCCTGCATGATGGCAGCCAACGCACATGGGGGGCCGCATAGTTCGTCCACGACCATCCTCAATGTGTCCCACCGAGCTGCGCCTGGACGAGGAGAAGCGACGGCGGGGGGCTGACCTGAGCGAGAGCGAAATTCAAATCCGAGCCCGCGCATTGATGCCTCCCATCTCTCCGGCGCCATGAAACAATGCCATCTCTTATTGCATGCGGCCACGATGTCTCCTGTGATTCTTGGGAGACTGTCTCGACGGGCTGAGGCCCTCCGGCGCCCGCACGAAGCACCAGGCGCCAAGCCCGACCGGTGAGTCGAAACAAGGGAGGGAGAGGGGGCTCCCACGCAATCTCATCCAGGTTGGATTTGGGGGCTCGCTTGGCTCAGCGTACATGGCATGCAGACGCATGCATGCACGCAAGTTTGTCATGCACGTTGACGTGCCTGTGCGCGTGGGTGTGGATGGGTTGGGCAGGAAGACGACCTGCCGAATGAGGCGGGTCCGTTTGCTTCCATTCATTGATCTTCCCTCGTTTGTTTCCATGGCATTGTCTCTGTAGGAGGAGGTTAGCATGTCCTGTATATGAGCTGTAGCCCTGCGGAGAGTGAATGTGTGCGCGGTGTGACGGGCGAGGAGAGTGATACCAAAAGGAATAATACCAAGGAGCAAAGATCCCGGTCTGCCACGGGTTCCAGAGGCCGCCCTGAATCGACGCAGGACACCAAATGGCTAAGACCTTCGCTGCCGGAAGCGAGCCATCGCCCCGTAGAGAGACGGGGCTCGTCGACGACGAGCGTCGCAGATCCCGGCCTGCCGAGCCCGGAAGCACAGACCATGATCTCCCCTCTCTTACTCCCCCGTGATGGCCTGAAAGTGGGTTCATCTCTCCCAAGGCAAATAAGAGAGCAGCAGCAAGAAGAACTGCAGTTTCCTGGTCCACGATGCTGCCTGTTCTTGCTTTTTTTTTACGTCCGGCGGACATCCCGCAAGCCCCAGTCGCTTCTCGGCTTCAGGCTCGGCCCTTGAGCTCGGCCCTCGCCGATCAGGCTGCTCAGCCGGGCAGCACTGCACTGCGCCCAACGTGCTGTGAGGAGGAGATGACATGACGAGTCACGGCCAAGTGTAAGGCACGAGGGTAGAAGTGGAGTATCAAAGGGCTGCTTGAACAGAAAGAGGGTGTGAGAAAAGAATGTGTGTAGAAAAAGGGGGGGGCAAGTTGATGGCCTTTGCCGTCCTGTTGTCAACGACAGCCTAACCATAGGATCAACTCCGCAGAGCGCCGTTATCCACGGCAGCCCGAGCGGACAAAGAGAAAAGGGAAAAACCCCCGAGGGAAGAAGGAGGAGAAACGGCAGCTTCTTATAGATATATATCGTCGCAACGTGACACAATGAAGGCAGACCGTTGTCGCAATATCATTGATAGCCCATCATGTGTGTCTGACTATCAAGGTTCGGCGACGAAGACAAAGGTGCGGCCATCAGGGTTCACGCCGGCGGCACCCGTCTAGCGAAAGCTCCGTTGCCATTGCCGGAGAAATCATGCTCACCATGGCCGCCGTATTCGGCTACGCAGACTCTCCAATCCGGCGTCCCTGGCCTCTCACTCGATCCGAAGCAGACTGGGGCCCGGGTCTCCATGTAGCAAAACGAAAGACGTGATGATACTCATTATACTATGTTAGCTTGATATTCTGCTTCATCTTCAGATCTCCACTCCGTCCTCACCTCGCCAGCCCCCTAGCCCTACCGGTCAAAACTGCAAAGATCCATATCCAACTGACCCGATCTAGCCATCCCTGCTCTGCTGTGCTCACAGCCACTCACCGCCTCGGAGCACGTGTCAAACCCGGTCGCGAGTTGGCCGATGCCGGTCGGTGCCGAGTGCGAAACGTCTCTTGACTGCCTTCCACGCCTCCACGAGGACGACATACGCCGCAACACATCCCAGCACGACGCCCCATTCCCAGCCTAAACCCCGGTGCTTGAATACGCCCGTGTTGAGGAGTGGGATGTAGAGGATGGGAAACGTCACCGTGAACCCACCCACCACCGCCCAGAACAGAAACCTGTTGCGGTAGATGGTCCAGAACACCGACAACGGGCCCGCCCGCCGCTCATCCATGGCAAACAGGCTGCGACGCGAGCTCTTCACCTCCCAGGCCGTAACGAGGAGCAAGAAGCTCAAGGTCGCAAAGGTCGTGCCCCTTGCCCGGAAGACAGTAGCGCATGCGTCCGAGGTTCCGCTGTTGCAGCCACTGGGCAGGAGTCGATAGCCGTGGTACGGTTCTACATATGCCACCAGCATGAAGGAGGCCAGACACAGCGATCCCATCATGGTCCCATATATGAGCTGGTCCCGAATCAGGTCAAGCGTGAACACGCCAGTACGCAGGCTTCGGGGAGCACGCCCGAGAATGTCCGGCTGTGCTTCCTCGAGACCCAGGCCGAGGGCAAGGGGGGATGAAGTGACGAGATTCGCCCACAAAATCTCTAGCGGCGACAGGGGAAAGACGGAGAGCCCCTCATCATCCTTGAATGCGAGGCCAATCAGGAGCAAAATCACCTGGGCCAGGTTGGAGGTGAGTAGATGTAAAAGGAACTGGCGGCATTCCGTTAGCACAAGCTCTTCGTCACCCTCTCTCCATGCATACACAAGCATCAACCCAGAAAATACCTTTTGAATGTTGTCGGCAAGCCTCCTCCCTTCTCGAATCCCCGTCACAATCGAGGCAAAGTTGTCGTCCGTGAGCACCATGTCTGACGCCTCCTTGGCGACATCGCTGCCACGGTCACCCATGGCGATGCCCACGTCGGCCTGTTTGAGCGCCGGCGAGTCGTTGACACCGTCGCCCGTCATGACGCAAAAGGCCTTGCGACGATGCAGGGCCTGGATGACCCTCACCTTTGTGAGCGGGCTGCAGCGGGCGATGACGGCCGGCAGCGACTCCATGGCGTCGACCTGCTCGTCGCTCAGGCTGGCAAAGTCAGCGGCCGACATGACGGCCCGAGGTGTGTCCCTCGACAGGATACCCACTTCGTACGCTATCGCAGTGGCCGTCTTGATATGGTCCCCGGTCACCATATGCACCGAGATTCCAGCCTGTCGACACTGCCGGACCGCACCGGCCGTCTCTGGACGCGGGGGGTCGTAGAGGCCGGCCAGTCCCAGGAAGCGCAGGCCATTCTCAACCTTGGCTCGGTCCTGGGCGTCTTCGGGGCAGCCCGTCATGACTTTGTCGGCGACGCACAAAACCCTCAGGCCGCCGGAAGCCAGCTCTTCCGCCTTGTTGTGGATGGCCTCCTTGAGCTCGTCGCTCTCGTCCAGGAGAGGAAGCATGACCTCGACAGCACCCTTGGTATGCACCCGGCGCTGCCGGTCCCGAGGGTTGCCGCACACGACGCTCATGAGCTTGCACAGCGAGTCAAACGGGTGCTCGGCCATGAGGCTGCCCAGAAACGTCCCTGTCCGGCCAAAACGCATTGAAAAAACCTTGAGCGCAATCTCGGTGGGCTCACCGACAGCCTTCCACTGCGTCGACTCAAAGGCGGTGACGACGCTGCTCGAGTCGGTCTCGGTCTCCTTCCTGCCGTCGGTAACTGCCGCGTTGTTGCAGAAGGCGACAGTGTTGAGGAAGGCGTTGAAACAGCTTCCAGCGGGCGAGGCGGACCACGATACGGACCCGCTGCTCGGGTCATGGGGATCGGCGCAGCCCTCGACAGTGCCGGTCAAGCCCTCGCGAAGCCATACGGTCCGCGTGATCATGCGCCCCTGAGTGAGGGTCCCCGTCTTGTCGGAGCAGATGTTGGTGACGCCGCCGACGGCCTCGAGGCACGGCATGCGCCGCACAATGACGTGGCCCTTGACCATGGCCTTGGAGGCGACTGCCATGGTGACGGTCAAGACGGCGAGGAGCGACTCGGGGATGACGGCCACGCCCACGCATATGCCGTAGAGCAAGACGTTGTCGTGCAGAGCCCACTGGCTGACGGAGAAGACGATGATGGCGAGCAGAATGGCCAGGCCAAACAAGCAGAGGGCAAACTTGCTGAGGGTGACCTGCAGGGGAGTGCCGTCCAAGCCCAGGATGCGCCGAAGGCTCTGGTAGGCGCTGCAAAGGGCTTTGGCCACAGAGCTGTCGCCGACCCTCTCACGCTTCCCCTTGCGGCGCAACATGTCGGCAATCTGGCCCACCTCGGTGTCCATGCCGGTTGAGACGACGATGCCGGTGGCGCGTCCGCGGGTGACTGAGCTGCCAAAGAAGGCGAGGTTGGTCCGGTCGCCGACGGGCATGTCGGGGTCAGCGAAGACGGCGTCGGGCATCTTTTTGATGGTGGCGGACTCGCCGGTGAGGTGAGCCTCGTCCATTGCGATGTTGATACCCTGAACGAGGCGCAAGTCTGCGGGAACGACATCGCCTGTCGAGAGGGAGACCAGGTCGCCCTTGACAAGCGTCTGGGCCTTGACGGTCTCGCCACAGCCGTTGCGTATGACCTTGCATCGGGGGGTGGAAAGGGCATACAGAGCCTGGATGGTCTGCTCAGCGCGGTAATCCTGGATCAGTCTTTGCGCGAGCGCGCGCATCGGGTCAGTACAGCCTCTTGCTCTGTGGCTGGTAGCGTCTGAAGCACATACCCGACGGCAATGTTGAGAAGGATGACGGCAGCGACGACGCCGCCCTCGACATAGTCGTTGATGCCAAAGGACAGGCCGGCGACGGCGACGAGGACCAGGGTGAGGGCGTTTGCGACCTGCTGGAGGAAGAGCTCCCAGAGCGAGGCGCCCGTGGCAGCCTTGACGGCGTTGGGGCCGTCGCGGGCGAGGCGAGCGGCGGCCTCTTCATCGCTCAGCCCATGGCGGGCGTCGGTGCGGAGCTTCTGCGCGACATGGTCGGCAGGGAGCGTATGGGGGCAGCTTGGCTTCTCTATGGCCACGTCTGGCGGCTCCGCTATAGGGGGTTTGTCGTCCGGGTTGGCGAGGGCCGGCGAGTCGGCAGAGCAGGAGCTGGCGTGTTCTGCACCATCCGTACTGGCGGAGACGGTTTCTCTCATCGAGGGGTGCTGGGAAAAGGACCGCGTCCTCTGCAGAAGCAGGCTGCCGGGACGGAGATGGACTGTCGACGAAGGGTTGGGTCGGAAGAGCAACTGAGGCCTGAGCAGGCAGGCCTGGAGATGGTCTGGTCTGCGGGGGAAGACGAAGGGATCGGGACGAGAGGAGGGAAGGGAAGGAGGAAGATAGATCGGAGAGGAAGGAGATCCGATGGAACGGGGCCCCCCTTTTTTCTTGTACTCTGCCCCCCGGTATTCCGCACCTTCCCTCGACGTTGATCATCACCGCGCGGCTACAGGGGGGGAAGGAACGAAACGGGGATGCGGGGGCCTCGACGGGGGAGGCGGGGAAATAACGTCCGTCGTCGGCACGCCTTCCTCGTCAGTGGCCTTCCACTAGAGGCCTCCATCACGCTCGTGCTAGTCTGGGGTAGAGAAGCCAAAGCACACAGCTATCGTGACGGGCGGGCTTGGCTCGGACCATGCAGACGCTAAAGCTTGTTTCCGCTGCAAGGACGGACGAGAAGATGTCTCTTCGAGTCTCTTTGAATCATGGCCTGGGCGGCGTTGGATCGGGAACCTGGATCACGGGACTCGTACTTGGGCGTCTTGGCAGCGGAGAGGCGAGGGCATCTAACTTAGCAAACGAGCAAAGCAAGTTGGTGCAACGGTGGGGAGGGCATGGCTGTCGGGCATGGATCTCGCTGCGGATGCGAGGGCCCTGTCAGATGCAATGCCACCCACTGCAGCCAACTGGACAGGGGGTGGTATATATGTCTAGTATTCCGTGCTGACGACGAGATGGTCATCTAGGATTCTAGGTACGGAGTATTCTCGAAGACATTGCTCACCCGCCAAGCACTCTTGAAACGGCCTCGTTTCGACTGACTCGGTGTCATATTACGAGCACAGCTAAACAGACTGCCCATGTGCTTGTAGGCAACAAGGCGCCAAGGGACACAAAGCAAACATTGTGCAAGCAACATGAAGCTAGCGCTCCTCCCTTGTTGCACGAGAAGCCATGGCCGGATGCTCACGCCTCTCTCTGCCGGAACCGACAGTTGCCCAGCGTCGGATTCACTGAGAATGCCTGTGCCCGATGGCTTTTGATCTTGCTGCACGTCGCAACAGAGTCTCTTCTTCCCTGGCTTTCAACTCATCCTGGTCTACTCACACTCACACTCACACACAAGCACACCTAACACACCCCGCATCCCGATCCTCTGTTGGAACCATTGCTTGGCACGCTTGGCGCACACGGCAACATGGTACGATCCGCCACATCACCGTGGCCCGCATTGCATCACGGCCCTGCACCTCTTGCAGAAACGCGCGGCCAGCAGCACGCGACTTCAGCTGCTGGCCGCTGCATACCCTGCCAAGCTTCACGAACACCCTGTACAGTATTCGCAGTTGTGGGATGCGGTAGATGGAAGCGAAAAAGACGAAGACAGGTGGCGCGCTTTAAGCGTAACGGGGTTTCCCCTCTGGATGCCTTAGGTAAGCCGACGAGGTAAACCAGCAGCCCAGCATCAAGGAGCTATCGTAGCTTTCCGCAGCATCAACCCTTGAATAAAGACGCGCCACTATTTGCTTGGCTGCTGAAGAGTAAACCTGCCCATCTGCTCTCACCTCCCCGTCTCGGCGTCGTCCTCACCCAGCCAAGCCTCTCACACATAACTAGTCCTCAACCAACCATGCGGACGGAGCCGGCATCGGAGACGGGAGCGTCCCAAAGACGGCAGCCATCCGATCCGATACGCGTATATGCAGCGGCCGAGAGATAGCCTCTTCCACGCGAGCAGCTAGTGCAGCGCAATGCAGTCGTCACTTCACCGTCATATGGGCCGTCCTACCGGGGCTCTGTCTTCTCCCCTCCTCTGACCCAGCAAACCAGGCTCCCTTCTCACCGTCCATGGCAGAGCGGACAGACAACATGGCCTTGAAGCTTCTTGTCTATCTAGACTTTTCCTCGGAAAAGACTGTTTTTTGGAGCCTCGACTGCAGGGCAAAGACGCACCAATCAGCCCATTCGCTCACCAACACACAGTATGCACCTTCAGCTCCAGCTCAAGCCGGCCGGTATCGCCCACTCTGAGCCCTGCATAGGAAGCTAGGTAGCTAGCCCAACAGATTCATGTATGGCTCCGGCCACTTCCCCCACACCAACGGCCTGTCCCCCAGCCGGCCGCCCACCGGCGCCAGCACCTTGATCTTGCGCCGCTCCTCGTCCACGTCGGACACGTAGACAAAGCCCATGACGCTGGCCACCCGCACCGCCTCGGGCCCGTCCCTCGTCGACGCGTGCATGACGGCCAGCGTCCAGTGCTGCATGACGGAGCTCGGCTCCTCGCGCACCAGGCACGCTTCCTGCCCGTATGCCGGGTCTGACACGGGACACAAGCAGATACGCATTAGCAAACAACGGGCCCTTGCGTCGGTCGTTGGGGGTGCGAGGTAACAGGGGGACGCACCTTCGGGTGCCTTGTAGATGATGAGGCTGTCGAAGTCCACCTGCTGAATCTGCGGGCTCAGGGAGCGTCGCGCGCCGCCGAAAAAGTACTCCTTAATGATTTGCTCGCGGGCGTGCTCCATGAAGCTCTCGTCTCGCTCCGCCACGCCCTCGGACCGGTCCAGGGCCACAACCTGGATCGGCTCCCCGAGGCTCGTCTTTTCGCTCGCGAATCGCTTCGTCAGCTCGGCGCTCATGCTGGTTGAGCCGATGACGACGACCACGTTGACTGCCGCCAATTGTTAGTCCGTGCTTGTGTGCTGCTGCTGCCACTATTGCAGGGCGGCTTACCGGAAAGTTCGTCGACAACGTGGGCAATCAGGTCGAGGCCAATCTTGCTCTCCTCACCGATGCGCATCCCGTCAACAATGACACCCGCGCTCCGGACACTCGCGTCCTCGCTAAGCCTCGCGCTGACGGCGCTGGCGATGCGCCCGACAAGCTCCTTGTACAGGTCGGCATCGTCCTCGGCCGAGTCGCGGCCAAAGTAGTAGACGAGCGGCAGCTTGACAGGCACGGGACTGGGCCCGCTGGTCGGCGTGCTGCCCCAGCCGTCGGCAGCCTCCGGGTCCATGACGGTGGCGAAGACGGCGGCGCTCAGCGTGCCCGGCAAGCTGAGCATGCCCTGCCGCGGGTCCGCATTGACGGCCACGGGCTGGTGGCCCTGCCTCGTGGCGTAACTTGTCAGCGTGCGCGCCAGCGTCGTCTTGCCCGCACTGGGCGGCCCCGCGACGAGCACGCGGGGCCCCTCGCAGCCGAGCCGGGCTGCCGCGGCGCGCATGTCTACGAGACGGGCGTGCAGATTCAGGTGGGCGGTGGCCGGGTTGGCGGCCGGGTGGGCGTACTGGACAACCGAGTCGTCGTCGCAGCGGCCCTCGACCTCGAGCTCGCACCCGCTCCACGTCAGGATGCTCGACCTGGTGCCCGTCAGCGTGTAGGCGGTGCGCGGCGCCAGCTCGACGCCCTCCTTGTCGGCCGTGCCCGCGACCAGCTTGACGGCGACGCTGCGGCCCGTCGCCACCTGGAAGCGCCACTCCCACGCGGGCTTGAGCGTGATGGTGCGCGTCGACGACACGGCGGGCTGGAGAGGCAAGGCGTCAGCCAGCTTTCTTTTCACAGGGCTCGCGGGGAGAAGGGAGCTTACCTGAGCCGGGATCTGCCCCAGGCCTGGAATCGACATGGCGCGCGAGGACTGGGCGAGAAGAGGCAGTTTATTGCTACCTACATGTCGCCGCGGATTTTGGGCAGCTGGAGCCTGCTTCCACCGCCCTTCCAGAAGCTCGGCTGCATCCAAGGCCGCGGGTGGGGTGCCCTTATGTAAGGGCCGGAGCAGCCAAGGTGGAGAAGCTCGAGGTAAATGCCGTCATAAATCACCATCGGTACCAGCCCCTTGTACATACCTTACCTAGGTAACTACTGTACTGTACGTGGAAAATGTGCATCGTAGAATGGTGATTCTTCAGTGCTGGCGCTCCGTTTCGAAGCCCGATTGCCCAGCAGAGGCCATCACAAGGTTATCAACTACCTAGGTAAACACCGTCAAGGCTTGTGCGCCATAAACGCCGGCCAGACAACAAGAATGAAAAGGCTGCGTCGCCTCGTGGACGGACGTCTTCTTGATCCTCACAGCCCGCGGTTCCATGCAGCCCGCCCTGGGTATCTTCTCTTCATGGGGCCTCTCCGTCGCCAGACGTCGCCGTCCAATGTCTGATGATGCGGCTCCGTCAACGGGTGCCCTGTGCCGTCCTCTTTCCTGATTCATGCTCATCAATGTTTCCCCCACCGTCTATGAACCCTGTATTCTTCTCTTCGGAGCCTTGCCTCTAGTGTTGCCAAGATTATTGCGCCATCTGCGTGAAAATTCGCTCCAAGCTCCGGACACCCTTCAGAATGTTCTCGTCAGGGCCCAGCCCTGGCGTCCACTGCGCGTGGGCAAAGTCAATCAGCTTCAACGAGTATATTTGCGGGAGCGAAGCCTCTAGCTCCTCCAGGTCGTTGTCGTCGTCCGGCTCGGCCAGGTCGATGCCGCTGTCGTTGCGCTTGGCCGTCCGATCCGGCGGCGCCCACCCGGCGGCAGACTCCACCAAGGCATTGTTCTCTTCAATGGCGGCGCGCAGGGCTTCGCCGTCGCCTTCAAAGACGAAGAGCAGCGACGTCGAGTACATCCGGCTCTCGTGCCGGGTCATGACCTCGCGGACCCGTGTCAAATCACGCGCAAAGGCGGCGCAGACGGCCTTGCCCATGTCCTGGTCGATGCCGGCAGCTTTGCTAAAGACGAACTTGCGAAACTCGTCCACCACGTTGGCCTCGTTGACCGACACTCGGCCGTAGTCCTTGTCATATATCTTGTATCCTTCCTCGTCCAGCTGCGAAGCATCCTGCGACCCGTGGTAGACGCGCATGCCGGCGATGCGGAATCCCAGCTTGTCGTGAGTCGTCTCAGATGAGATCTTGTCGAAGCGGCGCTTCTTCTCCAACGGTGCATCGTCGGCCCACAGTCGCACGCCCAGCTTCACATCGAGGACGTTTGCCTTTTTGAATCCGTGTGTCGTGTTCTCGAGGACAACGGCCGTGTCCGTCTTGATCTTCCTGCCCTTTGTGGATTTCCAGGTGACATTGTCCTCGGACTGGCGCTCCGTCGGGGGCCTTGACATGTGCTCGGCGATAGTCGCAGCAATCTGCTCTTTGGTGGTCTTGACGTCGCCGGCATCCGAGATGACTCCGGCGACAGCTTCGTCGATGCCGTCGGCAGGGTCACTCAACGTCAGGATACCCATGAACAGGGGCATCAGCTCAGCAAACTCGGGGCGTCGGCGCGCCGCAGATTCGTAGAAGTCGATTTCGGACTGCGTACAGGGCTTGATGAAGAGCTCGCCGTCGGCGTCGCACATGGTGCCCGCACTGAGAGAGGACATGGGTCAGCTTTTGCACGAGGCGAGTGCAATATCCAGCAGCGGGAGAGCTTACTGTCCGGCGACGGCATAGTTGTAGTCACGGAGCTGATCGCGACTGGGAAGTTCTTTGCGGCCCATGACAGATGGGGTATGTGCGTCGTCGGGCGAGGGAGAGTGGCGACGACCTTTTCAGGGAGTGGCGAAGACCGAGCTCGTGTCGCCGCCGCCTAAGGATCAACTGGCAGTGCGCAGCCGAGCCGGGCTCGGTATTGAGGGAGAGTATAGGGGAAATCGTCGAGGGAGAATAGAGATGGCGGCGATGGTTACGCAGAGTCATCGGCTGGTCAAGAGTTGGCGAAGAAGGTTTGGGTGACGACTTGGGCGCCAGGTGTGGGATGCCGATTGCAAGGACTAAAAGGGGAGGGCCAAGAAGGGGAGAAGCGCGTGAGAGAGCGTGCGACGGCCTCGAAGATATATGGGATTGGGGGAGGAACAAAGGAAGGGCGCGAGGCAAAATGCCAAGGGGCAGCCCAAGAGCGGACAGATGTTGGTCGGAGGGAGCGTGGTCGGGCTGTCTGTTAACAGCCACACTCACTATGCATTGCGGCAGACGAATCTGGGCGTGGCGGGAGGACTGGGCCAGGTACCTCGGTGTACTTGGGGGGGACGGACTGCAACAGGCCAATGGGCGCTGAACAGCCCGAGGCCACGGGTCGAGCGGGAGGGGGGGCAGAGGGGCTCCGGGAGGGGAGCGTGGGGGGAGACTGCAGGTACCGACAAGTCACTCGCGTTCGTTACAGCACACCATCTGGTCCCGTGTTGTACGATGCATGGGAAGGTTTGTCGATGTCCATCAGTCACGAACAGGCTGCTGAGTTTCTTTTTCGCGGGCGGATCCTTTCCCAAGGCAGAGCGCGGGGTTCGCGTGTCCAAGCGAGGTGCTCTGATGAGGATGAGTGGTTGGACCCCTGACGATGATGGACGATGATGGACGATAATGGATGAGCGCTGCGCCACAGACTGGCCAGCATACCTCCGGAACACGGTTCACTTAGGTTCCTGACCCAGACGCGTACGTACTAATTAATACTGCGGGTTGACAGAAGTGTATCATCGCCGAGCCACAGCTAGCGTGCGAGCGTGATGCCTCAACTGGCGGTTCTCCACAGCATTTGGTTCAGGATGCCTGCTCTGTACTCGGTATGCGTGAGCCAAGTTGAGTCCTAGGTTTTGCGCCCAAAGAATGGTAGTTGGTATTATTATCTAATTACTTAACTCAGGTGTCTCGTTAATTATGTAAAGTGCTGCACCAGGTACTAACGCTTGCTGGCCCGCTGAGTCAGTTTGGTCGCGCGGGCTGTGGCTGGGGCTGAGGCTGGGGCAGCGCAGGTGCAGTGCAGGCAGCGCAGGGCAAGGCGAGATCCGCGCGCAGGGACCCCCCACCACCTGTACAGTAGGCCCCTGGGGAGTGCGCCGACTGCGCCGGATGAACGGACCCCATTCCCATGGCTGACTGATGGAGAGACTTGCACCCACCCAAGCTCGAACCAACCAGTGACGGACAGCTCAGCAGCAGCACAAGCAAGCTCTGAACTCAGGCCGACGTCACGCAACACGCTCACACAAGACGGTCACGCATCGCTTGCCACGCGACGCTTCTGCTGTTGTATCCCTTCATTGCCATCCCCTGTGGCAACTCTCCTGCCCTCTCTGTTCATCCATCCAGCGTCACTCGGCCCTCGTTTCCACCCTCAGACTCTGGCTTGCCGATGAAGGCGTTTGTCGTGGCCATGGACTTCTTGCACGCCCCGAGCGAATCATCAGCCCACGCAGCGTCGCCTTGAGTGGCCGGCTGCAGCATCCGGCGCAAGGGACAGGCCGTCATCTGACAGCTTCTTCATCTGACCCACGGCCTTCTTGTTGGACCCGTCCATTCATCACTCCCGCACATGGTGTCGTGGCCTCCATCAAGTAGATGCTGGGGGCCGCTGCATGGCCTCCTGGCCTTCAAACCACAGGCCTGCCTTGTGTGTGGGCTGTGAGCAAACCGTAGGCATGCGTCGTTTGCTTGACCGGGGCTTGCCATGTGTTCACGGCTCCATTCTCTCTGCAGGGCTGCCACTGCAATCGACTCGTTTTACAACCTGGCGCGGCCCTGAAACCGAGCCCTGAAAATGACGGCACCCAGTGAGCTTCCAACGCGTTGCGCAGTGAATCACTTACTCTCCAAACCGCGGGCGCCTGCCGGGCAATCGTCCCGCCGGATGGCAGCCTCAGTCCTCAAGGCCGACCTGTTCACCCCTCAAACGAGCTGCGCGCATTCTTTCCAGGAGCATCTCTGCACTCCCCGCCCTCCCGTTTCCTGCGCAGTCCCCATCGACATCGGCGCTGCTCAACACCATGTCACCCGAGCCTGCAAAGGATTCCGCAGCCCTTGAGCCTGCGTCGCCGCCCCTGACGCCGGCCCATGAATCGGCCGCAGCGCTCCATGGCGATGCAGAGGCTCAGGCCGCCGATGCTGATGATAGCAACAAGGCGCAGGCTGCAGGGCTAAAGAAGAAGAAGAAGAACAGGGGCAACCGCAAGTCAGCCGCCAAACGAGGGCCCACGGCTTTGCCCAAGAACCGCGGAACTGGGTTCGAAGGTGTGTGCAGTGGGGTCCTTTGGCTTGGCAGGATGCGACGCTGATCCGTCATCAGAATTCTTTGCCGATCCGCCCTTGACTCCCGACGAAGCCTCGGAGGAAAAGGATCACATATATGCAAGGTTCGTGGGTTGCTTCCGCCTCGCATCGTGAGACTTTTGCTGACCCTTGATCCTAGTGACTTGCTATTCGAAGAGTACGCCGCTCTTCCACCTCTTCTACTCGGTGTCAAACCCTGTGCTGACCCAGCGCTATAGGCGCATCCAGTCTTGCATCCAACGCTTCCGGGCCCGCCGACGTCTCAGCCCGGAGCAGTCTCGCTATTTTAACGAGTATCTCTTCCTCGGCGGCATCGACACCTCTGGCAAGGCCTTTGGCGGACTCGAGGAAAAGGACACCCGGACTCTCACCCCGGCCGAGCGGCTGGATGCCACGGCCACTGACGCGGTGCACAGCGGCTCCGCTGCCGACGACAGGTACTACCACGGCGATGACGAGCACTGGAGTGTCGACTTTACCGGCGTCCTCGCTGGCTTCTTCTCCACCTCGCTGCTCATCATGACGGGGGGTGACCTCCAAAAGATGGAGACTGCGGCCGCTCTCGCCGAGAACTTCCTCAAGTACATTTTGCATCACGACGTGTGTCCTGAGTACGAAGACGACGTCAAGCGGGCCCTTCGCCTCTGTACGGACGCAAGAGAGGAATGGCCACTGCTGGACGAGCTGCAGCATTCGTTGCCCGGTGCCTTTCACCTGTCGGCCATTGACCTCTTTTCTCCCCCAAGTCCCGAGGACTGGAATTGTTCCAGCCTCCGGCTCCCCGAAGGCTTCGATGCCAAAGCCATCTTCTACTCTGCCTGCGCTCTCCTCGGCGAGGTCGAGGTTTTGAAGGCGGCGCAGCAAGGGCGCCTCGGCATCGCAAAGGAGCATACGTGCGCCCTCGAGGTTGTCGAGATTCAGCAGCCCCGCGCAGACGTGGCCGAGCGGTTCGGTCGGCTCGAGGTGGCGGACAGCAAGCTCCGCGCAGGCCCCATTGGCAAGGCTTTCTTCAAGCCCACCACGATTGAAGACGGCTGGGAAACCCCGGTCATCGCGTCGCCCTACGGCGAATCCGGCGGCTCGTGGCTGTATTTTGAGCAGTCGCTCCTAGCCAACATGCGGCCGGGGATGAAGATGGCGCTGACCATTGTCGAGCTGGACGCGGGCATTCGATTCGTCAAGGCCGTGACGGACGTTGTGCCGACCTTTTACACTTTTTTGCCACAGGTGCTGATGAAGTACTACAAGCAGCCGCGGGTGAATGAGCGGCCTGCGCCGTCGGTGCAGGATCCTCATGCAGAGGAGGAGCAGCAAGCGCGCGAGGCCAATGAAGACTAAACTAGACGTGTTTGCAAGGCAGAAGTGTTGACTGCCACGGTGCCTCCTCGTGCGAAGTGGAAGCGGAAGCGGAAGTGGGAAGTAGAGCCAGGTTGGGGGATAGGCCGGAAGGAACTCATTGGTTGGGCAATTCAGGGACAGTGCCAAGATACAAATGAGAGTAGAGCAAATTTCAGTAAACTCGAGCCATCGAGGCAACACCAACCCGTTCATACCAGCGGTATCGAGGATATACCTAAACAAATCAACGCCAATCAACCAGCCAGTGGTCCGTCACCATACAATAAACGCCCCCATGGTCGTCACTCATCAGCACCGTCATGACAGCACCCATTGCACAATGTAGCCCCGTGATCCGAGAGAGATGAGATGGCACAGCAGCACAGAATGCAAGCTAGCTGCTGCTTGTCCCTCGGTCCCACGGCAGCACTGATCTCCAAGTCTGAACACCGGCAAGACGCTGCTCCGGCATTAATCCCGTGTCTGAATCTTGTGGTCGCCGGCAACGACCTCTGCGTACGACGGGGGTACGCCGCGCTGATTGCCGGCGCTGCCCTCGCCCGCCGACGTGAGTCCGTGCTGCTGCTGCGACTGGGGCTGGTTCTGGGTGCCGTAGTTCATGGCGGCGTTGGGGGGGTGCGACTGGGGCCGGGTGCTGTGGCCGTTGGGCGACTGAACGTAGACGTAGGTGACACGGCCCCCCTCCTGGTCCTGGGGCAGAGCATCGTAGTCGTAATCGGACTCGGGGAATTTGGCAATGATGTACCACGAGTGGAGGAGGCCGGGGAGGTAGCCGAGGACGCAGAGGAGGATGTTGATGAGGGAGTCGGCGCCGCAGATGCCGCACTTGATCCAGACTGGGGGCGAGTGTTAGTCTTGGGATGAGAGTCGATCAGAGCGTATGGGGAGTCGGGAGGGGTTCGGACGTACCAGGCAGCGGGGGGAAGAGGATGGCCAAGAGACCGAGGAAGATGTCGGCGGAGCACATGGCGAGAGGTTTGTCGATGACGGTGCGGCGAGAATGAGTGATGGGCTCAGGGATGGGCGAGCTTCGTTTGCGCGAGAGCGAGAGGAGGCGACGATAGCTTATGACTCGCAATGATGGACGAGGGATGAAGGTCGAGGGGATGGGGCTCGGGGGCGTATGACGGTAGTCGACAGGCAAGACCAAGTACCAAGTACCCCTGCTGCAGCGTGACGAACCCCGCTACAAGCCGGCGCCAAGGGTCGCCCTGGTCGCCTCCGAGCTTGCGTAATGCGGGTGGCGAGGCGGGCCGTCTGATTGGCTGGTGGGGGCCTCGTTTTGGTCCTACAGGGCCCACTTGCTGGGCGAAGACAGAAGAAGAAGACGGAACTCTGTTTCGCCGGGCTCTTGTTCTTTTTTATCTGACGCGATGTGCATGGATGGATGCTGGTTGGGGACGCGGTAATTAGGGGACGAAGAAATATAAACACAGGGCTGGATAGGCAGGCACTTCGCTTTGGTCGACAGTTGTACCGTATATGTAAGTGACGAAATAGTGGGGCGTTCATCCGCACAGTGTGTGTGAAACACGAGACATGGATTCTGCCCTCCCTTGGTCTTGACATTATTCATACCAAAATTGAGTCCACTAAGTTACTATAATTACCGTTGTCGTCGAGGTCGGATGACGGAGAATCGATCCACCTTTTTAAGTGGTATTTCGCGTTGGCGAGAGAGAGCTTCGACGCGTTGCTCCGCACTCGCCTGTCCTTCAATACCTTCAACCCCCGTGCATTCCCAGTATTTTGCTGAAAGGTTGGCTTCTTGATAGACACAAACCCTGCTGCAGCATTCAAACGTCGTTTCATATAGAACAGCTTGTCAGATAAAAGACGGAGTCCGCCTTGTTCAACGTATGTGAGATGTGAGCGTGTATAAAACCCATCTCAAACTTGTCGCATGGATCTTCAACACTGAACAAACTCCGAGAAAGATAAACAGCGCCACCCGAGCTTCAAACGTTGAGAAATACTGTACACTTGCATGCTCATTCTACCCCCTCAGACAGTGTAGAGGTGTTTGCCCCCCGCTGTAGGGTAACTGTCTTTCCCCCCCAGACTACCTAAACTCACCGAGACACCGAGACACTTGCCGAGTTTTAGCCGTGGTGAGGCACACTGGCCACGACTTTTCCGAGGCAAGCTCTTTGCTCGACGATGCAGTCGACGCAAACCACCCTGCTCGGCGCAGGAAGCCATCGCCCACCATGGATGAAGTCCTTGACCTCGAGCTGCTATCACTCGTCTCAAAGGTATCTTCTGAACTCCAGAACCACGTCGGCATCAGCGACAAAACCCTCGCCGAGTTCCTCATCGCCCAACGGCTCGAAAGCAAGTCCCTAGACGACTTTCGCAACAAGCTCGACGGCATCGGCGCAGAGTTCCCACCCAGCTTGGTAGGCAGTCTCGACCGCCTGGTCCTGGCGCTGCACCCCAAGTTCAAAGGCAAGGGCGGCGATGCGGCTGACACCGGCGACGAGCACCACCCGTCACGAACCCTCGAGGAAAAGGAAAAGATCTTTAGCGGCCTCGCGCTCCCAGATAAAAGTACCGAGGACGGTGCCGGGGGAGACGCCATAGACGACACCTTGGCGCTGTTTGAAGGGCTAGAGGGCAGAGCCGCGAAAGAAAAGCCGTCCCGGAAGCGGAGCTGGAGTCCGGAGAACGACCAGAAAGAGTCAAGACGGCGCAGGCGGGATAGGTCGCCATCGCGCGAGCGCAAAAGAAGAGACAAGGCTTGGTCGAGATCGCCGTCGCAGGATAGGGGCGATGAGGACTGGCGGGATGGTTTCCGAGGCTCACGCAAGGACAGGCGGGGTCGCAGACGCTTCGACGACGACGACGACCAGCTCGACAGCCGACTCGACAGGCCGCCAGAGCCCGAGGTGGACGAGAAACCCATAGTGCACAAGATTTACGAGGGCCATGTCACCGGCCTCAAGGACTTTGGCGCCTTTGTCAACCTGCACCATGTCCAGGGCAAGGTGGACGGCCTGGTGCACGTGTCCCGTATGGTGGAGGGCCAACGCGTCAGCCATCCGTCGGACCTGCTTTCCAAGGGCCAGCAGGTCTTTGTCAAGGTCATAAGCATCGAGGGCTCCAGGGTCGGCCTCTCGATGAAGGACGTGGAGCAGGGCACGGGCATGGACCTCGAGCCCCAGTCGAGGTTTTCCACGGGCGCGAACATGGAAGCCCTCGGCAACGGTAACAAGAGGGGCTTTGGCGGCGAGGCCCCTGCAATGCCGCGAGATACCATGGGGCCTCCAAAGCGCCACAAGAAGAGGATGACGTCGCCCGAGAGATGGGAGATTCGCCAGCTCATCGCATCGGGCGTCGCAAAGGCATCCGACTACCCTGACCTAGAGGAAGACTACAACGCAACGCTGCGCGGAGACGGCGAGCTGGAGCTGGAAGAGGATGTCGACATCGAGGTGCGCGACGAAGAACCTCCCTTCTTGGCGGGCCAGACCAAGCAGTCGCTCGAGCTGTCCCCCATCCGCGTCGTCAAGGCGCCAGACGGATCCATGAACCGAGCCGCCATGGCCGGCACCTCGCTCGCCAAAGAGAGGAAGGAGTTGAAGCAGCAGGAGGCCGACGTCGCGGCCAAGGAAGAGCCGAAAGAGAACCTTTCGTCGCAGTGGCAGGACCCCATGGCCGATCCGGACAAGCGCAAGTTTGCAAGTGACATGCGAACTGCTCGCATGAACGCAAAGCCCGAGGAGGTGCCCGAATGGAAAAAGGCCGTGATTCCAAAAGGGCAGGCCCTCGGGAGACGCACAAACATGACCATCAGGGAACAGCGACAATCGCTCCCCGTCTATGTCTTCCGGAACCAGCTCATCGAGGCCGTCAAGGAGAACCAAATCTTGGTCGTGGTGGGAGAGACGGGTTCGGGGAAAACAACCCAGTTGACGCAGTACTTGGCCGAGGCCGGGTTCACCAAGGATGGCCTCATCGGATGCACGCAGCCTCGTCGAGTGGCGGCCATGTCGGTGGCCAAGCGTGTTGCCGAAGAAGTCGGCTGCAAGCTCGGCGAGGAGGTTGGGTACACGATCCGATTCGAGGACTGCACGAGCCCGGCGACCAAGATCAAGTACATGACGGACGGCATGCTACAACGAGAGATCCTCATGGACCCGGACCTAAAGCGCTACTCGTGCATCATGCTCGACGAGGCCCACGAGCGGACAATCTCGACGGATATTCTCTTTGCGCTGCTCAAAAAGGCCGTCAAGCGGCGGCCGGACCTGAAGATCATTGTGACGTCGGCCACGCTCGACGCCGACAAGTTCTCGGCTTACTTCAACGAGTGTCCCATCTTTACGATTCCCGGGCGTACGTTCCCGGTCGAGATCCTCTACTCGAGGGAGCCCGAGTCCGACTACCTCGACACGGCGCTGGTGACGGTGATGCAGATCCACCTGACGGAGCCGAAGGGCGACATCCTGCTCTTCCTCACGGGCCAGGAAGAAATCGACACGTCGTGCGAGATCCTGTACGAGCGTATGAAGGCCTTGGGGCCAAGCGTGCCGGAGCTCGTCATCGTGCCCGTGTATGCGCAGCTGCCGACGGAGATGCAGAGCCGCATCTTCGACCCGGCGCCGCCGGGGAGCCGCAAGGTGGTCATTGCCACCAACATTGCCGAGACGTCCATCACCATCGACGAGATCTACTACGTCGTGGACCCGGGATTCGTCAAGCAAAACGCCTACGACCCCAAGCTGGGCATGGACTCGCTCGTCGTGACGCCCATCTCGCAGGCGCAGGCCAACCAGAGAGCGGGCCGGGCCGGTCGCACGGGGCCCGGCAAGTGCTTCCGGCTCTACACCGAGGCGGCGTTCCAGTCCGAGATGCTGCCGACGACGATCCCGGACATCCAGCGGCAGAACCTGGCGCACACGATCCTTATGCTCAAGGCCATGGGCATCAACGACCTGCTGCACTTTGACTTTATGGACCCGCCGCCCGTCAACACGATGCTGACGGCACTGGAGGAGCTGTACGCGCTGAGCGCGCTCGACGATGAGGGCCTCCTGACGCGCCTCGGGCGCAAAATGGCGGACTTTCCCATGGAGCCATCGCTGGCAAAGGTGCTCATTGCGGCCGTGGACCACCAGTGCTCGGACGAGATGCTCAGCATTGTGGCGCTGCTCAACCTAAATGTCTTCTACCGCCCCAAGGAGAAGCAACAGCAGGCGGACCAGAAAAAGGCCAAGTTTCACGACCCCCACGGCGACCACCTCACCCTGCTCAACATCTACAACGCGTGGAAGCACAGCGGCTTCTCCAACCCGTGGTGTTTTGAAAACTTCATCCAGGCGCGCTCCATGCGCCGCGCAAAGGACGTGCGAGACCAGCTGCTCAAGATCATGGATCGGTACAAGCACCCCGTCGTGTCGTGCGGGCGCGACACGCAAAAGGTCCGGCGGGCGCTGTGCTCGGGCTTCTTCCGCAACGCGGCGCGCAAGGATCCCCAGGAGGGCTACAAGACGCTCATCGAGGGCACGCCCGTCTACCTGCACCCCAGCTCCGCCCTCTTCGGCAAGCAGGCCGAGTGGGTCATCTACCACACCCTCGTGCTCACGACAAAGGAGTACATGCACTGCACGACGAGCATCGAGCCCAAGTGGCTCGTTGACGCGGCGCCGACGTTTTTCAAGGTTGCCCCGTCGGACCGCCTCAGCAAGCGCAAGCAGACGGAGCGGATCCAGCCCCTGTACAACAAGTTTGCCGGCGAGGACGACTGGCGGCTGAGTGCGCAGCGCAGGGGCGGCAGGGGCGGCGGCGGCGGCACATGGGGCTAACGTGGTCGGGGTTCAGGGGACTGCACGATATGGGAGATTTTTACGGCCTTGGATGAAGGCGAGCGTCGTGGTGCCGAGACTGGGCTTTGGCGGGCATGGGAATGGCGTTGGGATTACCCACGGGTGTGTTGCGGAGCAATAACAAAAGAAGTTGGGTCAATTACTCTTGTAGGGCAAAAGGCGCAGCCTGGCTTTCAATTAGTAAAATGATTTGGCCGAACGGGGCAACGTGGTCCATGTCGTCGTACTTTGGTAGAATCATCTGCCACGGCTTTCTTGATACTGTTTACCGACGGCGGACTCGAGTCTGTGTCATGATGTAGATGATAAAGAGATCATCTTTGTTAATTGAAAGAAAATGGGGTTTGAACACGGATCAAGCGTTGCCGAGAATGACAGCTCAAGCCAACCTGGGCTCGGATGAACGAGGAGAGCCCGATTGAGATGGAGTCCCTGGGCAGGTTCGTAGCACGACAACATGCAAGTTCTCAAAGCGGGTAGATTATCGATACTTGACAGCTATGTTGAAGCTCTTTTTTATCCGTATAAGAAGAGCCGACGGATGAATTCGTCATGGTGAGATTTCACACTGAGTGGCTGGCGAGGCCATTCTTCGAGTGCTTCGAAATCTATGCCCGGCTCAATGCTTGCGCCGAAGTCATGCAGCAACCGTCTCTCTGTCAAGCTGGAAAAATACCGCTACATCAGGCAAAATAGGGGCACCCCCAGTGGAGGTGCTATTGGTATTAGCGCGTATTATAAGTCCTTTATTGTCCTGACATTCTCATGTTGATGGATGGGCTGTTGGATGCTTTTCTCTTGGAGCAATGTAAGTGCCTGGACCAGAGCTCTATTGCAAAGAGATGGATTCTGGGGGCCAGAGAATCCTCGCCAAGAGGCGCTTGCTTTGATGCTTATTGAGGCGGAGGAGGACCTTGAGACGGAGGACCTTGAGACGGAGGACCTTGAGACGGAGGACTTTGGGCCGAAGCCACTTAATCATTCCCGACAGCCTGAAACTCTAACTGAGCTCCCGGCGGCCCCAACAGAAATCAGTGGCTTACGCCATCGGACCCTTTATTGCGCGGCCCAAAACATAGCTCAAACACTCTTTATTATTAATTAATTACCCCACGGCCTCTTGCACTGTACGAACGTACTGTACGTCTTCAACAAGAGGTGGCACGTGCTCTCTCTCTCTCACGTGGAGTCGTGAACCACGTGATTCAACAGCCCACGACCCTCGTCGTCGACGACTTGCATCTACTCCAACCCGTCGCCAACCGCTGCCTCGTCGGCCATGGAGCCGCCGCCCTACCGCCAATGGCGCCGTCTGTGACACGCTCTCCGAGTCGAGAGAGGATGACCCTGTGTCTGGCGGCATGGATCCCGTCACGGATCCCGTCGCGGCGCCTCGTCGCTCCGTTGCCGCTGCCATCTCCGTGCTGCGAGACTCGGCCACTTCCTTGTGCTTCAACGACCTCGGCAAACCGCCTGACCCGGCACAGACCCGGCCTCCGTGCAGAGGCCTGGCGACCGAACTGCTCCTCTTTGGCGGCGCCCTCTTCAGCCTCGAGGCGCTGGCGGCAGAGCTCGAGTCGGCCTCGCACGAGCCAGTAGACGCCGACTCCCTCCTGTTCCTGCAGCAGATCAATTCCCTCCTCCAGTCTGTTAGAGGCGGCCTCGCCACTCTCACCCCGGGCCTCGTCAGCCATTTCAGGGAAGAATCCAAGGCCTTGCGCTCCAAAATCACCCATGTCCTCGCTCGGTCCCGCTCTCTCGCAGACCTCGTCATCCTCCTCTCGGCCCACAACGGGGCCTCGACCTTGGCAAACGATCCCCAGCACGCCAGCGACTGGGTCAAGATGCTGATCCACCCGCGCCACAACCGTGAGCCGCGCAACTTCCACCTTGAGAAGCGCTTCATCCAAGGCAGGCGGGTCGAGTTCCCAGACTACTCGCACGCTGCCACTAGGTGGCTCGAGTATGCCGAGGACCATTGGCCTATTCTCCAGCCTCGAATTATCCAGCTGTTCACCGGGCCGCCCCAGTCCTTCAACTTTGTCCAATGGGCCCTCGAGTACGCCCGAGAGACATGGCCCGCCAGGTTTGGCCTTGACTGTGCCGATCCACGTCCCACCATCGACCTCACCAATCACCTTTGCAACGGTTCCATCTCCCCGCTGCACCTTGCCGCCGCTCTTGGCCTACCCAATCTTGTCCAGACCTTGCTTTCCTCCGGGACCGAGGCCGACCAGCCCGGCCCTCTCGGCACCCCCCTGTACTGCGCCCTCGTCGGCCATCATGTCTTGGTCGCCGGAGACTCGCCCGAATCCTGGTCCACCGTCCTCCGTCACGATCCTCGCCTGGCCCCCCGCCACGCTGCAGTCAGGCGGCTCCTCGATGCTGGGCCCGACTGCACATGGCGGTTCCGATGGCCCGGCCGTCGCAAAGCATCCCTGGCCGGGTTGGCATTTTGGTTCGCGTGCCTCGTCAACGACCACACCATCTTCGAGCGGGTTCTCGAGGGCGGCGCGACCATCGACGATGACTTTGCCTTTCTCATTTCAGATGCCAAATTCGTCGACTGCGCGAAGCCCTACAAGTATACACTGGGCCTGCTGCTCACTTGCGCATTCGACTCGACCTACGACAACATGAAGGAGTGGCCGTGGCATCGCACCGACTCGGTCCTCGAGGCCATCGGCGATCTGATGAGACAGCATCAACTCGACTTTGCCTGCGGCTTGGGCCAGAGCAGACGGCTGGCCAACGTTTCCGACCTTCAGTTGCCAACGCTCGTCCGCGGGGCCATCTTGGACGACGAGGTGTGCCAGGTCCAGCGGCTGAGCATGGATCCTCGTTTCGACCCCAACTTGCTCGCCAACGAGGAAGTAGAGGGGGAGGGCAACATCGCCCACCTTGCCATCGAAGGGGACAATCTCGATGTCGTCGATGTCCTCGCCGCGGCCGGCGCCGATTTCACCGCAAGGGACGGCAAGAACCGAACGCCACTGATGCGGGTGGAGAGCGTGGCGATGCTGTCCAAGCTCGTGCAGCTTGGCCTGCCCACGACGGATACCGACGAAACGGGACGCAACATCTGGCACTTTGCCGCCGCCACCAATGACCTGCCGCTGCTTGAATGGCTGGCTGCCAACGACCCGTCCAAGGAGGAGAACCTGACCGCAGTGACCGCGGAAGGCTATACGCCTTTGGAGGAGGCCCTCCAGTACAGCCGCTGTTCGAGAGGCCACAGGAGATTGTCCAAGCTGGGGGGGCAGGAGGTCCGGCCTTCGGAGCCAGTAGCCGCATTTTACATCCTGAGTGCCGGTGCAGTCTGCCGAAACCCCCCCCCCTTCCCCCTCATCTCGTCTGCCGTCGACTGGGGGTCGGTCGACTTGGTGCGGAAACTCTATGCTGTAGGTGCGGACCCACGGGCCGTCGACGAGCTGGGGAGGACGGCGCTCCACTACCTCAACATATCCGCAACGCCGGCGCTCGTGTCTCTTGTCCAAGGCTTCTGCAGCGGGCTTCCCGTCAGCGGGCCCGACGTCGACGAGGGCCGCACCACCGAGGGGCTAGACATCGAGGCCGGCCTCACCCCTGCCGAGACCATTCTCACCAACACGTCGCTCATCAAGACGACCGACCAATTCTGGACGCCGTCGGAGCACAACTCTTGCCGTGGCACGCTCTCTGGGAAGGCTTACACGCTTCTTCTCACCCCGCAGATGCTCGACCATCGCGACCGCTTCGGCAGGGGCATGTGGGCTCGCTTCTGTCAGAAGGTCCTCATCCGCCTCGCCATGCAAATCGGCGTGAGAGACGCTCCCAGCGACTGTTCCCTCTACACTTCCTCATTGGAATTTCTGCGAACCTCGCTCCTCACCGCCATCGACTGCCTGATTCGGCAGGGCGCCCTGGCTCGGCACGAGGACGAGACGGGGCTACCTGCCGTTCTGTGCCTGCACACCGCGGAGCCCGGCGAGACGGACGCCTGGCCGGAGCCGCTGATGCCGTTTGCGCAGCACATCCTGGAGCGCTTCGTCAAGAGCCCCTTGGCGGCGAAGTTCTACCAGTCGCCAGAGGCAACGAAGCTGCTTATCGCAGCCCATCATTACGGCCAGAAGGAGCTGATTGATATGCTTAATGAAAAGTTCGTGGTTGGATTTGACGCAACCGCATGTTCCGAGCAGTTTGCATACGACGATTGCTGAGGCGGACTAGAGACGAGGTTGAACAATGGGCATTACCATGGAGTAGACGACGGTTGGGGTCATAGCATGGCGAGCAGGGCGAGGTTATCACAGGGGCTAGGCGACTGTATTGGCGCTGTTGGACCGAACAGCAGTATTACTGTCGGCAGGATCAGGATATATACCGCACCGGCATTGCATCTGTTGAAGCGTTCCACATTGGCTGGTCGAGCGGTTGATGCTGCCTACAGATGGCCACCTTTGCGAAGATTGGAAACAAAATCATCGCGGAATACCTGCAAGCGCCGAGAGGCAGCAACAAGGGCTCACCCACTCTCCTTGTGTCTACAGCCTCACGACGAGCACACACACGTTAACGGAGTCATGGCTGTCGCCGAGGAGCCGCGGTGACGCAAGGGGTGCCTGCACTCGGGCAGCCACGCGGAATATGTGGTCGTGGAAAGGCAATCAACCGATTGACCAGGCAAGGTGGAACGCTCCAGCAGATGGATCCATTGGTGCAGTATATATCCTCCTCTTGCTGACAACAGGCGTGAACCGGCAAAAGGTAGGAGATGCAATACAGTACAAGACCTAGTCCTGCAGGAGCGGGTTTGCCAAAGTCAATAGAACGTTGCTGCTCCAGCGGAGAAACCACATCAACCGGAGACTCTGTATCTGCCGGCAAATAGGCAAATGGCCGTTCTCGGCGGTCCAGGACAGAGATAGGGCATCTACTCGCGGCAATTGATCTCCCCCAATGCTGGCTGCAAAATCAAGAAACCAAACATGGTGTTGTTGAAAGCATTACCAACCAAGTATCCGTAACCTGGCCGGCATTCTATTACTCGATCCACAGTTCCACACCGTCATCATTCTCGCCTGGACCTAAACTTTAAGCCTTGCTCTACCCGTTTGTCGGGTCGGACCGGGCAACTAACTCCCTTGTCTTTTTCGCCGGCTGATCCCGTTCTCTTTTCGCCAACCCCCGAACGCCGGCTTACCGTCCAAAAACCGCCGCTGCTTCCGAATTAATGCCTCATGCTGGTGTAGACACGGGTGACTCACCGGGCCTGCCTCGGGAGGGATCCATTATATCCAACATCAGGGTCGCGTTTGCAAAATGCGACTTTCAACAAGCTTCGGGTGGCGTGATTCCGTCGTATTAATATGTTGGCTCTGAGTGATTGGGCATCCAACTCGACCTTCCCCGCAGAACTGTGAGACTGAGGAACCGCCGGGGCCGAATCGGGCACCCGGGGAGGGATGAGAGCAAGGGATCGCGAATGCTTATGCATGTACGGATACCAGTACCGGAATATTGAACCTTTGTTCCATCACCACTTGTAAGCGGTCGCATGGAGTCGGAACACGGCCCAAGCTCGGAGGATGCCGAGGCAGCGCCGATAGCAACAAGCCGTTGCGCGAAGGCAACTCTCCCCTCATTGGAGGCCTATGTATAAATGGCTTTACCCGAGATCCTCGTGAGCTGACTCTATAGATTCACACGACTCAACTTGACATCTTGCCTTCAACCACTGCCGTTCCATTACCACCGAAACGCCTCACAGCGCCACTCGCGATGCCTGCCACCATTCGCCGATACAAGGCTGCCTGCGTCCAGGCCGAGCCCGGCTGGTTCGATCTGAAGAAATGCGTTGACAAGACTGTTGCGCTGATCCTGGAGGCGGGCGAGAAGGGCTGCAAGCTGGTTGCTTTCCCGGAACTGTGTACGTTCAGCAAGGCCAGAGCAGACTCGAGTTGAACACAATGTACTGACGAATGTGTAGGGATTCCTGGGTATGGACTCGTGGTTGACAGTGAAGGTGAAGCAGTGCGCTCTTCATGCTGACATTAATCGCCAGATACCCCTACTGGCAGTGGCGGGTCAACTACCAAGACTCCTTGCCGCTTCTCAAAGACTATTGTCTCAACAGTCTCCGACCAGACTCGGAGGAAATGCAACGTATTCGAAACGCCTCCAAGACGGCTCAGATCTACACCTCCCTGGGATACTCGGAACTCGATGGAAACAGCCTCTACATTGCCCAGGTCCTCATCGACCCAACCGGCGCCGTCGTCAACCACAGGAGGAAGATCAAGCCGACGCACGTCGAGAAGCTCGTGTTTGGCGAGGGCTCGGGCGACTCGCTCGACAGCGTGGTGGAGACGGAGATTGGAAGGCTCGGCCATCTCAACTGCTGGGAAAACGTGGGGACTTGCCCAGCTGTCGCTTCTTGAACAGGGCAAAGCGGCTGACTTTGCGGCATGCGATTAGATGAACCCGTTCCTCAAGGCCCATTCCTGCGCCCTCCAAGAAGAGATCCACGTGGCAGCGTGGCCCGTCTATCCTCCCGCCTCGTCCCTCAAGTACCCAGACCCCTACACCAACATATCCGAGGTCCAGTCCGAGCACGTCACGCCGGCGTACGCCTACGAAACGGGGACCTGGACGCTGGCGCCGTCCCAGGTCGTGACCCGCGAGGGGGCCCGGCTCAACCTCCCGAAGCGCCTGCAAGACGACGAGGCCGCGCTCGACGCCGAGGCCGCCGTCATCGGCAACGGCTTCGCCAGAATATACCGCCCGGACGGCTTTCGGGCTGTCGAGGACCCGGCCAAGACATTTGAGGGCATCTTTGTCGTCGACATCGACCTCGACGAGAATGTGCTCACCAAGCGGCTCGCTGACTTTGTACGTCCTGATCGAGTCAAATCATGGTGTTCGTCCGGCTTTGGACACGCGGCTAATGAAGATGACGCGGAGCAGGGGGGACATTACATGCGTCCTGATCTAATTCGACTGCTGGTCGACAAGACGCCGAAGACATATATCGTGGATGCCAACTCGCCCGATCCAAAGACGTTTCCGAGCACGCTTGAGCGCCTTGGCCTTGGAAAGCCCCTTCCACAGGTAGAGGGGGAGGCCGCGGAGCAGGAAAAGTCCTGATTAATGTCCTCTTGGTCGTTTACTCTACGCCAATTTAGTTGTAGTGCGTGTGTTGCGGTCGGCGCCCCCGTCTCCTGATTTGCTCCCCGGCCCACGAGTTACGTGGTTTCCTGTCACCCTACTGACCGCAACCACAATGGCCTCCTCAATGTCCTCCCTCTGCCATCATATAAATAGACCATGTCTAGCTAGTAAACCACTCTGTCTAACGACAAGATGGTGAAATACTTAGGAACTACTTTATGTGTTACTGTGAAAGGAAAGAGGCGCTGCTTCTAGGTTTGGAAAGACGTTGCAAAGTTGTCATTTACTCGACGTCTTCAGTGCTATGACGGCATCTCTCCTAATTCTTGGGGTTACCCTATCGTCTCGTGATAACTTCATATTCCATATTTATAACCATTCTTGGTTCAATCCACCTCAAGCATTGTCCTTGGCCTCTCCCTGCTCCTGCTGCAAACGGGACCTATCCTCTTCACTTGACCTTTGCTTGGTAGGTTTAATCCGCTAGTTGCGGCGTTTTCCACGCCAGGGCAAAGAACCTACGGCCGTAGGTGTAAGAGAAGCGAAAAAGGATGTCGCTCGTTTGGCTTTGTATCTTAGCATGCCATGTCTGTCCTTAGTCTTCCGCGTCGGACGAAGTTCTCCGTTAATTTTTCGAGACGGTCACGCGCCAGAATGAAGTCCACATGGGTCACACCCTTGATTCGACTCATAATATATATGGAAAGAAGTTCCTTGTCTTCTCATTTGTCACCTATTTGGCACTCAACCGCGACGGTCGGAGCCAAAGATCCCGTACATCTGCCTGGCCGGAGAAACGATCTTCGTATCGAGCTGCAAGGACTTCAGTCGGAACCAAACGTCCCTAAGAGATGGCCCGCAGTAATCGGAGTAGCTACAGTTTCCTCGTATGCCATGGAACGACCCCCAAAGAGCTCCTCTGCACGCGCATTGCAATTTAGACGAGTGGAGCACGTTTGCGCAAAGAAATTGAAGATTTCAGCCTCCACAGAGTACTGGTACCTTGGCAAGTTTGTGTATGTTCCAATCTGCAGGTCCTCAATCTGGCACGCAAGTTCGCCCCTAGGCTGGAGGGACAAAAACTGATCATACACTGATAAACGTTACCAGTAGAGCCTTCACCTCCTTTCCTTCCTTCTTCCCTAGGTCCCCGAAGGTGGCCGTCTTTATTACTCCTGCCTCTAGTTCTCGTCTCTGCCTGTCCGCCCGCTCACCGGGGGGGGGGCTAACGGCACAGCCACCCCGGAGGAAAGGCGGCATACTTCGTGTGTTGAATTCAGCTCTCAAGTAATTACTTGTGGATCCCGGGTGGCTGTGCTGTCATACTGTCGGCTGACCGCACCGTACAAGTGACACAAGTGACGAAGGAAGCCGCAATAAATACGGGCATCGTAGGCAATGCTTTGTGATGCGAATTCCATGTAAATCTTGGCTTTAAGCGGTGCACAAAAAAGCATAGTGCTCTAATTGTGCTTCGTCGTAAACCCCCTGAGAGCAGGCTCTAGAGCCTCTACCCGCTACCTATACAGGAAAACCCCGGTGGTCTGGGATGAAAACGGTATACAACCCGTGTTGTCTCTCCTAGAGGGAGCCTCTCGGTCTAGTTACTTGTAGCGCGTTGAAGCTTCCTATATTTACTCTCCATCTGCTCGTAGTCATGTCGTCGTCGCTGCTTTAGCGGACCAGTTCTTTATAAGATCTATTGCTACCCTCTAGCAGTATATGGGCCTACAAGCGAGGAACTAACGGGCAAAGGATAGGGCGGTGTTGGGATGCATTTGGTGAACGCGGAGGTCGGCATCGGTGCATGTTGACGCTGGGAAGAGTCTACGGTTGTTAACTTGGAGGGGATAGCGGAGGAAACGTGGAACGCTGTTTCCTCCCCGCTGCCGCAATGGCAGAGAGGCGTTTTTTTTTTTTTTATATCATTCCTCGCATGCAGCCTCTAGGGCCATGGCGAGGCTAGTAGGGGCCTAGGCCCCTATTAGCAGTCCTAGCTAGCTATAGAGCCCGGGGGCTTACAACCAATTAGGGAAAGGGTAGCTATAAAGGCAATAATAAAGGAAAGGTCAGTCTGGTTCCTCCCGCGCGGTGATTTTCCCCCCTAAGGGCCCTAGGGCCCCTAGGTTACTCCTTTTCGAGCCACTTAGCTATCCCTATCTCTGTTTTAGCTAAGAAGGTTAGAAGGGCTTCCCTTCCTTCCTTAGAGCTATAGAGAATAGGTAGGCTAATGGCCCCCTTCCGTCTCTTAGAGGTCCGGTAAAGGACCTCTCTTTCCCTCCTATAGTTCGGGCACCTTAGGATAAGGTGCCTAGCCGTATACCTTCCTTAGCCGTAGCGGCAGTCGTCTCGGTCTACCTTATTAGTCCTTTTTAGGAAGGAAAATAAGAAGCCGGCCCCGAAGAGGAGCTAGTAGAAGGCCGAGAGGGTCGGCCTAGGCCTCCCTATAAGGTCCCTTTCTAGGCTAAGGGCTAGGCGGGGGGTCTTTTAAATAGACGTATAGTGCTTGCCTAGGCCCTTAGCCCTAGGGCCTTTAGCCGCCTCGGTAGCCTAGAGTCCCTTTTAATAGTCCTTAGTAGCTTGCCGGACCTTTCTTTATAAGTAGCTAATAGAGACTAAGGGGGTCCCTCGGGTAGGGGCCCCTAAGCCTCTTTTAGCTAGCTGGTCGGCTAGCTGGTTGCTAAAGATCCCTAGGTGGCTAGGGAACTAGTATAGCTATACGTTATAAAAGGCTTCTAAGCTAGATAGGAGCCTTTTAATACGTATAGCTAGGTCCGAGAAACCTATAACATTCTTTATAGCGGCTTAGCTATCTATAAAGATATAGGTATCTATAAGGGGGTTAAGAGGGCTAAGCTTTAGGGGCCGAGGCCTCTTAGCTAGGTCCTCTAGGACCCTTAGTATCGCGAATAGCTCTACGTTAGCTACTTCGATCGAGGGCCCTAGGTTCTCGTAGTACGCCTTAATAGGCCTATTTTCTAGGCCTATTTTATAGAAGGAGCAAGCGTTAGTCTCTATAGGGGACCCCTTAGGGCACCCCTTAGAGCCGTCGGTATAGAAGGCTAGGGGCCGTAACCCGAAGTCTTCTAGGCTAGCTAGGCTAGCTAAGAGGCGTTAGTATTACTTCTTAGCTAAGGGCTTAGGGGCCTCTATTATCGTAATAGAGGCCTTAGGCTCTAGGGCCTATAGGGGCTCCTAGCTAGCTTTCCTTCTTTCTAAGTTATAATTAGGTCCTATAAGGGCTACTAGGCCTTTAAGGAGGCGGAATAGCTACGTATATAGCCTAATATAGCTTAAGGCCCCTAGGTCGGAGCCTAAGTTAGCGAGGTCATCCCGTATAGCTAGGTCGTAAGCCTGCCTTATAGGGTAACTAGGTAAGAAGTATAGGGTCCGGAGGGCGTAAGAGAGGCATGCCCTTTCGAATCGTACCTCTAGTAGCGGCAGGGCCGCTTCGGCTTCTAAAGCCCTAATAGGGGATCCTTTAAAGGCCCCTAAGACCTTTAGAAGAGCCTGGTTTTACAGCCTTTAGAAAGGCTTTATAAGGCTCTTAGGGGTCTTAGGCCCCCTATACTAAAGTTAGGCCCCGTAGTCTGCTATAGAGGTTATATAGGCCTAGTAGAGCTGTCTAGAGGCTCTAAATAATAGGCCTTTTTACGTAGAGGTTAAGCGGGATAGTCCTTCGAAGGCAGCTTATGCGGATGCTACCTTCTTCTCGATATATTGTTTAAATAGGAGCCTAGAATTAAAGAAGACCCCTAGCTACCGTACTAAGGGCTTTGCCTCGAAAAATAAGCCTCCTACTATTATACCCTCTAAAATAGGCTGCCGTTGCCTACTAAAGTAAATAAGTTCTGTCTTTAAGGGGTCGAAGTAGACCCCTTAGTCTTTAGCTTATTCGAATAGGTTAGCAGCTATTGCTTCTAGCTGCCGAACGTTCTTCTTAGCCGAGGTCGACGTTATAGAGATACTAAAGTTATCTATATAAGACAGCTAGTATCCCTTAGCCGCTAGTATCCCCCTTACGTATAAGAGGAATAAAATAGGGCTAATAGGGGATCCTTAGGGCACCCCTATTACTAGGTCTATAAGGGGCTGGACTTGCCCCTCGAAGGCTAGCTGGATCTTCCTTTTAGTAAGGAAGTGGTCTACCTAGCTTATAAGGGCCTTAGGGAGGTTTAATTCCCTTAGGACCCTTATAAGCTGTTCCTTCGATACGAAATCGAAGGCGCCCTTTATATCTAATAAGAGGGTACTAGTAATAGCCTTCTTATTAGACTCCCGCTTCTTTTAGACATAGTGTAGAAGGAGGAAGGCCGTGTCTATAGCTGACCGCTGTTTTCGTCCCCCTAGCTACGTAGGGTTTAGAAGCCCGGCCGTATTAGCTAAATAGCTTAGCTAGGTAGCGTATAGCTTTTCGAGGACCTTTCCTAAGCAGTTAAGTAGGCTTATAACCCTATAGGCCTTAGGGATAGTATAGTCTAGCTTATTTTACTTAGGAAGTATAATTCCTATAGCTTCCTTCTACGCCTTAGGGTGGTATCCTTAGTTAAATAGAGCTTTATAGGCCCTATTAAAGACCGTAGGGATAGCCTTATATACGTATTAGATAGGGAGGAAGCTAAGGGAGTCCGGGCCGGGGGCTTTCTTATTAGAAGAGCTAAAAATAGCCCTCCTAATCTTAGGGTCCTTTAGCTCTAGCTAGTCCTACTTAACCGTGCCCTTACTGCCTATATAGCCCGGGGGCTCTTCTTTTTCTAGGCTCTAGGGGGGGCTAAAGGGAGGGCTAGGGCTAGGGTCCGGGGTCGGAAAAAGGGTTGTTAGGAAGGCCTCGTATTTTTCCGTAAAGGTATTAGCTTTTACCTCTATCCCTTCTTTCGTATACGAGATACTAGGAAGGGTAGGGTTAGCTCTAGCCTTAGTATAGGAAAAGGCCGTAAAGACGTCCTTTCCTACTGCTTCTATTAAGAAGCTCTCCTAGTATTGCTTTTTAGTGGCCCTAATAGCATACTTAAAGCTATTTCGGGCCTCTATAAAGCTCTTCTGGCTCTCCTTGTCCTAGGCTAGCCTATAAGCCCGTTGGGCTAGGCTTAGGGCATTCCGAAGGCAGGTTAGCTCGTCGGTCTACCAGGGCTTAGATCCCTTATAAGGCCTCTTTTTCGGTATCGCTGCGTTCGAGGCCTCTATAAGGGTTCTTATTAAAAGGGAAGCTATCCCTTCTAAGTCGTCTCTTTTTATAGCCCGGCAGAGAGGCGTTGTTACGCCGGGAACGATCCTATGGTAGAGGAAAGTGTTTAGACCTATCTTTCCTGTGCGGAGCTGGACGAGGGCGGAGCACTCGTGTGTATAGGGGCTGGCGTGGGTTTTGAGACGTCTCCCGGGTTTAAGAGGGGAAGTTGGGTGTCAGATGCCTGGAGGGCGCGCCTAGGACGACGCGCCTTTGCATCTCGCAGCTCTCTTTTCCACCTTCTCGTCCATTCATGCCATAGAGCTTCACGGGGTTAGGTCGACCCTACGCACCATCGCTATCGCCACTCCTAGCGGTCGATTGCAGGCCTGCGCCGTGGCCCCTTACGCTTTCGAAGCACGCTGCAAACTTTGGCTCAGGCTCGACGCGTTAAAGCCTCTAACAAAAACATAGGGTGGAATTTATGGATAATATTAAATTATGTTGGGCTATAGTCTCTGGATGTTTAATAAAGAGAGAAGTGGTAAATAAAAGCCGTCACTAATTTACTATATTCTAGCCGATAGTAAATATCATTTTTGGCAGCACCCTGAACAATTTACCATTCATTGCCCCATAGACGTATGCCTCCGAGATGATACGAAGAGGCTCTGGGGATTTTGGGCTCTTCCTAAACATCGTATCAGAATCTTGTTTCGTCTCCTGGCCCTCTCCCTCTTCCTCGGGAGTTGACCTGCTGTACTGAGATTCACGCAGCACGAAGGGCATGTCGCCACCAACCAGGATAGCAACTATGTCGCCCGGGGCAATATGTTGTGAAGACAAGCCAAAGAATCCCCTTTTCGTGATGAAAAGCCGCCGTTTGTGGAGGGCGTGGCTGAGAAGCGATATATAGCGGGGGATGTGTCGAATCACGACCTCATCCAGCTGCTCTGGATTACCTGGAGTTGCCTCGTCAGCATGAGCACCATCCAGGCAGGAACCCGCCGAGATCGAGGTGAATGAGCCCTTCGCGTCGTCCCAGGCCCTTGCCCGAAGTGCTCCGTAAGCCTTGGCAAAGGTTGGCGAGGCTGGTGAAGTCCATGAGAACTGGGGATACTCTGTGTCAGAAATCAACGTCCTCCAGACCATGTCGGACTGCTCCGGGTCTATGTATCTCTCTGGGTTTTGCTCGGGATGATTTGCTCGCATTGCGTTGCGCATGAAGGATTCAATGCTTCGTATGGTGTGGTAAAGGCCGGTAGGCAACTCTTTACTCCAGGCGTCGTCCGCGAAAACAACGTTGCTAATGTCGGAAATGTAGTCTAGGAATCCTCCCGCAATTCTAACAGCGTTCGCATCTTCGCTTTCGATCATAGCAGGACGCTGTCTCACGTTGGAAGCCGTACAAGAAGCCTGGTAGCATCCTGGCTTCCATAGTGGAGGTGACTGGGCCGATGACCAGTCTGGGATCCATGAAGGGAGCGGGCCATCAAAGATTTCGGTGCGGGTCGAGCCCGCATTGAGACATAAGCAGTTGAGGCTCTCCTTCATCAGATGCCGAGCAGTCATCTCGTACACTTGCCTGGCGCTCAGAGAGTAGTCGGGGACCAAGGCGGCTCGGTCTTCGGGATCGCACAGTCCTACCAGACCAAAGATTTTGTCTCGGGCATCCGTTGCCTCCCAGGCCACCGTTATGTAAAGGAGGTAAAAGATTCTGAGTTTAACCCCAGAAGTATACTGGCCTCGAATGGCGGCGTGCCTGGAGCATGTCAAGCCCCGAAAAGAAAAATAGTCTCCGCCCACGATGCCCTTGCGTTCCCAGTATTGGGGAAGCTTTTCGCACGTGTCGCTCATCTTCAGCCAGGAAACAGTCTTGGTCCCGCACATGACAATTGGGCTCCATCTCGAACTGACAAGCTCCTGGAGGCACCAGATACGTTTCCACCACGCTCGGCGCACAAGGCTCGTCAGAGCTGACCAGTGCTGATCAGTGCCCTGCAGGACATTCCCCAGGGTCTGTGAAGCGGCCAGGTCCATAGCATCGTCACTCCCGTCGGCCGCTTCACCGAGCCACAAGACAACATTTGCAGCCTGCTCGTAGATGTGTCTCATCCGTTGCACCTCGCGGCTCTTTTCCTTGTCGTCGTCTTGGTTGATGCAGAGGGCATCGATCCACAGATATCTCGGCCTGTCCGTGTAGCGGAGGGCACGGAGAGCACTAAGCAGGTTACGGCCAACTAAGACGGGCGAACCATCCACAAGGATTCGACTAGGGTCTATCATTTCACCCCAGGTGTAGGACAGAGCCTCAAAGTCGAGCTTTGCATAGAGAGGTGCGTGGGCCATCTTGCATTCGATCTGGCCAGCTCCCAACCCCGGCAGCAACGCCACGAGGCGGACTTGGTGGTTTGACGCATCCAACGATAAGTAGGTGCCCCGCGGAGACGACAGCAGATACTCGTCCATCTCCTTTGCAGGCGAGGAGTGATCGATTTCGACAAAAGCGTGTCTCGGATGTTTCTCTAAGGCGTGACAAGCAGCGCATAAGTCGAAGTCGTAGCATTCCAGGCAGTGGAACTGAACCTGTGGAAGAGATATTTCCTGAAGAGGGAGACGATTAACAAACGTCCAAGAGGTGCGATATGAGGCTGTACCTGTTGACAACTGTTGCAACCAAACACCTGCATATCATTGCGACCGTGGAATCGCTCCATGAAATGCCTAGGCGGTCCGTTTGCCCAGAGCGCCTTGATCGCCTCAACGTCTCCTCGAGTTGGATTTCCGAACCCAGACATAGCGTTGGAGAGCTGAGGGGCGTGGCCAGCCAAGACGAAATCAAAGCCTTGAAAAGTAGCGATATATTGAATATCGTTGCCACAAGCGGCTGTGAAGGCGGGGAAGTAAGCATGCGAAGACGTGTCACGAGCCCAACCGGGGAGACAAGCCTACCGGGCGCTTATATAGGAATCCGAGGCTTATATAAAGCGGTACGACCTTAAGGATAAAACGGTAGACGGGTTTAGTAAGACCTGAATTATTTACTAGTTCTAAACAGTATACTATAACTAATATTTGGACTTTTAGATACAAAAAATCCTTTTAAGCCCATTAAATATAGATTTATAATAATAATAGTATTTTATATTTCCCCCTTTAGAAGAAATAATCATTCAAGGTGAAAATAAAATCACTCGGAAATGCGGTATAAACGTAATTAGCAAGGAAATCTCGGGGAAGTCCTAGCCTTAGACCCCGCTTTTCCTGGTGCCTACTATTACGGAGTAGGCAGAGGCAAGGGCGCAGGTGCGGTCCGTATAAGAAGGTCAATAAACCACCAGGGGAAAAGGGAGGAAAGAGCGGGCGCCGCGCCTACCGGTGCGGCAGCCGCTTATTATATACAAGCTTGACTAGTCTCGTGACTGACCCTAGATTCCAACGTCCAGGCCAACGGCATCTCGACTACTACCTAGTGTTTTGTCCTGTAAAGGGATATAACTTTTAGACGGGCCTGGTCCTGGTCCGGGCGTATCCCATAATACAGGAGAGGCAACCCGTGACCGAGTTGCGCAAAGAGCCTTGAGGAACGAATGTCTAAACAGGCGAAATGGAGGTGCCGGCCTGGGCACTACTCCGGCGATTTCTCTTTTGGGCTGTGCACGCTCTCCAGACTCATAAGCCGGTCTGACCAGGCCTCTCACTATTCTGCGAGTGTTCGATCTCGTCATTTCTTGTTTGGTGTCACCCCATCATTCTCAAACCCCCAAGAAATACGGCGGAACTGGGACCTGGTGTCTCTTATGACACCTTTTTGGTAAACCTGCTTCAACCGCTCACGGTACGAGTGATGTTAGTGGCTGACCAAGCTCCATGGTGCTATTTGGGCTACGGCTATCCTGGCAATCATTTTTGCCTCGATCTGGTGATACGCACGTTTCCAAGGGCCTAGTCGTCTATTTTGGGAAGAATTCTTTGTAATTTTCGCCTTGAGTCTGGTTGTCTCGACTGCTGCCCTTTGGCAGTGGACGGTACAAGATGTGTACTCGCTTTTGAACGTGGCAGCCGGATTCGAGTCGCCCACAGCCAATGTTTTTATTAGGCAGAAGAGGTGGCTTCGAGTTTCGTTCGTCGTTAGACTCTTCGTCTACGTTTCCTTAGCTGCCGTCAAACTATCCTTCTTGTTCTTCTTTAGACGACTCGGGCACAACATTCCAAAGCAGAAGTACCTTTGGTGGCCTAATCTTGGCTTCACATTGGCCGTCTGCGTCACTTGCGTCGGCAACATGCAATATCGTTGCTTGCTCGGCTCTATTGAGGACTTGAACGGATGGTGCGGCACACCTGAGGCGATCGACTTCACGACCGCAAGTCTCAAGGCTAATTGCGCTCTGGATATCATCTCCGACTTTTTTTGTGAGTCTTTCCACCTTAATTTCTTGTCGCTATGAAGCCAGAAATGACAAAGCCTTACCGGGTTTCAAATATGGTCATGCTCCTACCAATCACTCTACTCTGGAATGTCCGGATAAAGTGGGCAAAGAAGCTGGCCTTTCTAGGCCTTTTTTCCCTCACCGTGGTCACAATGATCATTGCCACTGTGCGGGTAGCGGATATCAATTCAACGAAATGGGAAACCGGTCAGAACGATCCTATCTACCCATAGCTCTGGTCGGCGATTGAACCATGCACGGGTAAGTTACCACTTTCTTCCCTATCCTTTCACTCTTATACCTTTCGCTCACGCAATTCACATCACTAGCCATTATTGTCTCTTGCCTGTCCGCCTTCCCTCAGCTCTTTAATCAGTCTGCTCGCCTCTCAAAACCTGCTTTCAAGCCCACAGACACATATTACCAAAGGTTGAAAGCGAGCATGCGGTCAAAGAAAAGAATGAATGAAACTCGCCTCGATGATCTTACGAACCTTACACGGACGACGGACGACTGTGACCATCTACGCGGCTCACACGTGGACGTCGCATCCCATGAACACGAAGGCCCACTCGTGCCTGGCTCTTCCAAGCCGGTGGCACTCTGCTACAGCCCACCCTCCAACAAAGCCATCCGGACTGATGGTGGCGGGATCAAGCAGGATCTTGAATATCGTGTCACTTATCAGTCTGCATAAGCGGCAGAAGGGGAATGACATGTTGTCACGTTGGCATCAACCCGACTACGACTTATAGAGAGACACAAGAAACCAGATTTGAGACTCAATTCGACGGTGCGAGACTCGGAAAAACATCTTCCTCTTCTCAGATTTGTTAAGACCAACATGGTTGTACGACAAAAGTGTAGGTTCACCGCAAATATGCTTCCATTTTTAGAGGAAGTGCTTCCATTTCTGGAGGATGGGCTGCTCTTTTCGGAGGACATTTTACGAAGCGCCGGTGGCGGGGTGTGCGCTATTTGTCCCCACCCCTGCGCTATATGCCCCGCCATCCCCGGCCGCATCGGCCCCCCTAATTAAACCGCTAGTATGCTAATTTTAATAGCGTTAGAATATATTAATTAATAGATAATAGGCCGTTTAGCTACGAATTTTTACTTAATTCCCTAGAAGCTTAGGATATATAAGAGTAAAGTATAGCTCTCGTAAAGAGAGATGCGAGAAGTGTATAAAAATGCACGAAGGTGAAATTAGAAGTAAGGGGTCGGATAGGCAGGGCAGAGATGTTTGAATCTTGCGGGGGCAGCAATTGTGGTAGGGGAGTAATTGTTATATTGCCTTAATTGTCCTTCTTTCCTCTATCTAACGCCCCTCCTTATACCTATCTAGCATCTTAATTAACAAAGAAGATCCTGCTTAAAGAAGCTACTAATATCCTCTTAACTACCGAGCTTTTTACCGGTTTTCCCCTCCTTTCTAGCTATTGCCGGTATATCCGTCTTATCTTTCGCTACCTCTATAGGAAGCTATCGCTACTTTTGCTTCCCCTCTTACCCCTACCCTCCTCTCTGCACCTCCTTTTAGCTCCTTCCTTAAAACCTATTTTTTAGCTTCCTAGGTCCCTCTTACTAAGGGAGATCTCCGAGAACTACGAAATTAGGCTACGCTTCGCGATACACCCCCTTAGCTATAGCCTGCCCCTTAAGGGTAAAGCTAAATAATTAGGCCGGTAAGCGTATAGAGGAGGTCTTAGTCTATACTTATCCCTTACTCGAGAAATCCGGGTTTTAGCCCCGGGCTCTTTTAGACTTACTTTAGGAAAAGGGGGCCTTAAGGAGGATATTAAGTCCTATAAGAAAGGGGGGCTTCTCTAAGGATAAGTCCTTAAAAAGGGGGCCTTTTAAGAAAAATAAGTCCTAATTAAGCTAGGGGCCCTCCTCTAAGATAAGTCCTAATTCCTCTCTTCGGCTATAGACGTTTCCTTCCTCTTACGTGCTATTAGCTCCTCTCGTAGACTCTTAAGGCGGGCTTCTAAGGATAGCTTCTCTCGAACGTCTTCTAGCTTAATTTACTATAAAAAGACAGCTAGCTTCTACTTTAGTAGGGGCTTTATAAGACCGTCGGCTTTTATTAATACTATTAGAACCTAACGGACGGAAATAAGTCCCCTTTAGACCTCTTAGCGTAACTAATACTAGTAGATATCGATATACCGTAGCTAGGTTAATAGCTTACTATTTTCCTTTATAAGAATTCGTATAGTCTACGTATTATTGCATTCTATAGCTAATAGGGATAGAATTTATAGTCGTAGAGATATTAGTAGCCGGCTAAGGAAAATCGCTTCTTTTAACGCTTTTAAAAGAGCTAATAGCTCTACCTCCGTGCTTAAAGTTATAATAGTAGCTTATTTCGAAGCTCTCTAAGTAATAGTTCCTTTAAAAAGGGATATAATATACCCCTATAAGCTCTTTCTATCTAAGGAATTATCTATAAAGGACGAATCGCTTAAATAGAGGAAGATTTTAGCAGCTAATTTCCTTCCTTACCCTCTTAGGCGTAGACGATATAATCTCGTTAAATAGAGATAAAGGATTGCTTAGTCTACTACTTCTTAGTGCCTAGGGCTAGGATTCTAGTTATGCCTAGCTAGCTAGGAGACCGTAAAAGAAATATCTAGTCTAGTAGAAATAGCTAAAAAAAGCAGGGAGCCTACCTTTTATTAATATTAGTGTTTCTCTTACTCCCTAGCTTAAAAGGACGGATTAGGTAAAAGCTCTTTATTTAATATTAGCGTAGAGGGAAGCTTCTTATTAAGGGATTTAGGGAGGAATTTATAAGCGACCTTATCGATATAGGCGTCCTAGGTAAGCTAGATAGTTTATTAGGACTTATTCTAAAGGATTTATATCCCTAGGAACCACTTTAGCTCCCTTAGCTTAGTTATCTTATACTTTTAT